GATCTAGACACGGGGCTTTACAGATGTCAGAAGGAACGTACTACATGAACATAGCTTGCCTCCTGATTTCTGGGACCACGGCACTGAAGATCATACACCCTGCTACTTCATTTCAGAGCCTCAAAGGCTCACATCCCCACTAAGACTAGAGCTGTGAGAGAGCTGCTCTGCTACCCCTTAGTTGAAAGTACCTCTGCGCTAGGAACCTGGCTTCGTTCATCTTTGTCTCTACTGCTTCATGCAGATGGCTCAAGGCAAGTGCTCAGAAAATATTTTTTCAGAAAAACAAAGGAACGGAGGGAGATGAAGAGGAAGAGACAGAGAGGAGAAACAGGAAAAATCTCTGCAGAAGAGCAACCTATTTTCCTTCTCCTAATCTCAGTCATTGATCCTTTCAACACATATTAAGTGCCTACTATGTGCCAGGCACTGAGCTGGGTGATAAAGCTACAAGGACAAAGCAGGCCCAGTCCTTGCCATCAGAGGCCTCTTTTAGCAGCGGCGGGTTACAGGGGCCATGATGGGATTTACGGAGGGGTGAGGGAGGGGAGTAATCAGAGGAGCAAGAGGACTGAGAACAATATGGCCCACCCTCTCCTCGGCCTTCTCTTGGTTTCTAGAAGAGCAGACAGAAGCCTAGATCTTGAATCACAAATGTAATTTGTAGCTTACAGATTCCTATTTTGCTTTCTTGTGTTACATTTTATTCATTCTTCTGGCATGCACAGTGAACTGGGCATGCAGTGTCATCAGAAGATCTGGAGTTTTTAGTCTCAGTCACAACTCTTTAGTGTGAGAGACCTTTGGCAAGAGACCCCAACTTGTGCATGATGAGGATGATAAAAATCTAGGATTGAGGTGAGGATTGAGGATCAGAGGTCACAGTTCACAAGTGCTTGTTAAAACTGTGAAGTTCTACAGAAGTGTTAAATTTTTATATATAGTCGGTAACAATGGTCCTGCAAAGATATAGGGAAGGTGTTACTATTATCCACAATAACAAGGCTGAGAGACATCAAGGAGTTGCCCTGGGTGGAATAACTAGAAAGGGATGGAACTAAGACTTCAACACAGCTTTCTGACCCCAGATGTCCTGCAGTATCAGGACTTTCAGGCAGGTGCTCCTCAGGAGCAAAATGAGCTCTCAGGGAACTTTCTTTGCAGCCCACAGAAAGGTCAAAGCTCTGTAAACCAGGGATCACTGACGCTAGGAAAAAAAATATCAAGTCTGAAAGCATCAGCTTTTAAGGACGGTGCACCTGGCTTCCATGTCCTCTCCCGGCAGGGGTGAGGCCTGTGGGGGTGAACATGTAGGCATGAGATCAGGAGCCATTTTCTCCCGGGGAGCTGGTTCCACAGCACGCCGACTCCTCCGCTGGAGGCACCACACCTCCTGTGAATGACCCACCAGAGAGCCCACGGAAGCCAAGCCACAAAGGCGCAGGAAGCAGCAGGCCTCAGGGAGGAGCTTGCCACCCGGCCTGATCACAGGCCTGCCCAAAGAGCGATCATCTCCATACAGCTGAAGACAGAAAGGCTGAGCAGCACATCGTGCTGATTTCATGTAGTTACAAAAATACACAGACACAAACCCAATCTCGTCTGTTGAGCCTTGGAAATTCTGATATATTCAGGTCTCATTAATCTTTTCTGACAGGTCTGGACTTCTCCATAGCAGAGCTGGTGGGGCCACACAGAGCAGAGTTCACCATGTAGACACAACTACAAAGGCCTGTGACCTCTTTCTGTCACTGTCTAGCGGGACTGATGGGATGTGTGATTATCATCAGGATGTTTTCAAACGTCTCCATTTCCAGGAGAAGAAAAAATTTGATCATGTAGGTTTGATTTAATTCTCCCCAAGAGAGTATTTCAGAGTAAAAAGGAAACAGATTTCTCCTTATTTCTGCAACTCCCAGCACAGCTGCAAAGAATACGTCAGGTGGGATACGGAAGTCAGGAAATGCTCAATGGAGCAGCTGCTTTTTGCTTAAAATCTCCACCTCTGTGTTACTTAGATTTGAACCCAAGCTATGGATTCCAGAAGTACTTGGAAGGCTTGATGCCTTCTAGCTGACACCATAACCAACCCACAAAGGGCACAGGGGAGCAAAGAGAGGATCATTTTGCCTTCATTTATGAAATGGGAATGGTCACAAAGATCAAAAATCACAATGAATAGACAGCACAGGGTGGAGCTGGCCAGAAATCGCACCCACTTACCTGCTATAATTTGGTTCAGTTAAAAAGGATGCACCTTCTACCATCCAACAATAAAAAATGAAACTGACATCCATTTGTCGAGGTTATAATTCAGATTTTTTTTTCTTTTTTCTTTTTGAGATGGAGTCTCACTCTTCCATGCAGGCTGGAGTGCAGTGGTGTGATCTCAGCTCACTGCAACCTCCGCCTTCTGGGTTCAAGCAATTCTCCTGCCTCCGTCTCCCGAGTAGCTGGGACTACAGGTGCGCACCATCATGCCTGATTAATTTTTGTATTTTCAGTAGAGATGGGGTTTCACCACGTTGGCCAGGCTGGTCTCAAACTCCTGACCTCAGGTGATCTGCCCACCTTGGCTTCCCAAAGTGTTGGGATTACGGGCGTGAGCCACAGTGCCCAGCCATAATTCAGGTTTGAATCAAGGATTCAAAGCAGCCTATGTCCTAAAACGAGGTTTATGACTTTGTTTGAAAAAAAGAAAACATTTTAGATTTATTAGCAGTTAGTTGAAACAACAGATTTTGTGAATTTTGTCAGGTCTTGCCAAATGCATGTCGGGTGTCAAATGTACAAGACCCTCATGTTTATGCAGATATTTATGAGAATGCCTTTAACTGAGATCCAATCCTGTAAATAAACCCAGTCATGAATACACATGGAAATTTGCAAAATCAAATATACGGCCTTCTTCTATCTCTCTAACCCTAAAACTTAGAATAATATAGACAATCCTTTCCTAACTCATACGTAATGTCAGGCTCATACTGGGTTTCAAAAAAAGCATAATGAAGTAAATTGGTTTTTTTCTTCTTTTTTACAAAGTGTTATTTTAAACTGGCAAGGGGTAAATATCTGTCTTCAGCTATAAATGTGAAACTAATATTTCTGCCAGTAATGATCTTCTAATTTTAAAAACAATGTCCTTACATCATTTAATAATTACATTTATAATAATTACATTTCTAATACAGTTCTCTAAGAACTATAGTTAAAACCAGGATAAAGTATATTCTGTGGACCAAGTTGACGGTAATTTTAAAATCCCTAACAGTTTATGGGTATATAACTTTTAAGGATACTAATACAGCATCAACCCAATTGTCCTTTATTTTGGCTCATCTAATTTACAGACATGATTTCTGAAGTTTAACAGTATTTGTAATGGCAATGTCCAAAGTGATTTTGGCTGAGTAAACTGCTATTTGTTGAACAAAAATGTAGTTGTTTGTGCGAGTTTAAACATTTCACAAGGCCAGCTGAGTTCATTTCAACCCTACTTACAAAATAATTATTGGCAAATGAAATGGGCTGAGGGGGTAGAGACAAGATATTTTCAAGCTTCTGAGAGATTTACAAAGCCAAGTTCTTCAACTATTGAAAGTGAAATTGAAAGGTCACAGACAATTGAAAGGTACAGGTTGAAATCTCAGGATTAAAAAGGGTTCCAACAAGAGGAATATTTACAATGGAACAATGAGGAAAATGTTTTGTTACAGTCGGAAACATGGAAAATATGCTGTTCAAAATTGTTGGCTCTGGAATAAATAAAATCCAGACTTGGACTATTAAAAATATCAAAGTGATCCACTGTGTGCCAACTCCATTTTCTCCTGTTGTTTGTTATAAAGAAAATCCATTATTGAATATAATGCAGTTCTGGTTAAATTATCAAAGACATTTTCCATATGCAAACTGTTGTTTACCATATGCTATATATTCTTCACTAACAATTTTAATACACCTCTATCACATGGTTCCATAGGTGCAGAGTTAGACGGAAATTTTGAATTATATTTTAACCTCTTACCCAAGGTACAACCCCCCTTTGCAATAGCCATTCAGCTCATTCTGTTGAGCACCTATTATAAACAAAATTAGAAATACAAAAATACCTTCAAGATGTTCATGGCCTGTTAGGTGGAAGAAAGCATCTTTGTCCAATGGTTGCCATTAAGCCTAGACTGAAACTCTTCTATCTTGTGACAGGGAGCTCACCACAGTGCAAGGAAACCCATTCTTTCAGTGAGTAGCTCTATAATTGGGACCGTGTGTATTAAACTGGGACTGACATCAGCTGACCCTGGTTTTGCCTTCCAGAATAGTATGAGCCAAATCTACTCCATTTTTTTCAGCTGAGCTCTTCAAAGATTTTGAGAGCACGTTCCTGTGTCCTACCTAGTTTCTCCACCCTCCACCTTCATGCAGCAATCTTATTTCCCCTTATTTTCACTACCATGAAATGCTTTCCTGCCCTTAGGGATTTAAAAAATTATTTCATATCAACGGAATGAGCCTAACAGCTAAATACTCAATATTGCACTTAAAATAAAACAGACTTTTAAAATTATGACATTAAGAAACCAAAAGTTATAGCAATTAGATACAGTCTGGGATTATCCCTTTGTAATTAGATGAGCATTGACTAACAAAAGATGTTTAGGGGGGAAAAATGGAACAGAACACCTAAGTCTTGCCAAAACTGTGTGTATTTGAGAGGGGGGCATGATAAATCTATTATAATGAAATTCACGTGCTCTAAGACAATGACTGAACTTGATATTTAAAACTATTTAAATCTGAAAGTTTAAAAGTCACAAGATTAGTTAGGTCGTGTTTCAGAAATGACTCTACAATCTAAATTTCTCACAAGCAAGTCAGGTTAATGACACCAGACTCTGCTGTCTTCAATGGATAAAACAAGGGATCAACTTATATGTTAAATTTTCTTCTAGTGGTTATACATTTGGTACCTTTATAAGCCATAACTAACAGACCCAGGATAATTTAAATCCAGGAGACTTTATTTAGCATCCAGAATGGCCCCTCCAACCCCAAATCCATGCAAGAACACAAAGCCAAGGGGTAAACTAAAAAAAAGAAGAGATTGTTTTATTGTGACATTTATGACATTGACCCCTTGTTGACAGGAATGACCGAGGGTAATCTTGGCATATTGCACATGCTGTGATGAAGGATGCACTGGTGATCCTCTGGCCACTGAGGCTGTTTCCTGGTCCTCCCAGACCTCTATGCACGCGTGGGCCAGTCACAGAAATTTCATTACCATTTGGTGTATACATTTAACAAGTCTTTGGTCTTAATAAGCACCATTACAAACCCTCACATTAAGGGCATTATTATTCTAGTTTATAAATGTTTCAATGATAAAAAATAGCACGATTACAGTATACACACACTTAATTTACATGTAATGTATTATACTCATAACTGAGATAAGCTACTGAACTAACTTTGGTTGATTGAAATTAATGAAGTATTGGAACTGAATACTTGTAATTTGGTTTCTAAGTTGTGTAAATATTACAGTGCATTTATAAATCTAGTTTGAAAATTTACTAGCACCAAATAGGTATCATAAATGGCCAACCTAGTACTGGTATTTGGAGAAGCAAAGTTTACAAATTTGCAAAAAACAGAGTAGTCCATCAATTGAAAGCACATTCCTGTATGTTTGTGGAAGGATGGCGTGTCAGCATAAATGGCCAACCCCCAATGGAAATACATGTCCCAGTTTTCAAGAATCAACACATATGACAAGGTAGCTTAGCTACACACACGAGAAGCCTGAGAAAGTGGTTGTTTTGAACTAGGGTAGTCACCTGTACCTTGCTTTGGTAATACAAGAATAGTGCTTATTTATACAAATTTACTTGGTGAAAGATTGTACCTATGATATGATGATTCTGATTGGGGGAAAATATAGTTCTACCTATCTATATTTGTTTTTCTTTTAATTATTTGGTCTCTGGATGGTGAATTAATGAAGCAAAACCTGGATTTTCATCTTCAGATTATCACCCAGTTCACCACTGAGGTAGTCTTTGTCATATTTGTCTTCTAGTTGGTTAAGTTCTTTCTTTTTATAAAGTGGAGTACTACTGATTTGTAATGAATAGGTTCCAGCCACTGGCTTCTTCTTTGTGAAGTGGAGGTAGCTGATCCCTTCCTTTTGGTTGATTTTAAAGAAGCCATCTTCATTTCCAGATTCGATCAAGTATCTGTTGTGATTCGTCAGAGTTGTAAGAGCTGGAAGGAGTTCTAGGATTCGAACCTTGTTACTGATGTGGGAAATATTGAAAGCGAAGATGGCCATCTTCTCAACATCCCAACTTGCAAGACTCACATTGGCTTCTGTCTCAGACTGATCCTGGAAAGACACATGGCAATGTGTTAAATGCAATGTACATATGCTACTTAGCTGTCATATTAAAGAAAAAATCACTCACATTTCACACTAATACAATTTTCTGCCTTATGCTGCATATACAATATTGAAAGCATTTTGTTTAGACCACGAATGTACTAAATTGGCACATATTTGTAATATTTGAAAATATGAACTGATGTCAGGGAGAAAGGCAGGTTGGAATCATTTGTATCTGGAGGTCTCAAAGTGTAGTCCCTGAACAAGCTGCATCAGCATCACCTGGGAATCTGTTAGAAATGCAAATTCTCGGCATCACCCCAGAACGACTGAATCAGAAACCTGGGGATGTCTCCCAGCAATCAGTTTTAACAAGACCTAGTAGGTGATTCAGATGCACGCTCAAGTTTGAGAACCACTGTTTTAATAGATTATTTTCTTTCCAAAGACTTATCTCATTTCTTAAACGACAGCAGATGGGCTGCAGCACCAATAGGAAGAACCAGACTATTTCAATTTGATTCACTGACGCAAAACCATCTCCTCCTAAGGACACACCTATGAGCCTACTTCCTGACTGTGATGATCTGCTAATATGGAATGCTTTTCACCTGGCTTCTTGCTTGCCCCTCTGGGACCACATGTGCTGGATTCTATGGGCCCAGAGCCAGAGGTCTGGGTGAATATCTGTGCACTTCTGAGCTGACTGAAAGGCTGCAGCAGCCGTAGGCAAAGGAGACCAGGCTGCTTCAGCTCCACGTTATTTTTGTCTACGATCCAAGTTCCCTCACACTCCACATGGCTCTTTTCAGTACAGGAGCCTCTAGCTTTCAGAACTTGGCGTCCCTATGTAAGGAGCACTATGTCACTTCGCTATTCTGCCCACTTGCTGTCCTGGATCTCAGACCTTATCCTTTCAGCAGACTTTGGGTGGGTATTTGACTCTTTTTTGGCGAGACACAGGAAATGAGCAAGTATGTGAAAACCTTCAAATGGGCACTCCCGAAAAGCAGCAAGAAACTCCAGAAAGCCCCACGGCCTCTTGTAAAATACAGCCTGGAGCTCAGGGAATGTCTGGAGCTTCTCCCTGGGGAGGTTTTTCACACTTTGGAGCATCCTTGGAGGAAACCACAGGAATCTGGAAGGACTTTCCACTATAGGAGACATCAGGAGAAACTACCTTCTGACCCACCTCGATATTGGAGGCATCCGTTTCGTTTGTGCTTCTCCGTTTCCTGCCCCGTTTGGGGTAGCCATTGATCTTACACTCGTAACAAGCCTCTGGGGAGAGTGAATTGTCATCCATTTCACCACTGACAGGTGGCTCTGGGTTTCCTCGGCCCATGCCCATTCCAGAAACACAGTGCCTGCAGCAGAAGGGGAGCATAGATGTTTTTAATTAGAATGGGAAGACAAAGTAGGTGGTACAAGAGTTCTGGTGACGCCTGCTCCCTGCACTTGGGAGACACAGCCCTTGCCTGTCCACTGGAGGATCAGCTAGTTCTGAGAACGACATTGAGGTCCTCTGTTTGGCCTCTAATTCCCAGTTCCCTGAATGTATTGATTTCTTTCTACTGCCTTTCAAGACCCTGTCCTTGCATATTTATTTATCTCTTCATTTCCAAACCTCACATGGAAAGCATTTTTCAGTACTTATATTGGGGAGGAGACATGGAGTAGAAACAAGAGAATAGTCGATGAGGGAGACCATGTAACTTGGGAGGCTAAATAAAAATGGCTTCTTTTTATGAAACAGGCTCCATGGGAGTGAGCGAGGTATGAGACATCACTGTTGGGTTTCTTGCATTCCTCCACTTCCATCATTACTCTTCCTCACTGAAGCTTTGGAGCAATTGCTCCTATTCCTTGACATGTCACTTTTGCTGATGCTACTGAGGATAAGAAGAAAGCTCCAGGTGATAATGAAGGTTAATGTAATAATAAACTATGATGATATGCAGTATATAAAATGCATGTATCAGAGCTTGCCCAACTGTGGGAAACTGTTTCAAGTCATTCAAAACCACTAGGGCCACTGGCTGTGACTCATGTGAAGATGGATAAACAAACCCATGCCCAAGAGAGAACTCGTTCAGCTGTTTTTCTTTGCCTTTCAGTTATCAAAGCCAAATTATGGAGGGAGGCTCGAATGTTTCACAAGTACCTTGTTTTGTTATTCTGCTTACTATTTCAGAGGCCACTTGGAATGTGTATTTATCAAGCTCCTCTTTCCAAATGTGTTGAAACATTTGAATGGTCCTTAAAAGAATCTTTATTTGGGGGCAGAGTCCACTCTAGTGATTCAGAGGGGCCAAAACTGTTTTAAATGGGTAGATTTCTAACAATGGGTCATAATGTAGACCAAAGATTATTTATCTGTTTTTCTGTAATAGCTGATCTGCTCTTTAGAACTCATTTTCCTACATACCCTCAGGATTCAAAATATGTTGCCAATGAACAGAATATCTGTTGTATTTCAAAGCAATTTATAGGTTCCTACTGTTTCCCCCAAACTTGCCAGAGTCCAATATACTTCCTTTCCTCTTTATCTTGCAACATGAAATATGTAGAAACAATACAATGAAAGAACTGATAAATGCTCAGCCTGTGGGTGTGTGCGCATGCCTATACATTCACACAATGATTACATTATTCAGAGGTAAACTGCAAATTTGCAGGCTTTGGTTCCTTTCTCAGAACTCCTTTCCAGTATTTTCATATCCCGGGAGCACCACTTATAAGAAGTGTGACTACAAAATCCCACTGGCCAAAAGCCAGTTTAGAGTGTCACAATTTTTGCTGGGAAAAAATGGTTCTGGCATTAAACTATAAAGAATGAGTCTACTGAGAGCCAGACACAAACATCTGGGAATTTGTGTCCGATTGCTGGCATTCTCTGTGCTTCCCACGAAACATTCTTCTACCTACCCAGATCCAAAATGAATCACTTGATGTTGGTATGTCAAGAAATCAAAGACTGCTACATTAATAATTTGGTGTAAATGTGGATGTGTGTGTGGGTGTGTGTACATGCATGTGGGGGAGTACATAATGTATATATATATTTAATGTCTACGTGTTCCTAATTAAAAAGTTAAAATGTGCACTTCCTCTCAGGACAGCTAAAACTAGGTGGACACCCGAGTCCAGATTAATTCAGCAGGAAAAAAGATTCAAACTTTGAAAACTTAACACTAAACTTTTAAATCACTGAGTAAACTAAAAATAGGCCTTCCCTGCCCCAACTCTTACACAGACATACCTAGAATTTGGTGAAGTGTTTTTTTGTTTGTTTGTTTGTTTTTGTTTTTGTTTTTACCAGGAAAATACAGTAAGTGTTTCAATTCTTATGCCCAATGCACCTTTGGTAATATTTAATGTACATTCAAGTCTGAAATGTAAAATATAATTTAAAACCTAAATGATCTCCAACCCAAAGGGATGTCTTTGACTTATCCTAACAGGAGCTAGATACAAAGGCATTTTAAGTCCAGATAGAATCCTCCCTGCCCCAGGAGAAGAGAGGATCAGTAGCGTCCAGGGTGAGCCCAGTTCTGTCATGGGTTGGCAGAGGTGTATTTACAGAGAGACGAATCACTTCCCAACAAGACGTGAAGATCAAGAGAATGAGATAGAGAAGTCATATAGCGAGATATTTACGATGTAGTTTCATTACTCTGTTTGATGTTTCCAGAAATCCAGATGCTTCCTTTCAAATAATATAACCTAAAACTTTTGCCAAGCTAACTGGAATTAATTTTAGGATTACAAAAAGCATGGTTCTCCTCTGCTAGGACAGGTAATGTTGAGTTCAGTAGACTTAATTATATTACGAATGACAGAATCTCCAACCACGACCAGGAAGAGCAGTGCTTACCCTTGGCCTATGCGGAAGTAACCAGGTGGACAGCCACACAGGTAACCGCCCTCGGTGTTGGAACAGCCATAGCTGCAGGGGGCCTGCGAAGAGCCACATTCATTGATGTCTTGGCATCCTCCACTGAACTGTTCATACTGGAAGCCGGCGGGACACATGCACTTGTAGCTCCCCAGGGTGTTGTGACAGGAGGCTCCTCCGCAGATGTGAGCGCTGAGGCATTCGTTTTCATCTGCAGGGAAAAGAAGAAGCGGCATGTGTGGCAGCAGCCAGAGATTTCTATTGAGGACATTGGATCTGGCCACTCGCTGCCGGCCAGCTGGCCCTCAGCTAGGCTGTCAGGAAGGGAAGACAGGCAGAGGTGGCTGGGTGGGGAGAGCAACAGCAGAGGAAGATGCGGGCATGGATGTGGCTTTTTGCTATGTTGTGAGTAAACATGGAAGATGAAGTCAAATGCACCAGGCAGAGGGCATTAGAGGATGGCATTCTGAGGACCAGCAGACTCCAGTTCTCATCAGAAGTCAACACTGGTATCTTCTGCTCCATGGAAACATCCAGTCATAAACCAACATGGTGCTGGTCCATAGCTAGGATTTAGGGTTCAAGGTGGGAGGGAAGGAATCTTGCAGTTCTCTGCGCCCTGGCTTCACAAGTGCCCAGCAAGGAGACAAATATCTCAAAAGCAGAGATCAACCATTTTCCCACAGGCTGCTTTCCCTGTCCGCCTATTTCAGGATGTGCCGATCTGGCAAGGGCTGATATCCTGCCCCAAGTGTCTGCCCATTTGGACTTCCTTTTCAAAAATCTGCAAAAGCCCCCAGGTACTTGTTCTGGGAGATGAATAATGCCTTCTGGTATGTCTGCTCCCATCACTGAATCGGCCCCCTCCTTATTCAAACCAGCCTCCTGCCCAGAGTGTCTGAGCCCTGTCTAAAACTAAGTGTGGCTGGAAGAGAATCGGTGCAGACTTCACGAGCAGTAATTGGGGAAAACCCACAAGAGAGACAAAAGCTGTAGGACTGGCTACCCACAGGGACCTGCCAAGTCTGATGCTAAGAAGCAGGAAAAAGAAATCTTACTTAAAAAAATCAACTAGAAGGGAGAAAACCATGAGTTTCTCATTATTTCTGATTTATAATTTTTGGAAGTCTCTAATATATTTTTGTAGACCTGCCTTTGCAGGGCAGGTTGGAAACTTGCTGGTAAGACGTTTCTTAACTGTCATAGCCCATTTTCAGTCGTACGTTCATTTGAATGTAGATAGATTGGCCTTCTCTTAGTGAATACCCAATTCCTATGGAAGCGAGGAAGGGGAAGCAAATGAATGTTTATTAGATACCTGTTTTATGATAGATAGGATACAGGCATTGCCCATTCATTTCCTTAGCTTTCCTAATAATCCTGAAAAAGCGGTATATTCTCTGTTTTACAGCGGAAGAAAGTGAGGCTCAGAAAGCTCTTCCAAGATGTCATAGCCAGCAGCAGCGGGGCAGAAATTCACAGCCAGGTCTGTTGGACTGCAAAGGCCATCCGTGTGCTTTCCTTTATACCACAGTGCCTCTCAAGAGATGCTCCACATTTAAGCTGGTGCTTCCTTTCTCCTGTAATACGTTTACCTTCTTTGCTAAGGCAGATTCATTTATAAAGAAAAACACTATTTCTCAAAAAATCTATTTTTTCTTTTTTTTAAAATTAGAAAACAGGTGGATAAAAGTGGTGGGGAAGGATTCTCACTTGTCTATATTTAGTATATACTCATATTTCCTTCCTGCCTACCTTCCTTCCTTCCCTCCTTCCATGCCTCCTTCCCTCCCTCCCTCCCTCCCTCCCTCCCTCCCTCCCTTCCTTCCTTCCTTCCTTCCTTCCTTCCTTCCTTCCTTCCTTCCCTCCCTCCTTCCTTCTTTCTTTCCCTCCTTCCTTCTCTCTTTCCCTCCTTCCCTTCAGCTACAGGTCTTTGACCTTAACTTTGCCTGTCTGAAGATGTTTTGTATCCAAAGACCTTCAAGTCTCCACCCAAGGTCACTTGGGCACCAGGCCTCTTAAAATGGAAATAACAATTTTCTCTTTCTCATTCTTCCCTTTCTCTTTCTGTGCTCAACACATTGTCTGTGTTATTTCTCCTTATTTTAAATTGAGGACGAAGTGTGCAATAGAGAGCAACAGAAACCATTGGCACCAAGCTCCATGTCAAACAAAGAATGAAGAACCAAGCATATTTACTTCAGTGGAGAGAAGACCCCTGGGCTGATGTCTTCTTGCTCCTCCATGTCCGTCCTCCACCCTCTCCACCTGCTCGTGGCTCCACGTGGCTGATCTATGGAGCATGAGCAAGCTCTGCTCCCCTGTCCCCCACTTTTGGTTGGCCTCAGCCATCTGTTTCTTGCTGGGACCCTGACTAATAAAACCTGCAGGGCGTGGGTATATGAGGGGGAAGACTTGTCATTCTTAGAGTTATTCTGTGTCTTTTCCTCCAAAGAGCAGAAGTAGGACCAATGGTGAGAAATTAGAGGGAGGAGAAATGATTTTTTTTAATACCAAAAAAAGACATTTCTAAGTATTAGAAGCTGTCTACACATAGATTGGGCTATCTTGGGACACAGTGAGCGCCCTTCAAGGTGATATTTAAGCCAAACTGGGATAAGCAAGGAAGTTAGAGAAGGATTTACATATTAGGAAAGAGGGAAGGCTAGATCTAAGGTTCTTTTTAACTTTGAGCATCTATCTGTGTTACTACAACGATCAAGAGTTCTCCCCCTCCCCTTCACATTCTTTTATATTTTATTTTACATTTTCTTCCCTCCCTGAGAATTTAATAAAGTTTAAATTAAACTTGCTTATCTAGGTTGGAGAGGTAGGATGGAGTAGAGCACAGATTAAAATAAGAAATTGGCAAATATTCAGTGTTTACAGTTTAAAAAACAGCATGTTTGTGCACTTGCCCTTTGTATCAATATACAAACACCACGATTTGGTTAACATGTCTTGCACTCTTCCTGACCTTTTTCATCCTCTGCACTCTGGAGCAAATGACTCCACAAGGAATTTTTTTTACACTCCAAAATATTTGTTTTATTCTTCCAGTTGGTACTTAGATTGGCGAGGGTTTTGTTTGTTTTATAAAAAGAGACAATTCGAGTTTTATCAAAATAGCATTAAAGTCTGAAAACCACTCCTTAAAAGTGGGTTGAAACCCACCACTCTGTCCTCTAAAATCAAAGGTTTCAGCATCCAGATTGTACTGTTCATGTTAGCTGTGGCCTTAAGGGAGTACCGATAGGAAAATTCACAAAGGCAGGATGGGCTTTCCTTTCCTCACTTTCTCTAGAGGAAAATGGGTCAGCTCCGTCTATCTGCAAGCTAAATTTTTGAAATTTACTTCTAGAAAGCAATGAAATTGGTGGCCTCCTTACCCCAAAGAGTGAACTTTCAGCCACCTGGGAGTGAGGATCCAGGAAGGGCTGGTCTAAGAGATTTCCTCTGTTTCTTGTGGTTCTGGGGAAGCTATTTTAGCCCAAGGCAATACTCATTCTAGATAACTCTAATTCTCAAGATTTATGAGGGCAATTTGGCAGCTGGAGGCATTAAGAACCCCAAACTTCTTCTGACTTCTAAATCAACTTATTTTTTTAGAGTGTCCAGCCAGGAGATGATCTTCACAAGACTAGAGCAGAATCTCCAAGACACTAGTGCATGGTCTGGTCGCCTCTACTATCCTCAGACTGATGGTAGGAGGAGGAGGATAAGGTACAGGAGCGACATACCTTTCCTCTCTTATGTTTCTTCACTTAGCTCCAGCATTATTAAAAGGACCTAAATAGGCCGGGCGCAGTGGCTCACGCCTGTAATCCCAGCACTTTGGGAGGCCGAGGCGGGTGGATCACGAGGTCAGGAGATCGAGACCATTCTGGCTAACACGGTGAAACCCCGTCTCTACTAAAAATAAAAAAATTAGCCGGGCGTGGTGGTGGGCGCCTGGTAGTCCCAGCTGCTCGGGAGGCTGAGGCAGGAGAATGGTGTGAACCCCCGGGAGGAGAAGCTCGCAGTGAGCCAAGATCGCACCACTGCACTCCAGCCTGGGCGATAAAGCGAGACTCCATCTCAAAAAAAAAAAAAAAAAAAAAAAAGACCTAAATAATGAGAACAGAAAGGTTCATAAACGGGGTACTGGATCAACGCAGTTCACTCTGGAAGTTCTGTGAACAATGTCAGAAACTGATGATTAACATCAAAGACCTCCCTGAGCTGCTAATGAACAAAGACATTTTAATTAAAACCAGATAGCTAGCCAGAGACTTGCGCAGTCTAAACTCCTATAGCACAGGGGTCACTTCAGTCAACCCGACGCGCCACTGCAAAGCTGTCCTGTGTAGAATCAAACTAGATGACTGAGATGATTTTGATAAATGAAAACACACCAAATATGTCTTGCATGAAAGTGAACCATTGCAATGCAGAGCCTGCACCCAGGAAGCAGTAATTCTTTGAGTTTTTGCTAAGGAGGGCTCTACCGAATAGTGTGGCAACCAGAACAGGTTACCAAAGCACCAAGCTTGCAGTGGCACTCCACAGACACTTGCTGAATGAACAAAAACAAGTGAATGTGACACTTGAAAGGCAGCTCTAATCAGAAAGTTAAGAGTTGTGGATTCTAGTTCCAAGCATGTCACTACATAACTGGGCAAGGACATATTACCTTCCCTTTCTGGACTTCTAGGTCCTTATCTGTAAAACAACGTGCCTGAGCTAAACGGCTTCTGGTATCCCTCCAAACTCACAATGTTTTGATTCTGTGATGTGCATTAAGAGTTATTTTCCCATGACATTGTAGAATCAAAGATGACATCATTTCAATTTAATGAGAGTCTGTAGCTCTCCTTTAATTATCAAAAGAACTTAGCAATCTTGGGGGAAAAAAAAAAAAAAGAAGAAAAAATCTTGCTGTGTCTCCTGCTTGCACTCTACCCCAAAATGTGTAGAGCTGAACAGAACTACTTTGGCATTTTCAGGCCAAAAGTCACTCAAAATAGCCTCTGGCTGGCTGATATTTTTCAGTCATAAGTAAGATTTTTTGACCCCTGATGTTAACATAACTCAAGTGTGGGCTGAGGACTAGCAGTGCAGTAGGAGGGTAGAGGATACTGGGCTTCAAGAAATTCTGGGGGCATTTCATTTCAGATGCTCTCAAAGTATCCTTGATTACAATTTTTTTTTCTTAGTTTGCTGTTTTGCAAAGACTGTTACTTCCCTTGGGTTTCAACCAGGTTAGGGCAATTTAAAATGAGTATTTGTTGCTTCAATAACACATTTACAGCTTCAGAAAGAAAGCAGTGTTTTGCTTCATAGCAGCTGATAGCCATGCATCTTGAGAGTGAGGAGAAGTTACTTGCCAACACACTGGTTCCACTGGTAGTGCTGGAGGTAGCCCTGGGGGCAGCTGCACCGGTAGCCCCCGATGATGTTCTGGCAGCCGTGCTGGCAGCGGTGGTTACCCTCGCACTCGTCCACGTCTGAAAAAGAAGCAGAGCCACCATGATGCCAACTCAACGTCTCTCTCTGAAGCCACACGGATTCTAATAAGAAATCTGGCCCCTACACATCCTACACATTATTCTACCACCAAAAAAATCAAGAATATCTCTTCTGGAACTGCTGCTAAGTCCGAGGAGAAAAAACATTCAGAGAGCCCTGGCAAAGTCTACAAATAAAAATGATCAGGAAATTAGTGCAAAGTCCAAGGCACTCTCTGGGACAGCTCTGTAAGTTATAAGTTATTTGTGTTTGCTGGGTTTTTTTTTTTGGTGCCACAATTAGAAACCAAAATGTGTCAAAGCCACAATGAACTCCTAAAAATATCATTTAAACTTTTAATTAAACATCACCAGAAGAGCTATTCCTCATATGTTTAGTCCGCATGGGAGAAATCCCTTTATGGCTCCGGACCCAGTGACCAGAAAATTAATGAATCAAAGTCAAGAGTCTGCCTATGTTTCTTGACTGAGTTATTCCCTATTAGGTTAAATTAAAAACGGAGCAGAAAAGGTCTTGAAATACTTAGGAAAGGCATGTGTGTTAGACACAAGCATGAGACAAAACATGAATCTCTAAGATACAGGACCTGTGCACACTGTTTTAGCTGGGTGCCCCCCTGGGCTCAGATCTGCTATCTCATAGAGGCTGATGATGAAGGTGCCGATAGCCACACATGCCACCGCCACAAGGATTTACCAGCTGGATCGCAGCTGAGGTCTCCACCCACCTTCACAGCTGGAGCCGGTCTGATCAAGTGAGAATCCCCGCTGGCATTCACAGGTGAAGCTTCCAGGAGTGTTCTGGCAAATGCCCTTAGACCCGCACAGATTGATGTCAGAGGTGCACTCATTGTTATCTATGAGAAGCAGTGGGGGCAAAGACGAGTTAAAATTCCCCAAAGCTCTCTTTGTATCGTTGAAAAGAAAGTTAGAAGGATGACTCAGAAAAGACCAAATAAAGCCAACAACCCTTCACGTACATGTACAGGTGTGCTCACACGTACATGCACTCATATATTTCTTTGAGCTTTTGTTTTCTTATCCCAACAGCAGAGGAAATAGAAATTAATCCCTTGAAAGAATCGCTACACTCCATGTAGGATTTTTCCTCTCCTACTCACCAATGCAGGCCGTATGGTGCTGGGTAAATCCGGGAGGACATTTGCATGTGAAGCCGCCAATGGTGTTAACACACAGGAACTGGCAGTTGTGTTGCTTGGTTGCACACTCATCAAGATCTATGAGAAAATGCAAGATAGGCATTTGAGTCAAGTCAACAAAACAGGATCAGGGAAGCCGCCCCTATGAAGCAGCTCCAAGTTTGATTTGGAAGTCTCAAATGACCCTGACTAGAAAGAAGCCACAGCAACAGGCAAGGAGAGACACAGGGGGTAAAGATCTGAGAGATAAAACAAGGTGTCCATTTAGACCCTCCCCTCAAAAAAATTAGACAGATCTTTGGGGGATCCAAGAAAACACAATTCTAATAGGAGAAATGCAGGAATTCCTCGACAAAGGAATTCCAAATAAATCATGACATTTTAAACAAATTTTTAAATGAAGTAAAAGATGAATGATTCTGCAAATTTTCCAGAGCACTGAAAAGATCTATTTAAGTTAAAACATAAAGAGAAATGTTGAAGCTGGAAATTAATTTGCTAGCTTAGTTCTTTTCTGTTTGCTGTTTTTAATCTACTCAAATGAAGTTGTCAAAAACAAAATCTGATTTTTCTTTAATTAGGGATTCTTCTTAGGATAAAACAAAATTGAGCAATCAGGAAGGAAACAAAGCAAAGGAAAAATTCATTTTAATAGCTAAAGGCATTTTAGTAAAACTGCCTCCAGGCCGAGCGTGCTGTATTCCCAGCACTTTGGGAGGCCAAGGCAGGCTGATCACTTTGAGCTCAGGAGTTTGAGACCAGCCTGGGCAACATGGCAAAACCTGTCTTTAGTAAAAACACAAAAATTAGCTGGGTGTGGTGCTGCGCACCTGTAATCCCAGCTACCTGGGAGGCAGAGGTTGCAGTGAGCTGAGATCGTACCACTGCACTCCAGCCTGGGCAACAGAGTGAAACTTCGTCTCAAACACAACAACAACAAAAATAAATAAAGAAAAACAAAAATCCAAAACTGACAACTGCGTCCAGTGTTTATCCAACATTGTTTCCCACATCTCCATAAAGCCCTCTGCTTTGACCAGGCCTCTTTCCTCAATGCCTCAACTTCTAGCTGCATTCTTAACTCCAATGTTATTTCAAACTATCAAGAGATGAAATGTTGTATTCTAACTTCTAGCTAAATTTTAATGATAATTTTAAAACTGCCACATATTCAGGAAAAAATCATTAGTGACTTTATTTTATCACAAATTCAACCACTATGCCCCCACCATCTGCACAACTGTGTTGGAGCTGCAGATCAAATCACTAGCTTTGCCAGTGACTGCTTCCACTCCACAGGGCCAGTTCCTGGCTAGAGTAATGTCTAGAGTGGACCTACACTGAGAGACCCTCCCAAGACCTGTCCTAGTTCCAGCTTCTCTTATAATGCAGCCCGTCCTGTGCTCTTTCCACTGCTGAGAGCTTCATGGATATGCACTCTCTGTTCAGCTTTCTCAGAGCCTGTGGACTGGTTTCTTCTATCTATGGCCCAAGGAGCTTGGCTTGAGCATGATGACACATTGGCTGAAGCTCACCTGCAACAGGTGAGGAAGATGACTCAGTGATTTCTCCTAACACTATTTCATGAGTACAGCACATGAAGAACAGCAGCACTCACTGCTCTTGCCTCCAAGAATGCCCTTCCTCCTCTTCTCCCCTCTAATCTGCATCCCACCCATCTCTCATTGGGGATGTGCTGCTCCCATACTCCTCCCACGGCCACCCTTCTGGCCTCTTCCTTCTCAGTGTCCATGGTGCAACTATCTGCACTATTCATTTGATATTTAGTTATACATACCAAGTAAGTGGAAGAATTTGAACCTTATGAGAAAAAATAGGAAAAGGGACAAGTTGTGAGTGGACATGTAAAAATTGCAGTTGCTCTTTGCACTCCTAAAGCCATAAACAGAACTTTATTGATGGATTTTCATTTTTCATCTTTTAATTGCTAGAAACTTTTGAGAATTTTCTGCCCCCAGAGGTTAGAAAAAATGCTATAAATTTGTTTTGCTTGTTACAGATAATATATATAATGAGACATATTTTCCCGTTGAATTTGGTTCTTCATGTATACGAATACATTTATGGCTCTGAGTTATAGCTTCACATTGCCTAGAACTCACAGTGACCCCAGATGTAAAATAAGTTCCACATTTGAGAAGAACAAAGCTATGAGCAACTGTTCATTTAAGATGGTTAGAATGTGTAAGTAGGTCTCTCAACTTCCTCTCCCCAAACTACAGGATTAGACAGGCTTTGTGCTGCACAGGAAGGCCTCAGGCAGTTGCCCATGATGTCATCCTCTATTACATGCCTCTTAACTCTCCCTTTCAGCAGACACAGGAAAAAGGTCAAGAGCCCAACTTCTTGCTGCTCTCCACTTCTCTCCTCTCCCCTCCTCCAATCTGGATCCTATCCATCTCCGTGGGGATGTGCTGGTCCCACCCTCCACCCTTCTAGCCTCTTCTCAGATTCAGTGGTACACACAGCTGCATCATTCATTTGATATTTAGTTATATACACCAAGTAAGTGGAAGAACTTAAGCTTTATGAGAAAAAAATAGGAAAAAAAGACTCCACTCTACCCTTTACCTTCCTTACTTCTGTACGTTTCTATATATTTCCTTCAAAGTTTCATGGCATGACATGATATCTCTTGGTCTACCACTTGGTCTACCTTTTCTTCTCCAAATCTCTCATTTTGCAAATTATTGTTAAGTATGACTCACTAGTGCTATTCACTAAATATAACATTCTTATTGTTGAGGAAGAAGTTTACAGGAGTAAATTTACACCAAACAATTTTTGCAAAGGATAACTTCTGGTTGAGAAGGGATTTCTGCCCAGAGTTTTGCTGGTTCTTAATTCTGCGTGATATTTATGTCTCAGGGAAGCTCCTAGAGGGCAGCAATGGACTTTTTCTGCAGAACAAAAATCTGGATACAGCACCTAATTCATTTGGCACCATGTCCTCTAGGATCATGGCACTGATTATTCCGAGGCAGGACCTCCCTGGAAACCTGAACTATACAGCTATAAAGAATAAATACAAAACCCAGAAAGCAGAGAGGAGGTCACCAATCAAGAATCTGCCCCACTAGAGCCACTGAGAACTGGCCCTGCTATCTCTGAGACCGTCATGGATGGCCGCCATGGATGCCCAGGGGGCATGCAGTGAGGATGGCTGCTCCCATGGGTCCTCCACAGTCTCCCTGGCTTTAGCCTCCCTCCCTCCAGCATAGGAGGTAGGTCCCATGGAGGCATTAACCCCAGGGAAGCACCTCCCACCTGCAGGACAGGTCTTTCGGCTTGCCTGTGGAGTCCTTACAGGCAAAGGAATGCAGCCATATGTCAGGAGCTAGGTGAGAGGCAATGGTCAATTCTACTTTACCTTTGCAGCTCCTTCCATCCTCTTGCAGAATGTAGCCTTTCGGGCATGAACACTGGTAACTCCCTTCTGTGTTTTTGCAGATAAAATTGCAGGGTTTGGGAGCCTGGTTGCACTCGTTCAGATCTACGATCAAAGAAATACAGTGTGACTGTGCATCTAAAAATGATGTCTACATGCTCAGTTTCCACAGGGTCTAACAAAGAATTTTAGTTTTGGGGAAAGAAAAAGTAAACTCTGTGTAGACTTGGATGATTGTCCTATGCTTTCCTATGAAACTGCATAGACTTTTTAGATTTTTAGCTTTGGGTTTTTTTTTTTTTTTTTACCCCATAATCTAAAATTTCCACTTGAGGATAAGCCATCAGAAATAGACACTTACCTACACAGGAAGTCCCAGTTATATCTGGAGTGTACCCAGTTTTACAAATGCAATGATACGATCCTCTGTCATTGACACACTCCCCATTTCGGCAAACATCATGAATAACCTTGCATTCATCGATATCTGTAATTTAACAAATATAAATTAAGATAAGCAATATATCATAAAATTGACAACATTAATATGCAGGGGGTCACGTCAGTGTACATACTAATAAATTGTCTTACTATATTTTGGGCCTAAGAAATTAAACCAGTAAAGATGACAGCATAAATTTAATATGTAACAGTAGCTATATCAAAAGGCAAACAATTAACTTCATTAGACTATAATTGATAAAATAATTCAGCTACAGAAAAACTTTAAAAACAATTGGTCTTCCAAATGTATATTTTTCTCTTCTGGGTCCATAGAACAGCCAGCCCATCTAAACATATTTGGCTTTTTGTGTCATCTCATGCCATTAAGCTTGCCTCCTGCTGATATCTCATAAATGAATCACAGAAGCAGATCCTTTTGATGAGGAAACCCCACTTTCCCCCTAATATTGCATGCTCAAAATAAGAAGTAAGGTTTCTTTCTTTTTTTTTTTTAAACATTATTTTTGTTGTATTTGTGGTTAATCCTGAAAAAGTTCAAATTACATAATATTGGGGAAATGAGATGAACTTCTGTCCTCTGATGAGGGAGAAAACTAACCAGGGCTCTGAGGTGGATGACAGTGCTGGGTTTTTGCAACCTGCTAAGGAAGGGAGACCCTTACTCATGGCTCTACCACAGAGAGAAAGATTGGGTCAACATGCACTGTTGAGCATTAAGGCCACTGTCCTCCATATCTTGACCCATTTACTGCCTTACTGGTTGGCGAAGTGCCAATACAAGCACTTTCCACGTGGGTTTGCAGCCCTTGACTGCCAAATAACCATTTTATACCAACAGCTGGGTGTATGTGACCTTTACAAGTCTACTCTAAAGTGCAATTTAGCATACTCTTATTGGTCTCTAGAAATGAGTTTTTTTTGACCATCTTATTGCTATATCCTCCAAAGAATCAAAAATTCCTTTTGGTCACTCCATCTTATCTTTCTAGGTCTGTTTTTTTTTTTTTTTTTTTTTTTAAATCACCTCCAGTTTCGTTATTCTGCCTTCAGCTACATCTTTCCCGTATAAACACAAATCCTTCTTAACCTCCTTCTTCCCCTTTCACTTCCAATTCCCTCCCAAGAAGCTCAAAAAAGCTCTCACCTTTTCTCAGTCCTTTTATGAACTAAAAACCAATTGTAGTTACAGTTGATAAACACAGGAATCATATTAGTGACAGGCCTAGAAATGTCTAGAGTTGCCTTAGACACTCTAACATTCTCCTTATCCTGCTTCAGTTAAGGAGCTTGTGCTTTTCCAGATGCAATCGTGTTTAATTGCCAGGATATCAGCATGATTTATACTTCTTTTATGCAATATAGTTTGGCCAGTTTTAGGAGTTCCACATCTTGGTGGACTGTTTTGGGCCTTTAATAATCATTTATTTCAAAGTTCATCGAAAAACTTAAAAAATTATATTCCGAGTAGCCAACTGACTTATAGTAAACTTCCGTTGAAAAAGTTGAAGGCTTGCTGGAATGCAGAGGGAGAGTCCTCAGCACACACGGCTTAATCAAGTGGACCAAGGCCACTTTGGCAGCAGGACCTCCAATGTCTAAAACTCCAAAATGAAGAATTTTTGTTGGCCTCAGCTGTGCAACTCAACCTAACCACATATTGCAGATTCTGTATTTTCATCTGTTTTTCACACAGAAAACAAACAGATTCCCTGCAAGTATTTTTGGACTATAAATGAAGTACCTGCTCCGTTGGTCATGAATCCTCGGCCATGGGGACAGAGTTTCTTGAAAGCCACAGTCCCCTGGAAAGGGCAGATCTCACAGTGGGGACCCCAGCCTCTCCCTCCATCACAGCAGCATTCAGATTTGGTGACAGGGTTCCTGTTGCTGGAGCCGATCTGACACATGTTTTGTAGCACCTCTGTGAAGCAGTACCCTTCCCGATTGTCTGGAAGGGACATTATATGGCAAAGGGGATGTCAGGCAATTTTAAGAGCAAACAAGGTATTAAAAATTTGGTCAGATATAAAAACCAAAAAAGGATGTAACACTTTACCCTGGGTGAGAAGAAGCAAGAGGGGAAAGCTGGAGACAGCAGTAAAAGAGAAAGGATGACGTCTGAGGGAAACAAATAAGACATTCAGTGAGTAGGCAGAAAGACATTGGCCTAGACAAGCTTATAACTCTCTCTGCTCCCAGAAATACAGGGGAATAGCCATGCTTACAGAGAGAGGGGCAGAGGAACATATGGAAGTGGATCCTGATCACCAAGGGCTTCAAAGGCAGCCAAGAAATTCCAAACAAGTGATTCAGGATCCAATTAGCAAAGGAAGAATTTAGCTGCAGGGTGGTGCTAAGCCCAATGGACAATCACAGTCACTACGGCATCTCCAAAATATGAACATTTTTTATCCCTCCTCAGATTTTGACATTTTCTCGTATTTCAAATAAGAGGTCTGGGTTTCCGGCAGCCCAGTGTGGAGGCTGAGCTTAGGAAAACATGCTGCCAACTGTACTCACCGAGGCACTCGTCCTGGTTGGGGCTGGCGGTAAACCCGTCATTACACTCGCAGGTGTAGCTCCCACGGGTGTTGAGGCAGCGCCCATTCTCACAGATCCCTGGCTTCGTCTGACATTCATTCTCATCTGTTTCATTTTATTGAAGGACCAAAAACAAGAAGAGTCATCTGACTATTTTATAGAGGATGGAGCTCCTTCCTTGGTTCCTTCCTTCCTCCCTTCCTTCTTCCCTCCCTTTGTTCCTTTTTCTTTCCTTCCTCCCTTCCCTCCCTCTTACCCTCCTTCCCTCTCTCTCATCTTTCCTTCTTAACTTAGCTTTTGAATCACTAATCTGTTCACATGGCTCAAAATTTAAAAGGCATGAAAGGGACTTCATTCATTCTTAACTGTTTGGTTCCACTGAAGGACTGAAAACAGAAAGAGCCATCTGAATCTTTTATAGAATACATTTTCTTCCTTCTTTCCTATATAGTTTGTAAATAGCTTATCTCTTCACAGGGTTCAAAATTAAAAAGGTACAAAAGGGGATTCAGCAAAGGTACCCCTTTCATTCCCTGTTTCCCAGACACCAAACTCCTCTCCTGAAAAGCAACCAATTCTGGGGCCAATTTCTAATGTATCCTTCCAGAGCTGGATTATGCATATAAAAGCAAATACATACATAATATACATATGTGTGTGTGCACTTCTGATCTTTTAAAAGCATAACTGATAGCATTTTATATACTTAAACATAGATGGTGGCATTTTATGCGCACTTACATTTTTCATTTAGTAAAATTTGAATCTTCTCATATTTGGACACAAAAAGGACTCTCAAAAGGTTATTTCAAGTGAAAAGGGAGAAATGTGAATATCAGCATATGAAAGAAATATTTTAATACATATTAGAATAATGTCTATAATGGTCAACACTGATCTGGGGGAGTTTGTCTAGATTAATCTTGAGATCAATCTAGATTATATCTTCAATATAGGTTGTGTTTATTGTAATATTTCAACAATATTATTAAGAAATCATAAACTACAATTCAGTTTCCCAGGTTTAAAAAAACATTAAAATATCTACAGATTCTTAGAATTATCTGATGATTATTTAGAAAGATAAAAAATAATTTGCTGAGGTGCTTCCCTTCCTTTGAGAATAGTTCGGGGTCCCTCAGATGGAGCTCTCTCTCACTAGGAAAGACAGAAAGTTGGAAGGTGACATCCAGAACAGTGTTAAAACAGGTTCAAAACCCCAATGCCCAAGCCACCCCCAGACCAATTCAATCAGAATATCTGAGGTTGGACTCCAGCTCCCCAAGTGATTCCAAAGTGCAGCTGAGGTTGAGAATTACTGATCCAGGAGGATCCAGTGTGTGACAATTAATCTACATATTTTCTTTTTCTGTGCTTTTAGAGTCTGTTCTTTAATTACTGCTTCAGTCTGTATTGTACAGAGCAAAAGGGCAATGGAATTCTTAATCTTCTTGAATAACAACATAAAATATATCTTTATAACACCATTTATTTTTAAAAAGAAAGAGAATGCATGTGAGAAGGTTTTAATAATTTTCTCCTGTAATTATTATCTAAGCAGAGGTCAGGAAACTTTTTGTTAGGGTCAAATAGGAAATATTTTAGGCTTTGTGGGTCATATGGTCTCTGTTGCAACCACTTGGCTCTGCCATTGTGGCATGAAAGTAGCCACGGACAATATGCAAATGAATGGTTATATCTATGTTTAATAAGACTTTATTTATAAAAACACACAGTGGGCTGGCAGGCTGGAATTGGCCTGTAGGCTCTAGTAGTTTGCCAACTCCTGGTCTAAAGCTGAAGTTCTCAATGTTGGATCCATATTAGAATCAGCTGAGGAGCTTTAAAAAAAATCAGTGCCTGGATGCTACTCTCGACAAGACCAGATTTTCTGGAGGTAGATCCCAATGGTTTCGAGAGATTCCTGATTCAGAGGTACCTGGCATTTGTATTCAATGTCAGGGCACCGGTAGCAAAGTTAAGTCAATAGGGCGGCATTCCAATGTGATGGGGAGAATTGACCCCCAAATCAACAAGAGAGTACGGAAAGTAAAGGAGGAGAATAGAGAAAAGGCAGGCTGTTCAAATCCTGGCAGCAAATGGGTTAAGAAAGTAGAGAAAGGCCAGCTCAGAGGGACAATGACAGTGCTCTTGGAATTCACAAATGATCACGAGGCAAGGGCACCACCATGGAGAGTCTTGACATGAGGTAAGAGAACAAAATGGGTCTCACCAAGAACACAGTGTCACAAGAACATAGAGCCCAGGCTCCTTCTGTCCACTGTCACTTCTGATGCACTCAAAGCTCTTTCCACAGGGATCCTCTTACCTACACAGCCTTCTCCATCAGGTCTCCGCTGATACCCGGGTCCACAGATGCACATGTATGTGCCAATGAGGTTCTTGCATTCCATTTGTTTTTCAGTACAGTCATGTTTTCCCTCTTCACACTCATCCTCGTCTGTAAAAAATGTACGATCACAAATTTGTCAAAGAAAATGCATATATCTGCCTTAATTACCTGACTTTTAAACATAAAATGTTAGTAAGTAACCAATTTTCATTTATGTTATTTCAGTTTTGGCTGTATTTCCTTCTGCTGTGTTGAGTATGATCTCTAAAGAATGGAAAGGAATCTTCTAACCACCTTTGAACTTGAAGAAATTGCTCCCTAATCAACTGATAACCTCTTCAAGAAGCATGATTCTAATCATGCTTTCTTTCCCTTCCCCTTCCTTTATTTTCTATTTATTTTTATTTATTTATGTTTTTGAAAGAGTCTCTCTCTGTTGCCCAGGCTGGAGTGCAGTGGCCCGATCTCAGCTCACTTCAACCTCTACCTCCCAGGTTCAAGTGATTCTCATGCCTCAGCCTCCCGAGTATCTGGGATTATACAGGCATGCACCACCATGCCCAGCTAAATTTTTTTTGTATTTTTAGTAGAAACGGGGTTTCACCATGTTGTCCAGGATGGTCTCAAACTCCTGGCCTCAAGTGATCCACCCACCTTGGCCTTCCAAAGTGCTGGGATTACAGGCATGAGCCATCACGCCTGGCTGTCCCTTTCTTTATGTTTTATACTCCTTTGTTGAGGCATGATTTCTAATTCTTGTTGACTAATTGAACTAAAAGGGCCTCATATAACTATAATATAATGGATATATCTTAATACAACAATAATTATAACAGCATTATAATCACAATATATGATAATGCAATAATTATAACAACAGTACTATAACCATAATGGATTATAATAGAGTAACAAACCAACACTTACATTATGCAATAATTATAATAATAACATAATATATTATAATATGATATTATTTTTTTGAGATGGAATCTCACTCCATCATCCAGACTGGAGTACAGTGGCATGATCTCAGCTCACTGCAACCTCCACTTCCTGGGTTCAAGTGATTCTTCTGCCTCAGCCTCCCGAGGAGCTGAGATTACAAGAATGAGCCACTATGCCCAGCTAATTTTTGCATTTTTAGTAGAGGCAGGGTTTCACTATGTTGGCCAGGCTGGTCTCGAACTCCTGACCTCAGGTGATCCACCCACCTTGGCATCCCAAAGTGCTGGGATTACAGTCATGAGCCACTGCACCTGGCCAATATGACATTATTTTTATATGATAATATTAATAAATAGGATACAATAGTAGAATGACTATTTTATATACATACATATAAACATATATTCATTAAAATATAAAAACCATATATCTATATACGTTTATATATAGAACAAAATGGGTCTCGCCAAGAACACAGTGTCACAAGAACACAGACCCCAGGTTATATATATAAACACAGAGCCCAGGTTTATATATAAACATATATATATATATATATGGTTTTTATACTTTAATGAAAAGCCAAACATCTAAAATATCTTATTCTCTACTGGTTCTTCCCTCCTTCATTTCCTCTTCTGGACTTGGTTGGGCCTTCCTCAGTCTTTACTTTCTGTCCTATTGCACTTCTTTCTTTTTTATCTTTCCCTTTTACACGCTCTGAGCTGAGACATTTGAAATTTATTCTGCATATTATTAGAACTTTGCATTTAGGAAATTTCCCCACCCTTATGCAAAATTATATTTATGCCATCTTGAGAGAACAGGTGTCTGTTCATTTAAGATCTTGGTAGAAGCAAATCAGAGCTCTTCACAAGCAAACTCAATGATTACTGAAGTTTGTGAAATAGAGCCTAGTTCAGTGCTTAGGAAATTGCAGGTGTTCAGGAGGTATTTTTCATGCAGATGGTTTAGCTAAAGTAGATTCCACGTGTTACCCCATTCTTGAAATAGAATATCCTTTGGTGTTCTCAGATCATTTTGTATATATAACCACCATAGCATTTATTACACTGTATTATGAGAACTTATTTATATCTGTCTCAATCTCTTCATATTGGGTCTTTTGAATGTGGGGAAATGTCTTTTTCTTTGTATTCCCACATCTTGTAGAAATACTGGCATGTTGTGAGCATGCAATGCACAGTGAGACGTAATAGAGGATCTGCAGTGTAGTCCTCGACTTAAGGCTTGACGATGCTTCCAGTTACAATTTAGGGGGAAACGTGGCAGTGACAACTCCCGTATTGTCCATGGACTATTTATATTCCCCAATTCCCAGCCCTCCCCTACTAACGGAAGCTTTGAGGGACATCTCCCCTCACAGATAGAGTTAGAGCTTCCTGGCTTAGATGACCTTGAACACGATGACTCACCTCTGCACATCCTACGGTCTTCTCTGAGCACATATCCCACGGGACATTTGCATTCATATGACCCGTAAGTGTTCACACATCGGAAGGCACAGAGCAGAGGATTCTGGGCACATTCATTTATATCTGCAGCAAAGGAGAGTAAGAAAATAAGGGATCATGGACAGCAACAAAAGGGAACCTACCAATTGAACAAAAACTCTAAAACTTTTACCAAAAGTTGCAATGCTTCCTTGTCATAAACATGAACGGACCAAGTGGTCTCCCATTTCCAGGAAATTATAAAATGGGTTGATTATTTTATATTTGGTATAAGTAGGGTGACTCTCCATTCTCAATTCTCCCAGCACAGTCCCAGTTTATGTTTGTTGTCCTGGTATAATTATTAATGATTATTTAGGTGGATGGGAAATTACAGGCCACTCAACATATGAGGGGCTTTTCTGAAATTCTGGCTTTGAAGGCTCAGGTTGACCATTTGTCACTCCCTACAGTTACATTGCGTGGGAATCAGTTTTGCCCCATTCCGCCAAAACAATTGTGGTCAGCACAGAAGCCAACTCCTCCAATATTGTTAACCACCTCTCTTTCCCCATACAAAGAGGCTCCTGTGAAATAACAGTGATTCTTCTGCCCAAACAAATAGTGTTCCAGATCATTTTATACTGACAGAGACACTCAGTTTACACAGATGCCCATGTTCAAACCTTAAATAGATGGGAATGAGTTTACCATTAATGGAAAAAGAGTGATTTCTGCAGACTGCAGAGTTTGGAACCATCAGAATGTGTTTTGGAAAAGCAGGATCAAAATAGACCATCTCAACTATCATGTTGCTCCCCAAGGCCAGTGCTGACTAAGAACATGAGTGAGAGCCCAGATCACGACTTAGTCACAACCTTTAAAGATTTACCACAACTCTAACAATGGGCATTGATGGATCATATATGATGAAAGCTCTCTTTGCTACCAACTTTATTCTCTGCCTTCACCTCTCCTTCATTCTTTCCTTAGGCCAGTGAGTCCCTACTTGAGAGCGTATCAGATCACCTAGAGGGCTGCTGGGCTCCACCCCACTCTCTGAGTTTCTGATTTAGGAGGTCTTGGATGAGGATTGACAATGTTCATTTCCAGTAAGTTCACAGGTGATGCTGATACAGCTGCTCTTGGGAACCATCCTTTGAGAGCCACTGTTCTAGACACTCCCTCCCTTTCCTTCTTTTCATACATTCCACCAGGCTTATGGATGGACACTTTTCAGATGCTTATATATTATAGGCAACCACTTTTGCTGTGATCGCTTCCAAATGGCTACAGGATGTTGGTGGGTATCTTAGTGTGCAGTGCTTCTAGAAACAGAAAAGTAGAGAAAAAGAGAAAAGAAAAAGAAAGGGAGCATGAGAGACAAACAGAAAGAAGAGGAAAGTGAGAGTAAGAAAGAAGGTATTAAACAACACGGGAGCATCTAAATATAAGTAGTAGGGAGATACCAACGAGAACTCTCTGTGACATACAGTGTAGATGTGCCATGAGCACACAACTGTAGCTTTCTTGGATATCTCTCTTTCCCTACAGAGAAGAGGTCACAAAAGAAGAATGAACAAATGGCCCATCAGGCCTAGATGATCTTTATTATATACACCCTGAGTTGTATTTAATATTAAGACTTGTAATAAACCAATTGTTCCCATGATCAGTACATATAATCAACTGTTCTCTGTTTAAGAGATGTACCTTCACATGTCATCATTGGACCGGGCTCAAATCCCTCCTCACAGGTGCATTCAAAACCTCCAATCACATTCTTGCAGGTTCCATTTCCACAAGGATTGCCGACAGAACATTCATCAGTATCTGCAAGAAACCAGGAATGTGTGCAAAACATGATGAATTGAGAAAATACCTTTTATTCTATCAGAGGATTTTAAACTGTAATTTTTTTTTTTTTTTTTTTTTTAGACAGAGTCTCACTTTCTCATCCAGGCTGGAGTGCTGTGGTGTGATTTCAGCTCATGCAACCTCTGCCTCTCAGGTCAAATGATTCTCATGCCTCAGCCTCCTGAGTAGCTGGAATTATAGGTGCACACCACCATGCCCAGGTAATTTTTGTATTTTTAGTAGAGACAGGGTTTCACCATGTTGGCCAGGCTGGTCTTGAACTCTTGACCTCAAGCAATTCGCCCACCTCGGCGTCCCAAAGTGCTAGGATTAAAGGTGTGAGCTACCATGCCCAGCCTGATCTGTGATGTTTAATTCTCATTCTGTTCTTGCAAAAAGGGAGTATGCATGTCTTATTATCTCAGGTTTATAGCTGTGAAATTCGACTTGCTCAGTGGCAGTGGCAGTGACAGTGACAGTGAGAATGACAGTGCCTGGACATCTAGCCCTTACAGTGCTCTTCTCCATGAGTTTCTCCAGCCTCCCACATTATAAACTAAATCTTCTACTTGGAGTAGATGCTCTAAGGGTTAAAAAAAAAAAAAAAAGGCCCCTATCACCCGTCAAAAGTTTCTGCTTGTTTAAAGCTAGAAATAACATCCCCAGTTTGGCTTTACATTACATCACTCCCCAAGAAGCCTTAAACATGATGGATTTTTGCCAGATATAAAATAAAAGACTAAACTTACGTAAAATAAAAGACCAGAGGTTAAGTAAAATTAATACATCGAATAAAATCAAGATTTAAGTAGATTTTGTTGATTCTGTTGAAACCAGATGGTTTACATTAAGCAGAGGAAAGGCTAGAAAAAATATGTTTAGGTTATGATCGCTCTAAAACATAGGCGGAGAGAACAAATCTTACCAAAGAGACCTAAAATATGTGTGTGTGTGTGTGTGTGTGTGTGTGCGCGCATATGCTTTCTAATCCATCCACCTAGAATACTCACCGTTCTTATTCTGGCACATCCCTTGGGGGAGAATATCTCCCTTTGGGAAAGAAATAATTTTAAGAAATAACATTGATATTCTAGCTATCTAAGGCACAGAAGAGTAATGGCTCTTGTCAATGGTTGTATCTTGTGGTGAGGTTCTTAAGTCAAAAGTGAAGGCAAAAGGCTATGGTGGGGAGCTCCTAGGCGAAGAGGGTCATTTCATATGCACATATTAGTACTAACTGAAGATTCTGAGGAGAAAACATTGAAATATTTGCTTTTGTTCTACTATAACATTCAATCACATTGCACTGTCAAGAATACTATTTCTCTTTCAAGTTAATAAAAATTCCGATACCATTGATCTTTAGAGCTGCAAAGGTAATTAGAAATGTTATTTACTTGCATAATATTACATTCTAAGGCCTAGAAAAGCTTAAAAACTTGCTTAAACTCCCACAGCCATAGCTGGAGCTGAAATCTACATAACCTGATTTCTTGTACGAAAAAAGTACTTTCTAATTCACACAGACAAACTCTCAGCATTTATGCTACTATTAATTATGTTATATTGAATTGCTTTGGAATTCTTAGATAACTAAATATGATACTTGGATTTAAGTTAGAGTTAGTGTTGATTAAGGGTCAAAGGCCAGCCAGAGGAGACATTATTTGACATTTTAAAAACAGGGTTACAACAAAAAGATTGTATACTGGTTATATAGCCTTTCATCTTACTAAATGTAAAAGAATCCAGATAAAATTTTTATTTGATAATCGAATAAGATTATGACCATTAACAATTTTTTAAAAATTTCACAAAGACTTTCATTATGATGTTGTCCTTTCTGGTATCTCTTCTGATATGTCCAGTGTCTGCCTTCACCATTAGGCTGTAAGGTCCATGCAAGGAAGGAACTTGTCTTCTTGGTTCAGTGTTGCAGCTCCAGAGCCTAGCACAGTGCCTGGGACCTGACGGTGACTCACTAGTATTCTAAATGAATAATACATGAGTGGATAGATAAAACTTATTTCAGGCCAGGCATGGTGGCTCACGCCTATAATCCCAGCACTTTGGGAGGCCGAGGCAGGCAGATCACGAGGTCAGGAGATTGAGACCTTCCTGGCTAACACAGTGAAACCCCATCTCTACTAAAAATACAAAAAAAAATTAGCCAGGCATGGTGGCGGGTGCCTAGTCCCAGCTACTTGGGAGGCTGAGGCAGGAGAATGGCGTGAACCTGGGAGGCGGAGCTTGCAGTGAGCCGAGATCGTGCCTCTGCACTCCAGCCTGGGCGACAGAGCGAGACTCCATCTCAAAAAAATAAAAACAAAACAACTTATTTCAGTGCCATCTTGGTACCTATATTCATGGATATACAGTGAATACTGTATAGCCTAATTTTTAATTTGTAAAATTCCAATGGAAGAAAACTTATTACTCACCCACACATTCGTTCCCTGCTAGAATATAACCAAAGGGACACTCGCAGCGATAGGAGCCATCTGTATTGATGCACTGTCCATGTTTACAGACATCGGGTTCTTTGCATTCGTCCATGTCTTAAGCAAGAGAAAAAAATAGTGAATAACAAGGTATTTTTTTTAAACATGAAGACAAATTATGATCATTTCAGTGTTTAATCAATAGATTATCTAATAATGCAATGATATAATTGCTGTCTAAATGAAGTGACAAAAAAGTAGCACTTAATTTTCCAAGATAGATGGAGAGAAATAAGAATAACTAGAGAAGAAGCTGATTGAGAATACTGAGAAATGCTGAGAATCCAGCACAGGCAACTGACCAACTGCTGAATCATCAGGTCCCACGATGATCCCACTTCCATAAGGACAGATCTGGCGGAAGGCCTCTGTGGCGGAGACACTCATTAATAGACAGAACAATAGCAATTCATTACAAGCTTCTCCACAAGCATTTTGAGGTATAGCCAAATTGCCACATACTGTGCATATTGATAAATGACGGACAAAACAAGCCCAGAAACCAGAGGAAGTTAACGAGACTCCCTAAGATGTTGTGCCTACTCCTTGGGCATCTGTGATTCATGACATAATTAAAAAGAAAATAACTACCGAGGTCCTGAGATAACATAATTTTTAAGGAACACTCTAATTAGACTTACAATTAAATTATATTGTGTTACTGTCTTCAAGGCCTACAGTCTTACTTACATCATGGCCAGTCTGCACCCTGCACGGCCCAAAGAGAAATGCAGATGACAGACATACCATCAGGTTCCGTGGGGCAGAGCTCGCAGGGGTCCCCCCAGCCTTCTCCCTTCAGGGCGCAGCAGCATTCCTGTTTGGAGTGATTTCTGGATTTGGGTGATGAACACTTTCCTCCTTCAAACTTCGCGTAACAGTAGCTCATTCGCAAATCTGCAGCATAAATTTATGACACTCTTCAGTTGCTTTTCTACTGAGTCCTTACTGCACGATAGTGAATAAAGAACAATCCACTATGTTATACGTGTTCTCCTCTCAGGACCACAGCAATACTCCTTATGTGATTCTAACAGTAACCAAGCTGAGACTGTTACAGTCATGGATATCTTTTGTATAGTGAGATCTGATGAACAACCCTGTGACCTTAATTTATTACTTCTCATTTTAGTCACTATTTCAAAGTAACCTGATGTGACTCCAGTAAAATCCCAAACTGACAGTTTTCAAAACTGACATCTGTCGGTGACTTCAGGATCGGAAAATCCACAGATGGAATCATTCACAAGAGTCCTTCATTGACAGCTCTGCTTGCAATATCATGTTTAGTGAGCACACTAGAGAACTAGAACTCTTAGTTCTGATATTTACTGTGACATCACACTTTGTTGTTTATTCTGTGTCCCCTAAACTCTGGAACCAAAATAAAATCCGAGATCACAGGCACAGAACAAATACAGAAGTGGCAACTTTCTAGATGGGCAAAAACACAACACAAGGGTTGGTCACTGAAGCAGATACTCCTGGAGATGCTGGCTACAAAACGCAGGTAGGGCTTTTTGTAGATTTTACTCACACACACACATGCAGAGCTGTGTCAACGTTAAATTCTTAAAATAAGCTTGTTTAGTTCAACACAGAGAGGGAAGGAAGAGGAGGGCAGGGCTGTGGGTGGCTGGGAACAGAACAGTCTTTCCTTGAAGGAATATATTTCAATATCGATTATTGCTTGATGACTCCAACAAAGAAGACGGGATCTACTTCCTATAAAATTCTCTAACACTGCTTGACATAATTTTGGAAACGGGCCTTTCCATTTCTTATAGAACACACTGACTCCAAAAAGTGAGCTCAACCAGGGGTATGGACTGTGTTTTCCCTCAAACTTGACTTCTCAAAGCCTTGCAAAACTCCTCTCATTACACAGAGGCCACAATCTGCAGGTTTAAAAGAAATGCTTTCATACCCATATTGTACTATTCTTTCTTTATATCTGACCACCTCTGCCTTTTTCATTCACTTCCATCACTGTTTTTCAATCCCAGGAACGATACTATCATAACCACCTAAGCACTTCTGATAAAACAGTTTTACCAGCTTTTATTTCATGATAAAGAAGACAATGTAGGAATAACAGAGTTGCCAGAGATAAAGGAAAAGTTTTCATGAATTAAAGTTTCTATCTATCCGTCTATCTATTATATTTACCAAGTTATGTAAATCAAATTCAGGTAGCCTCCCCAATAAACTTGCTCAACTTTTCATGGCTACCAACTCATCTAGATAAATCATCTCTCTAATTTCTTTTTTTTTTTGAGACGGAAGTCTCGTTCTTTCGCCCAGGCTGGACTGCAGTGGCACTATCTCGGCTCACTGCAAGCTCTGCCTCCTGGGTTCACGCCATTCTTCTGCCTCAGCCTCCCGAGCTGGGACTACAGGCACCCGCCACCGCGCCTGGCTAATTTTTTATATTTTTAGTAGAGACGGGGTTTCACCGTGTTAGCCAGGATGGTCTCGATCTCCTGACCTCGTGATTCGCCCACCTTGGCCTCCCAAAGTGCTGGGATTACAGGCGTGAGCCACCGCGCCCGGCCCATCTCTCTAATTTCTATTCCACTTCCCCATCTGTTGTGGGTAGGACCTGGCAAGCACCTTTCAAGGAATTATCCTTCTGAAGGTCAAGAGCAATAAAAGTCAGTCCTGCGGCATATCTGCCACCCAAATGTTCGCTTTGCTGAGAAACTTCAAGATTGAACAAATTCTCGTTTCTTGGAGAACACTTTTGATCTCTTTTATTCTTCAAGTTCTTTGTGACATATAATGTTTTGTATTTATCAGTCTTGTTTTTATTATTTATGCCTCCAACTACCTTTAGATATAATTCAGTGACAACTCACAAAAATGTCTCAACAAATATATGAAAACTTAATTCTCTGCTTTGTCTTCCAGTTTGTAGTGTTTCTTTAAATATGTATGTTGAAATATTAGTGTGTTAAAATTCTCATTCTTTTTTCTTTTAATACCTGACCTCATCCCAGACCCCAGCTCTATCTCCCCTACACCACTCCACTCCGAAAAAAAAAATAATCTTGGCATTAGACAGAGACTCAAATGCATGAAGTTTTGAGTCAGCCTAAGTGGCAAATTCCCTTCGTTGAACTTTGCAAGTGGGAGTGGCTCATTTACACCTGTGGTCTTTAGTGCCAGGCTCTGTCCACCTGAGTCCTATGGCATTCGCTTTTTAAAAAACATTATCCACGGTTCTGTGGAATTTTCTCATTTCATGGGCAATAGAAGTCTGACTCCTAATTTGTCATCTTACAAGAAAAACCCAGCTCTCAATTTCCTGGCTCCAGCAAAATCTGTGTTCTGTAGGAGATTTACTTTAGCTTGTGGTGATTCTCTAGAATTGGCTTATTAATCAAGGGTGCCTTGAGTTGGGGAAGAGAGCTGTGCTCACCCACATACTTTAGGACTCGCTGGGATGCCTGTTTACCAGTCCATCTGCAAAGAGCCCTTAATGACCTCGAAATTTCATCAGAACTACAAAAGTCACTTTCCCTGCTTGCATTCCTCAGTTCTGGCTCTGCCTCCTGGAGCTGAGCATGTGGCAGGGCTGCTCACAGCTGGGCAGATTCTTCCTGCAGCGTTAGCTTGCTCTGTGATGGGCCAGTGCAAATTGAATTAATAGCCTAGGAGTTTCCTCTGGCCTGCCACATCGGCAGATTCACACCTGGTTTCTCACTGCTTTCTTTCCAAATTCAGGCCAAGCCAAAGGCACACAAAAACAAGGGAGTAGGAGTTAGAATTTATCTGGCTAGTCTGTACCATGCAGAATATCTGTTCGAATTAAGCACCACTCTGAAATCCACACAGACCACTGACAACTACCAACAAGCTGAAAGCAACCAGAGAATTCTCAACACTCTCCTTCTTACTTCCCAAATAACTAGTTGAAAAGTAAAAACTTAATCAGATCATTAGAATAACAATAAGAGTCTACAAAGGACTCAGAAACTAACAAAGCTTTGTCACATATCCAGTAAGACTGGTTGGGCAGATATTTATTGTTGTTTAAAATGAGGAAATTCAGCTTTCAAAAGATTAAATGACTTGTTCTAGACTAAATATGGCAGGGCTGGGACCCCCAAACTCAATTTTTTGAATCTTAAATGATATCCAGTGCCTCTTCCATGTTTGTTAATATGGAAGCAAAACTAAAAAACCATGCAAAAAAAAAAAAAAACACCCAACAACCAAAAAAAAAAACCCAACTCAACACCAAAACAACAATAACAACCAAACAACAAAAGATACAAGTGGAAAGAAAAGAAATACATGTTTGTTTCATGAAACTAGTCTGTGTATGTAGATAGCCATACACAATTGTATTGTTTAGAGAAGTCTAAACAGTTTTCTGGGACTTAAGCACATGCTGTGTTATGCCGAAGTTCAGGATCCTTTTGATTTTTGTTTAAAATTTGAAAGTCGTTGGCAAACCCTTGAAAGTCTTTACTGAAATAGTTGACAAGTATTATTCCTAAAAATGAACAATGGCCCAGCAAGAATCCTGGTCAGTTTACATTTATTTTTGTTTTCTTGGAGAATTTGTGATATAAGGGATGGGTACTATATTGCGGGGGCAGACGGGTTAATGTGCAGTTTTGCATTCTCGAGTCTAACTTTGGACCCATATTTTTCAGCTGATCTCTTCAGATATAGGGGATATGTATGTAGCTCAACTTCCCCCAGGCTTTGCTGTTTTGGTGGCTCAAGGTGCTTCCCCACTGACGGGCCTATCAGCATTTGTGTTTTTAGTGGGAGAGAGGTTTAAATGTCAGTACAATTGTATAAGCAACCATAACTTGATGGATGAGTTTTTAACCTTAAAAGTGAAAATGAACCTTCTGACATATGGTTATCATTAGACCTCTGGGTGAATGAAAACTCTCCATCTTCCTGTTCACAAAGAAACAGAGCTTTGCCATATTTGAAAAATAAGACCACCATAAATAAACATGGAGCAATGAAAGCCCAAAGCTTTCAAAGACACTTACCTTGGCACCTTCTTCCACTGGAGGACAAGGAAAACCCTTCTGGACATAGACATTTGAAGCTGCCTTCAGTGTTACTGCATGTGCCCAGGGCACAAATTTCTGGCTCTTCAACACACTCATCAATATCTAAAAGAATCACATGAGTCAAACAAAGTCAAAACACGATGGAGACATCATCAGGTACCAAATACACAATGTGGACATACAAAGGGCAGCTGAGTTTCCAAACTCTTACAATAATAAAGGTATTTTTCTGTACCACAATGCTGTGGACTGGACTTCTAGGTTGTCATGGCTTTAAAAAAAATAGTTTTGACAGTTATTGATATAAAAATGGAATGTGCAACTGCCTTTTAAGGGGTGCAGTGACAAACATCTCTTACCCAGACTGAGCTGCTTGGCTAACTAGAAAAGTCAGAGTAATTTCATAGTACCCTAGGCCAGGAAAGAAGCATGAAACTCTATAGAGTCACATTGCACCATTGTTCAGGAAGCAGAAATGCTGAAACTTTAAGCACATTGATAGTGAGTCACTCAATGTGAGATCTAGGCCTTTGAACCAAATTTACTCCCCTCCAATCATCCACAGAACTCTTCCCAATACTCCGTGTTCTAGCCCTAAAACTGAATTTTACAAGAACACTAAGACTCATGACAGTAAGTATAATCCTATGAAGTGGCTAACTAACGATATCATAGAAGATGAGGCTCCTAACTGATTTGTGGGTTAATCTTTCTAAAGACACAAAAATATCTTTCTTGTACAGGCTTTTTCTTTCATCATATAGATGAAATGGTACACTTAGAACTGTGGCACGTTTTCTTTAGTATATTACACATCTTAGTTCCTGTACAGGGGTAGTTAAGAGTAGCCAATATGAAGTTTGAATGGCTTGAATAACCATATGTCCTAGTTTGCCTGGGGAAGCCCCAGCTTATGCTGGTTGGCCTGACTTTATTGTTAATAGTGCCTTTTCTACTTTCAAAATTGGCTTGGTTTGGTCAATAAAACACATGATTACCTATAGAAAAATATGCCCACTCTATTCCAACAAACTCACTTATCTTTCCTTCTGACTTTCAGCAGGAATTTTTAGTGAACAAAGTGTTAAGTCTTAATTCTGAGCCATGCTACTTTTATGAGAATACTTCTTTTTTAAACAAAAGACAAAATATTCTTATATCCTGGGCCCTTTATTTTCACATTTGTGCAAAGGTTTCTACCCACACCAAAATGTACTTGCATTATACAACTTTATTCTCAAGAGACCCAACTAAGGAAAAGTTGAGAAATTAACTTTATTATCTTGACTTAATACTGCAAATACCACACAATAAATATTCTAGAAATGTGCAATGCCAAGTGATCCTCTTTCTGTGCAATGCAAAATCAGCTTCTCCATCATGCCAGGTTATTGGGTTGCATTTATACTTGTGTTATGTTCCCTGTGGTTTATTAATGAATCTGAGCTACTATTGCTGATTGAATTACTCCATTCCAACACTCCTTCCACCCCTATATCCAACCTTTTCTTAATAGAAAAGTTGACTTTTGTGAAAATGCTCAAATGTTTTGGGTTGTTTTTAATTATTATTACTATGACTATTTCTGTTATGGTAGAAATTAGCCTGTACATGCCAACTGATTAGGATAGGGCCAAATATTGTAGAAGGGACACATTCATTGATTGTGCAGTCATTTTTCTTTCTATATATATTCATTCTGTTCATTTTAGCGAACTGAAGTATTGATAATAGAGTAAATAAAGCCAATTTTCAATAAAAGTAAAATAACATGCTTAAAAAATTTGCATCTAGACAATTTCAATAAGGTATTTCCATTTTAAATATCACCACTTGATTGTTATTTAAATTGGATATATAATTAAATTTCTAGTTGACGATATTAAAAGCAGAGAAAATTCTCTTTGAGGATTAGATGCAGACCTGTTTAAAGTCAGGGGCATGAACTAGGTGACTTCTTGAAAATCCTTTCAACCCTACTTATTTATGAAATTGTAGTAATTAATGTCCTTCACTTAATGATATGACATATTCGTTGAGGTTAAAGGAAGGCCCTTGGGAGGCTGAGGAAGGAGGATCATTTGAGGCCAGGAGTTTGAAACCAGCCTGGCAACATAGGGAGGCCCCCATCTCTACAAATGATTAAAATATGAGCCAGGCATGGTGGCGCATGCCTGTAGCCCCGGCTACTCCAGAAGCTGAGACAGGACAATCACTTGAGCCCAGGAGTTCAAGTTTACAGTGAGCTATGCTCATGCCACTGTACTCCAACCTGGTGACAGATTAAGACCCTGTCTCCATTAAAAAAAAAAAGAAAAGGAATGTAATACTATAAAATTTACTGAGAATTTATTTCAAATAACACATTTCCACTGCTCTATAGGTAAAAACAAAATAGACAAACGATATAACCACATTCATCCAAACTTGAGTGTGGTCATTTAAAGATTTTAACTGGAATCAGGAGCTATTTTTAGCTGCAAAGAATAGCCACTTAAAAAATGTAATTGAGAAATACTGGGAGGGGGATACAGCATTCCTACCAACCGTGTGAAAGCACAGTGGAAAAGAGTCAGGATCATATGATCAGTCATAGGCACAGAGCAAAATAACTTCATTAGAGATCAGCATGAGAATTAGTGCTTCTTGTCTTGCCAGAAGGATGAGACCATGTCATACCCTACGCCCTTGGATTCGTTTCTGATAAAGTATTCCAAAATGAAGACGTCATCACAAAAACTCTCATTTTGCTAAGTCCAGTGGATACCTGACACTCCTCCTTTGCTAACATTGACAGCCTTCCTACCTTCACACTTGTCATCTTGAAGACTGTATCCAGGTGGGCAAATGCATCTGTAGGACCCATCCAAGTTTTGACAGGTACCTGGTGCACATTTTCTGGGTTCTAGAAGACATTCATTGATATCTGCAAAGAAAAGGGAAAAATAAGGAAGAGGTTCCCACAGGCATAACTTCCAACAAACAATTAAAATTCAAAAAAACTAGAATAAATCAAAGAAATACACAAAGCAAATTAAAGTTCATAAAATTCCACCATGGAGAAAAATAAGTGATAATGAAAATAAGCTTTATCAGCTTTCAAAAATGTATAGTATAACCACCATATTTTATTTTACCTACATCAGATTAAATATTTCCAGAAAACTGTAGCATGTGAAAAGTCAGTGAGTATATAAAGATTTTAAGGATACTCAAAAGGTATGAGAGCTTACTACGAAAGTATTATAAAGAAAAAAATTTGAGAAGGGAAATCATAATTGCTTACAGAGCAATTTAACAATTTTGCTGTTTAACAGTTTAAGTATTCTCTGAGAATTCAATAGCTTAATTTTTAAAATAAGGGAAAAAGTGATTATATATATATATATACACATATACATATATGTATATATATTTAAATAAAAACAAAGCCTTTATAGGGAGGATTAATACAATTCCACTCTGACTTTTCCTCCAGGTTTCCAGAAAGAAGCATTAGAATAGAGACTGCATGGTTCCTTAAGTGGTCTCTGGAAGCATTCTTTCCAGGTCTTTCCAAGCCCTGTACTTACCCACACAGGTCCTCCCATCTGGAGCCACCTCATAGCCTTCATTGCACTGGCACTGGAAAGACCCCACTGTATTAATGCATTGGCCATTTCGGCAAAGGTTCCCGTTTCCACTTGCACATTCATCGACATCTGCAGAAGAACCCCCAACAATCCTTTAATATATTCCAAAGATGTCATAATTCCAGCAATAATCAAAACTTTTGAAGGAAAAAATACTTTTTTCCTGAATTTTAGTGGCCTTTGCTGGCTTAGCCAAACAATAAATTCCAGTGAAGATCTCGTATGCAACAACAGAACTGGCTTTAAGCATCTATGCACATTTAACAATAAGATTACATTATTATATTAGAGACTGACAATTTATATTCAAATTTCCTATCAGTTTTTCCTTCATTTTCCTTTAGATTTTATTTTTAAATTTTCGATTTAAATTTTTTTGATTTAAAAAATAAAATTCTAATACACAATTCAGCTGAGGACATTATTTTATATTCTTGCAATTAGAAATATTTAAATTAGCCTATAGCACAACAAAATTTAAAGAACTTGGCTTATTACTCTTGCCGAGTATGTTTTAGAAGGGAGATTCTGTAGATTCAATGATTTATTTAAGAGAGGCTACGTGAAACATCTAGACCAGAAGGTTCATATTCCTGAATCACATAATTTCTGTACAAAGAATCACTTTTGTGTATTTAAAATTTGTTAAGCTTAATCTAATTCCATTTATTTTGAAATTTATTTTACAGCAAAATAGACATAAAAATTATAGCTGCTAATGAGCATTTTAATAAAAGTAATGGATATAGTTACAGTGGTTCCTCCTTATCTATGGTTTTGCTTTCTGGGGATTCAGTTATCCAAGGTCAGCTGCTATCCAAAAACAGGTGAGTATAGTACAATAAAATATTTTGAGAGAGAGAGAGAGAACGCACACAAGAAAGTACAGTCACCTAACTTTTATCACATTATATTGTTATAATTGTTCTATTTTCTTATTAGTTATTGTGTTAATCTCTTACCATGCCTAATTTATAAATTAAACTTCAGTCTAGGTATGTATGTATAGGAAAACACATGGTATATAGAGGGTTCAGTACTATCTGTGGTTTCAGGCATCTGCTGGGGGCCTCAGAACGTATCCCTCACGGATAAGGGGAACTTCTGGAATATATTTGATGTGGAATTAGCACACCGTATTTGACAAGTCCCGTAAGCAACTGTTATGCATAAGATAGCACAGAATTTTAAAAGACAGCTGGAACACTAGAAATGATGCTAATTACAAAGAACACATATAAAACTGACTTCCTTTGCTGATGCACAATTTTGCACACGCACCTATACAGTCATTGTTGTGAGAAAGGATGAAACCATGATTGCAGCGGCAGTTGAAGGAACCGATTGTGTTCCGGCAAGTTCCATTCCCACAGGCATCTCTTTCACACTCATTTATGTCTAGTAGGAAGAAAGGCCATGAAGAAACATAATTATAAGTAGAAAAAGTGGTTACATGGTTACAGTGGCTAAACAGCATTCTAGAGTTCACCAAGCCTCATCCATAGGCTGAGAACTTCTTGATGTTGGTATCAGCTCCAGCAGCAGTCATCCCTACAAAAAACCAGGCAGCGGCAGAGCTCTAAACCTTGGGAATAAATTGTTTCCTTGGCTGGCCAGTGAAAGGAGGCAAGCTAAGGACATGAGACCTGAACAAGAATTATTTTATTCTATTTACTTCTAGAATTCTCCACCCTTGCCACTTTTCTCAAATATTTTCACTTGAAAATGGAAAAAACTCTGTGTGCATCTGGGTCTTGAGGTGTTGCCACCTTTGGCAAACTTCAACCTTCAAGATTCTCACTCCAATTTACCAAAAAGCAGTGACTCACCTGGCATTACCCCACAATCAGCAACAAAATAACTCAGCTTTCTAGCTCACCTGTCATTTCAGACAACTTTTCCTTCTTCCCTACACCCCTAAAAACATAGAACAACTTCCACCAATGATGACTTCTCTCACTCTTCTAAACCACCCCAAAGAGATGGCACTTAATTTGTTCTTTTCATACATGCTTGCATTCTTATTCGCCTTTTGATTGGTCTGTACTTTGATGATTTTGTAAAGCTACTTTGGCGTCTTATATGTCTTTGTATCTCATCACAACAGCTAGCATATTTCTTATAAAGAGTAGGTGCGCATTATATTAAGAAGGAAGAAAGAAAAAATTTAATGAAAGAAAGTTGTTACTGCTGGTTTGAAAGAATGAGGCACCATGAAGAGGGACAAGGATGAAAGGAGAGAGAGAGAGTGGAAGGTAACAATGGAGAATAGCAAAATGTAATGATTAGAGGTAGGATTTCCTTTCTTTTCACATTTTGGACATGAAGATAAATTATCTGTGATTCCTGAATCAGGAAGCTATTGCTAACCCAAAGGGACTCTAATGTGTGTCTGTGGTTGAAGACTACACCCAGATGAGTCACTGCTAGCAATCAAGAATTCCTGCCTTGATTCATTTTTAGCCAAACTGGTGAAGTTCTTTGGTTGGGGAGGTTCTATGTTAGGGGGCTCCAGAAAATTCAGATGAGAGATGTAGAAAGAAAGTTGGGGAGGGTCATCATAGCTTTTGCACAGTTTAGCTGCCCAGTGATGAGCAGGGCTGTCAGTGCTCCTGTCATTACTCTGAAGAAGATACAACTTTATGAGAATGTTCCCAAATGAATGAACCCAGTCACAGCCAAAGTCAAGGGCTTAAACATTATGACATTAACTGTTCTTTCAGCTGTGAATCTGATTTATGTTCTTAATGTCCCCAAAAGACTTAATGATACTGCTTTAAAGTAGAAAAAGAAAGGAAGGAAAAGGAGAAAATGATTGATCACACACTGAAGTTTATTCTACATCAGCATCCTGACACTAGATAAATCAGGGAAGAGATTTAAAATCCTGAGCTCTTTTTCCTCTAGACAAACTATTAACTTTTCTTTGCCTTTGTAGGATTTATAAATTTGCCTTTCAGAATCTGGTACACACTACCAACCCTTCTCGAAAAAATGGTCATCTCACACTCAAAAGCTCAACTCAAAAGGAAATCCATATCAATACTACATATGAATAATAGTCTATTAACATTAATAAAAATCATTTTTTGTATTAATATCTTTTTCAATTTACCCCTTAGTCAATTTTTTCTAAACTCACAGCCAAATGAATAACAAGGAAGAGGTTTATCATGTTCAGATGGCCAAAGATTAAATAGGATATCACTGCTGCATATCTGTCCATGTTTTTATTTTGTAGATAGCAAAAATACTACTAAAAGACTTAGCATTAAATTTTATCCATATTTAGATTCAAATGAAGTTTTCAATAGCATATGAAAAAAAAGAATAATAATTGCATACTTACCCAAGCACATGGTTTGGTCAGCATTTGTTTTAAAGCCAGTGTGGCAAAGGCAATAAAAGCTTCCAACTGTGTCAATGCACTGCCCATGACTGCATATATTGGGGATTTCCTGACATTCATTGCGATCTGTAAAGAAAAAGCATCTTAAGTGAGAACTTTGAAGACAAAATACAATTGAATAACTTACCTTCTAGCTATTGTTCTCAGGAGTAATCCTAGCTCTAAACTAAGTTAGTGAAACAGATATATTTATTTTTGCATCAAAGTGGATTAAAACTTACTCTCATTTACCAGGCATGGTCAGAGTATGTTAACAATACATGACACAATAAAAAACAAGGGGAAGTAATCAAAAAATATTCTGAAAGATGAAAAGACTTAGAAGTAAAATGGGTGGAAAAATTCAAGCTGGGAGGATTTTCTGTTTGATTATCAGCCTACGCAGCACCACAGACTGTGGAATTGATTGAAGTATTTTGTCTAGTTAAGATTTGGTGCCTCAAGTCATGGATAGTTCATGGCTTCCTTTGGAAATTTATATCAAAGTCAAATCCCATGGCTAAGATTAAGTTTTTCTTGATGGACAACCCACATGGCCCCTTGTTCAAGTTGCATCTCTTTGTCTTATTCCTGTAACTTTTTGTTTCATCTTCACCAAGTATTAACGTCTACATAGGGCTCCTTTTAGCATGTGACAATCTGAACACTGTCTCTTTCTTTTTACTCTCATCCATTCATTTAAAACGAAGCCCTCTCATCTTGCTTCTGCCAGTCTTTAAGCTCTACATTATATTTACCATCAACTGAATCTTTGTTGCTTTCCTGAAATCTGATGATCTGAGGGGCAGAATTTAATGCGTGAATTCACATATGACATAATTACATGCCACCTTATGTCTCTAATGTTTTAAAGCTCTATGCTTAGAGTAAATGTACTTTGAAGAGCACTGTGCCATTCTGACTTTCCTGCTGTCACAGAAGAAAGCACATGGAGTGCCATCTTTGCTGCAGATGCTGTAGGGCAGATGGCATTTCGCTCTTAGTTAAATAATCCAGACTTGCTGTTTGCCTGAAAGGTCTACTCAGAACACAGTCATCATGAATGGACACTTTTTTGCTGCACACAGCAACCCTGCTTGTGCCAGAATCATGGATATCTCCTCCATTTCATGTGTCCGGGCTGCCATTTTATGACTATCTCCTATTTAGTAGATGAATCATCATACCATTTAGAAGTTCGAAGTGAAGTTGAGTATATCATTATGAGGGGAAATTGAAACAGAGCAGCTTAGGAACTACTACTGGCCTATGCAGAAATGTTATTTAACAAATTATGATTATTCCCATTTGAGAAAATGAATTTAAAGTGAGCCAACTGCTTCCCAGTATAGGCAGAGGAGACTGATTTCTGTTCTTGAGGAAGGGTATGTCAGGTCTTACCATAGTTGGCCCAAAACTTTGGCACCTTCAGGTAGGACTGGACCTGGAAGTATGCAGGGGACAAAGTCCATCTCATATCTGGTTTCCACAAGGAAATGGAGAGCCTTAAGGATCTTATTAGAAAGGGATCCCCAATTAGGAATTTCCTTTCATCTATTGCCCTATTTCATGATGGTTTAAATAAATGAAAAATGAAATATGGAGAGTACTTTGGAGTTCTACTGGTAAAACTAGAGCAGAAATCTAGGTTTCTACAAGCACCAGAATTTGAACTCTTAGATGATCATATTTGAGGTTGGGATAGGAGTTCTGAACAGGCTACTGTGGAAAGAAACCCAAACAGTCAATACAGAGAGAGAGGAAACCACAAGGAAGTAGCTGGGAAGAAACTGTTTCTTGTCTTCAGCTGGGCAAGACATTTCAAAAGGGGGTTGCATTTGCTCTAACTCTCCAGCTTCTGCTGTCAGACTAGCATCCTGAGCTCAGATATCTAATTGTTCTCTGAGCTCTCTCAGCAATAATGTGGGTGCTATGGTCAGGTGTGACTTGGGGTATGAAATAATGTGCTTATGAATTCAAACAAAGATCTCATGATGGAGAGAAAGATTTAGTTATTTTCATTTTAAACAGAAGCAAAAAGGAGTACTTTATAGCATGCCTGAAAAAAAAATGCCAAGTATAGAATAGCATTTAAAGATATTTTAAAAGTAAGACATAAATAAAGACATTTCTAGAATGAAGTCTTCAACCCAACTGGTTGAATGGTTGCAAAACTCTAGTTAATTCCCTTTCTTCTGAGGATTTCAATGAATAAAGGAAATCAAGCTTTTGGCTGCAAATGATTCTCACTCACAACACTTATAGCTGGGTGCATTTTAGGTATGTCAGTCTTCTACAGGAAAACAGTAAAGGGCTTAAGCCCCAGCAGGCTATGGCTGAATTGTCTTATCTTGATCTATAAATAGCTCTGTCCCACTTCTTACCTGAGTGTGAAATGGTATGAAATGACTCATTCTATATTATCAGCAATTCTTTATTTTGACTGGAATTATTTCATCCAGTTCTAAAGAAATATAAATTACAAGCAAAATGCAGGGAAGTGGTATCAATGCCAAGTTCGCTAGGGTATTGTGGTTCATATCAGAGAAGTCCCCACTTTTCCTGTCCTGTATTTTTAATACATGGATAGCAACAGCTCTGTTGACAAAATGCTAAATACTTACACATGTTCCTTTAAACTCAACAAAACAAGTCTTGATTCTCAATGTGACTTTTTGTTTGGCAATTACACCCTCTTCCCACCAAGGTCTCATAAAACAATGCAAAATACCCTAAAGAGAACAGTGCACTTCCTACCACTTAATCGCTGGTAGGCAAGGAAATCCAAGGAAAATCTGACCACGTCCCCCTGTGTTGTTTCATTCACGAATGCATAAAATATCCAGGAAACCCCCTGTGAAATGAACCATGAGCAAAATAACACATTCTTCCTGACTAATATACAATGATTTGCTTTGCTAAATATACAGTGATTTTTGCTAAATATACAATGATTCAGAATTACTTAAAAATTTACTAGAAAATCATTCTGAGGTATTATTTTGCTTCTGGGCTGAAACACCAGTCTTTTACATTTTTATACCACTGGCTGCAAGATACCATCAGATACTGAATAACTTCACCATGCACTGAAATTGATAACATGCGCATGCTTCCTATTTCTATCACATCCTTGACAAAAGTGAACACCAAAAAATCCAACCTCTAGGGGACATGGTAATAAACAGCTAATAAAGGCTGTTGATGTTTGCTGCCTTCAGTGAGCGACCTGTAAGATGACTGGGAAGAAAAGCGATGGTTTTGTTTGTTCTGTTTACGCAGATTAATCTGACCCAGCTTAGGAGAGCTTCACTGCCTAGATTTGGGGTATGTAGCCAAGATGGTGAAAACCTCACGTTTCTGAGAGGGGTTCTGTGGAAGGAAAAAAATCATTTGGTCCTAAATGTTGCTTAGGGGAGTGTGTGTATGCATAACTGTGTGTGTGTGTGTAATGTGTGGGGGTGAGTGTTTGCAGGCAGGGCAGCAGATAGGCAAATATGAAATCTGTGTATGCAAAAGATTTCCTTCTTGTTTTGAAAATATCTCTTCCAGAAAGAGGATTAAAAAGCTAAGTGTTTAGACATTTTGACAATACCCTTTTTCCCAATTTAGTTATTAGAGTTCATCAATCTAAATCTTAACTCATATATTCTTCAGCTTAACTATCTGAACATAAATCCAGATATCTGAAGCTTCATGAAGACAAACTCTCGGGTAGGCATGTCCAGCCTGTGGGGCACTACATACCATTGCACTGTCCTGTGGAGGTGAAGCGGTAGCCGGGCTTACAGTCACAGCGGTAGCTGCCTGCAGTGTTGATGCATTCGGCGTTGCGCTGGCACACTGGGCCGTTCTGACACTCGTCAATATCTACGAGCAGAAGACAACTGAATTTGAAGGAGAACAGAATCTGGTGTCCAGTTAACAAAGCCTCTCATATGAAAACAAATTTATATTTTATTTTGATCTGTTCTATTGAAAAGACAACACAGATGTGTACAGCAGCTTTATTTATTGCCAGAAGTTGGAAGCAACCAAGATGTCCTTCAATAGGTGAATGAATAAATAAACTGGGGTACATTCAGACAACGGAATGTTATTTAGCACTAAAAAGAAATGAGCTATCAAGCCATGAAAAGACATGGAAGAAAATTAAATATGGCCGGGTGCGGTGGCTCACACCTGTAATCCCAGCACTTTGAGGGGCTAAGGCGGGTGGATCAAACTGAGGTCAGCAGTTTGAGACCAGCCTGACCACCACGGTGAAAACCCATCTCTACTAAAAATACAAAATTAGCTGGGCATGGTGGTGCGTGCCTGTAATCCCAGCTACTTGGAAAGCTGAGGCAGGAGAACCGCTTGAGCCTGGGAGGTGGAGGTTGCAGTGAGCCAAGATCATGCCATTGCACTCCAGCCTGGGCAACAAGAGCAAAACTCCGTGTCAAAAAAAAAAAAAAAAAAAAAGAAAATTAATGTATATTACTAAGTGAATCAGAAGCCAATGTGGAAAGGTGACACAATGTATGATTCCAACCACACAACATTCTGGAAAAGGCAAAACTCTGGAGACAGTAAAAAAAATCAGTGGTTGCCAGGGGTTAGGAGAGACCAGGGGATACATAGGCAAAGCACAGATAATTTTTAGGGCAGTGAAATTATTCTAAAAATAGCTATGAAATACTAGATACATGTCATTATAAATTTTTCCAAACTCATAGAATGTACAACACCAAGAGCGAACTCAAATGTAAATCATCACAGGGGACTCTGGGCGATAATGATGTCATTGGAGATTCAATTGTAACAAATGCACCACTCTGATGGGGGATGCTGATGATAGGGGAGGCTGTGTATGTGTAGGGGTAGGGAATATATGATAAATCTTTGTGCCTTCTTCTGTGCTGTGGACCTAAAACTGCCCTAGAAAATAAAGTCTATTAAAAAAAAAAAAGAGAGAGAGAGAGAGAAAGGAAGACTGAAAGCCCGTTATCCAAACTTTCCCACTTCAGTAATATTTATAAATGCAAGAGCTTGATTTATGACCACATATGGACTCTAATGATGTTCATGTCTAAAAAAAGTCATGAAACTTGGCTGCTAGGGCCAGCACTTGACATGGGTATAGATTAATATCCTAGGAAGCCTTGTATTTACTCAAAGATCTGGATTTTATGATTCAATAAGGTTGCTATTGTCTGAAAGGCTGCAAGAGCAGAATGTCTCAAATCTTAAAGACCACATGAATCACTTAGGATCTTGCTAAAAGGCAGATTCTGACTTCGCATGTCTGGGGAATGGCCTGAGAGTCTGAATTTCTATTAAGTTCCCAGCTGATGCAGGTGCTCCTGGTCTGTAGAGAGTGCTTTGAGGTACAGGGCTGTAGAGACACCTGCTCAAATTACTGCCACAAGGCAGTCAAATCAAGAAAACCTAACATGGGAACCATCATAAAACTATTGAAAACAAACCAACGCTCATTAAAACAGAAAAGATTTTGGATAATGGATATTGTGTGTTCCAGGGCTTTGACTTTGCTTAGGAGGTTGTCTACTTAAAAAACAAAACAAAACACAACAAAAAACAGATACCTAATATAGTTCAAATTCATGGCATCACAAAAGTTACTACATGTCCATGGTATATCATGGGGCAAAATACGTTTCCCTTTTCCCTGCTCCAGTAGAACAATCTAATTCAGACTAAGTCCAGTAGAGGGGATGGACTGTAACAGGTGGGGGTTGGCCCTTAGTACCAGTTCTGGGCTTTTACACAGAAGTTGGCTCGGCCAAAGAAGTTCCTACAAGGGGGTGGCAGATATATCAGCCGATGCCTCTTGGGTGTGGTTCTGTGGTGGAAAACCCTCAGGACTGTCAGTTAGTCAGTGGGGGTTCCTGTCTAAGGCGGGTGGATTGTGCCTCTCTGGGCAACAGACCAGGAGTAGGACTGTGCCTGCCTTCGGTTACAAGGGACCCAGCACCGCCTCACTCACCAAGTCTGCCCTGCTCTGAATTCAGGATGTATAGAAACACAGGGGGCAGACTGTGCCATTGGAGAAACTGAGTAGTGTCACAGACAAGCACTTCTATGATGTGGCATCTGACAATGTGGCTACTTGGTGAGAGCAGAGGTATGGAAGCTCCCTAAATCACCTCTGCAATCCATTCCAATTTCAGCGTTGCTGAGGCATGTATGCACTCAACCTCATTTTCATATTCTAAGAGCTAAGAGTATGCTGGGAAGCAGCTGACCCTGGATTAAACATTCACCCTGAAGACGGATATCCTGTGAAACGGCAATCAGAAGTTGGAGTACTTAGTTATCTCAATATCCACAGAATGCTACCCTGACAGCAAAATGCCTTGCATTGGTACAGCTGCATGTGTTTAATCTCATGCATCTGGCAAGGTCTAAGTTACCTTGGTGGTCATGGGTGGTCTTGTCTATGGGTTCTGGCCAAGGGCTGCCGCCTCAGCAAGTGTAAGTGGTTAAAAGGTACCTGGGTACAGTGATCATCAAAACGAACTCTGAGGGAAAGGGTGGGGAGGAAAATGCCACAGGCAGGTGGCAGGCATGCTGAGCATGCTCGAGACGGGGAAAAGTGCGGCTGTGAGGGAGGCGGCCAACTCTAGCACTGTAAGATCATCTGCCGTGGGTTCCCTCTCCCACATCCATGCTTCCTCTCCAGGTACCTGATCCTTGATGGCTTCCCAAAGACCAGGGACTCAGGCCAAGGTCTGAATTGGCTATCTTCTTAGGAAGGCTCGGAATGGCTATCACCCCATTCCCACTAACTCACACAGCAGGCAGAGTAAGGGACATGTGCCCACTTGGCCACAGTAACTGAAAGCCTAGTGAGAGGAACTTAACAAGTATGTGGTTAGGACTATAACTTTACTTGTGGTATATAAGTTGTCTTCAGTTTAGACAAAAAAGTTTTTTTTTAACATTACAATGTTGACATATGTGCTATAATATGTGCTCTGAGGGGTAATAACCCTTTCTAACATGAATAAAAACTCTGCTAGAGGCCCGAAGTGTAAGTATTAAATAGAAAATTATTCCAACTATCCTGGGCACATGGTATATTTAATAACCAGTAATGTCCCTTTTACTCAAATGTAACAGAACTATCTTTCCCAGATGTAGGGAAAAATATGAAGTGCTATAAGGAATGCTCCGAATCACAGTACATATACATGGCAACAGGAGGTAATTTGAAAATGAAAAAAGTACATGTGCATGCCAACATTCTTCATATAAAATCAAATTTGCTGTTCTTGCCATTTGGAATTCTCTCATGCATTTAGAATATTTGCATTAACCTTGTTTTCACTTGGGAGTAGCAACGTCTGTCTGGAAGAGAAGTGATTTTGAGAGTCAACTAGGATGACTGTCCACTCATTGATTTTCAAGCAATGTGAAACAAAAGCAATCTAGGTGACACACCCAGGAACTCAAAGCTTTTTCATATCAGCTGGGAAGTCTAATATTAATACACTGTGTGTTGGGGGAAGGGGGCTGGGAATGCGCCTCCTGGTTTTTCCACTGAAGTTAGTGAATTTTTTTTTTTTTTTGCATGAAATTTCATGTTGTTCCACACCATGCCCTTGACTATTTCTAGAGCTTAATGCATTTCTGAAATTTCAATGTTGTGAAATTCGCCAGTGTGTATCATTAAGTACCTTATCAGTTAGCTCTTTTCTGGATATGATAAAGTCACGATGCCACTTACCTTCACAAACCAACAACTTGTCATTATAGAAGAATCCCACTGGACATTCACATCGGAAGCTGCCAACCATGTTGATGCACACTCCATTTTCACAGACCCCTGGGATCTCCCGGCACTCATCAATATCTAGAGACAGAGTAGTCATTCGTGAGTGACAGGACAGCACATGACCCCTGTGCAGGGTAAGACAAGATGCAAAGTTCTTGTGTGTGTGTGTGTGTGTGTGTGTGTGTGTGTGTGTGTGTGTGCATGTGTTGGGGTGATGGTGATGGCAATAGGGGACATCAATTAATAGCAAATTGAGGTAACTAAACCACTTTCCAGACATATGAGTCTAACTGGATTTAAAATATATCTTTTGGGTTTTGCTTCAGAATGTCAATTTTGTACAGGTAGAGGGCATCCTTGTATCCTCTGGGCACTGTGGGTACACCAGATGAGTAAAATAGAAGGGATAGTCAAGGGTAAACAGTCTCTCCACACAAGTGTGCCTGTATTTAGGGAAAAGGGAGAGGTGAGCTGGTAAAGAACCGCAGAGGAGCACATGGTCATATGGAACTCTGATCTTTCAAATTCCAGTTCAACTCCCCCTTCCTATTTCATGTGGCTTTAGAAAGGAGGTAAGTCAGGTGTGGGGATGTCAGCTAGGCCAGGGCTGACAATGAAGACGAGGTCAGCACTGAGGAAGAAGTGTCACAGTAGACTGTGTGCCTCCTCAGGCTGGGAGTTGGGCTTGGTTTTCCATCACTGTGTTACGGTTCCTTAGCGCTCTACATGACAGGTAGTAAGTGCTCAATTCAAATTTGTTCAATTAAGAGCAAGTGTCTGGCAGTGTGTTGGTGAGCACTAAAACAAGACCAAGAGTGAGAACATGGCCAGGACCCAGGCTGCTAAGGCAGGGCTGGCCAGCTATGGAGAGAGACTTTGGGCACCTCACCAGCCTGGCCATGTCCCCAGCCTGGAGTGGTCCCATCTCTGTCTTATCCACTCTGAACTCCTGACCACTGAAGTGCCCTCTAGGATAACAGTAGTAATAGTAATAATAATAATAATGGTAATAGTATTAATAGTAACAGCATCTCATTTGCTGCATGCCTGGTACATTTCTCAAGCATTCAAGCTGTATTTATTGGCTGAATTATCACAGCTACCCTATGAGATGGTCTCGGTACTATGACTATTCTAACTAAGAGATGATGCCAGTGAGGCCAAGCCAGACTATATAACTTGCCCAAGACCAAGCAGCCAATGAGAGGCAGAGTCAGGATTTGACACTGGGACTCAGTTAACAGGCCACCCCGCCTCTCTTTTCATATAAGAAGATCGTATTAGGGTGATTTCCTACATCACCCTAATACAATCTTCACAGAACTGTCATCAACACTTTTGTTATCCTGGATGGCCCTTCCACCAGCCCCTTGGCTGGGTTTGATGAAACACCTCAGCTGGGAGGTATGCAAAGCCTTGGTCTACAATCCAAAGTCTTCCAATTCACTAGTTTCTATGACTGTTGTTGAGATACTTTGTTTACTTATTGTAGTCAGGAGCCTTTGCAGGGTACATGCTTTGCTAGCATACTTTGTGAGAAGATGATCATGGACTGAAGTGGAGCCTACAAGAGCTGCTGCAATTTTAGAAGAACCACACTCTATAACCCATCTGTTTTAAAGGAGAAATTTAATGTCATAGATTTATTTTAGACCCTTTTTAAAAAAAGGGTTTGATTCTGTGTGAAGGCAGAATTGACCTATTTAATGAAAAGAAACAGCTTAGAATCTCAAAGGGTTCACTGCTATTTTGAATACAGGCAATTATGTCTTTAGATCTTTCACACCTTTGTCATTCATGTCATGAAAAAGCCATGTAAAGTTACATCACAACTGTGTATCATAAGTAAACAAAAAACAAATTCAGATGCCATTCATTCAGTGTGGGTTAGAACATGAAACATCATATTCACATTCATTTGTTTTAAATATAAGTGACATATTATTATCAAGTTTAACAATAACTGGCTGAGTCTAATTTCCAGCCATTGTTAGGTGTAAAATAGCAAAAGGATATACTAAAAATTATATTTTCTTTTCCTGTCAGGATTTTATTTGAACTTCAACTTAGAGAAGTTTATATTTTAAGACAAGATTAATAAACATGCTATAGTTTTAACCCTATATGAATGGACTCCACATGCCAACAATCATAAGATCTTCCAAAAGGAGAGTATAAAGCTTAAATAAAACAAAGCTTTTTAGTCATCTAAATATTTTGTCATGGTGGAATTTGGTAACAATAAGCATATAGCTAAAAATCAGATGTCCAGTTTTCAAGAGCTAGAAGCAAACTAAGCCACGAGTCAGGACTGTGTTCTGGTCCCCACTCTGTTATTAATTAGCTGGGTGGCCTTGGGTGAGTCCCTTTCCCTCTTTGGGCCTCTGTCTTCTCAAATATGAAGCAAGGCTTTTGGACTAGATGAAGTTTGAAGCCTTTCCAGCTCTCCTAGTGGACAACGCTAATGTTGTTTCTAGTCTTTGCTTACTGCCAACCTTGGAGGGCAGCCTTGCTGGGGTACACGCCTGGTCGGTCCGTGGAGAACCATTACCATTACAGACCACTTATCTTGTGATCACAGATTCTAGGGAGATTAAAAGATCTGTTTTGGGAAGGGGAAAAACAAAGCAGCTGGGGCCAGGTGTTCCATGCCAATGTCATTTAGCAGTTTTTCTTTCCAAACCATGAAGTTTCTTTGGACGTGGACGAGACTGTGGAGCCATATGGATTTGGCACTAAGGGAGCCAGGCTGATTGCTGGACCAGACTCTTGTTTTCTTAAACAAGGTCACTGGAAAGGCTGATGTGGACTTTAGTTTACTTATTATGAATAAGGTGGAATAAAGCAAGTGGTGATGTTTGCTACTAGACACAACTGTGCAGACTTAAGAGGGCATCTAAGGATGCATATAAATCACACCAGGGAAAAACTCAGAGAATGCAATAGCTTTCCATCTACTTTTATGTTATTTGGTTTTAAACCACAAGGGCATTGCCTGCACTGGCTGACTGCTGTGCAATACTTCTGAATCTTGCACAAGCATCTCTACCAATGTTGCGTTCTCTGCTTCATTTACCAGGTAGGGCCTCACGCTGAAAAGATTTTTATTTCACATCTGAAATTCTCAAAGCAGATGACCTGAGGAGATTCCATGTAAGATAAAATTGATCCACGAGAGGACTTTATGTAAATAATCTACATGTAAGGATTGGTGTGAAAAGTCACTTAACCTGGTCTTAGTCAGAAGGAAGGATTGGGAATTACAGTCAAATCAAATGTCAACTGGCCCTACTCCCAGAATCTCTCCCCTTGCTGATGCCTAAGGTTGGTTTAACTATGCTTGATTGTCATTTTGGGAAAAGTTTTCCAATCCCCTTAATCATGAACAACAAATGCTGTTGCCAGTTAGGTGGAGCTGCACAGGGTGTTTGCACAGTTTGTTTCAAACTAAGAATCAGTGTTTCAATAAAGTGAAAGGCATTGTTTAACTTTTTTTTTTCTTCTAAGAAAACAATGGGAACTGAGAAAATAATGGTGTACTCCTCTTGCTAACACAAAGGCAAAAACAGAAAGTCCTGACAATGCCGTCATGACTCACCAACGGGTAAACCGGTGTAAATGTCGATGACAAAGCCTGGCCTTTGACTTCCACAGAGTGTAGCAAACTCATCTGCAATGAAGGTGGGATGGGAGGACAGGAGTCAGCAAAGAGCAATAATTAGACTGAAAAAAATTACTTTGTAAGCATTCTTGAAAAGTATTTGTCTGTAGTTTGAAGAATTTAAAATAAAAAGTAAACCTGAAAATTCCTACAGATATAATCTTGCCTGTAAGATCAATATGGAAGAAAAAAATGATCTAATGTTGACGTGATAATGAAGGAGAAGTAGAGACCCCCAGATCACATGCCACTCATTCACATGAGTTTGCCTGTAGGAGTTTGGATTTTGATATGGGTGTTGCTCACCTCTGAACTCAGGGACTGGTAAGAGTGCCTCTCTCTACTCTGCATTAAGAGATCTAGGGTTTGAGGAACACATACAAAAGCCATTTTCTCAGTAGATTATAGGAGACCATAGCAAATCTAGCCATGTTCTTGACATCACATTGATTAATGACTAATTTGGGTCAATCAACCAACCTTCACCATTTTTTTTTCAGTTTTTGGAGCTGGATTTCATTTGGTACAGCTCTGTCATATTCCCTCCCTCTCCCTCTCTCCTTTTCTGTCTTTCTCTCACTTGAATTAGTCAAATTTAACAGATAATAAAGGATGAACTAAATTCTATCGGCAGTCCCTTCTAACTATGAGATTTTGTAATTCCAGATCATGACTGTAACTGGTAAGGTATGGTATCAATATAAGCTTCAGATGACCACTGCCTTATTGGTCACACTCAGTGAAAATTAGTATCAGATTTCTGGAAGTATTTTAATCCAAATATAGCATGTTATTCTCCTTGTGTTTTGTTTCCTTAATCTATGAGTGCTCACTTCCAACACTGTAATGCCAGCTGACATTGGTCATCCAAAGAAATTACAGGGACTCTTAAAATATGTGCAGATTTCACAGTTAACGAAAAGCCTTGACCAGATTTGGTGAATATCCAACATCAAGAAGAAATCTTGCATTTTACACAAGAGTATGTAGATATTAAAAACTCAGGCAACCATTTCTAAAAGTAAATGTTAGTCTATATTAAGGGTTTCCAAAGTGGTCTCCAGAGGAATATGCAATAATCCAATAGGATAAAAAAGAAAATACTAGGACTTCTATCTTTGGAAAAATCTAATCTTTAAAAAAATTAATTTTGTGCACACTTTATATTAGAACAGCTCAGAAAAATAAATGCATTTTTCAATATAATTGAAAACAAATACATATACACATACATAGACCTATACACGTAGACTTTTACATATAAATGCACACCAGGTGTGTATAAGCTCCAGATTTTTAACCAACAGGTAAGTATCATCTAAAGTTGTAAAGACCATTGCTCAAGATCAAGGGTCAGCAAACTTTTTAATAAAAGGACATAGAGTAAAATATCTTAGGCTTTGCAGGCTGTACAGTCAGTCAAAACTATTTAATGCTGCCATGAAAGCAGCAGTAGACAATACAGAAATAAATTAGTGTGCTCTAATAAAGTTTTATTTATGGGCAACAAAACCTGAAGTTCATGTAACTTTCATATTATGAAATACTCTTCTCCTGTTTTTTTTCCAACCATTTAAAGTGTAGACATCCTTCTTAGCTTGCAGGCCATTCAAAAGTAGATGCTGGGATGGATTTGGTCCATTGGGTGTATTTTGCCAAGCCCTGGTCTAGAAACATTTTGCAGGGTAGAGGTAAATCAGAATTCTAAGTGGTGGTTATTATATTATTTCTGGAGTAAACAATGGATGGAATAATACATTTTACTAAAAAAGAATTTTCTGCTGCATACAAGGTCAGGTAGTGCCAAACAACAGATTTAATATTTTATATATCACTGTGGACAATGGGGTAGGATTCCCTTTACAGAATACCCTAATCAATTCCTGGCATGATAATTTCAATTCACCCAAATTATAATCTTGGCAAATGATGTCATCATCATATACATAATGCATAGTGTATACCATATGATATAAGAACAGTATACTAATATCTTCATTTCCTCAAAGGATGCAATTTAGCCCCCCTCCCTTTTTTGAAGACAAATAACATTATTTAGTTTCTTTCTCTATGAGAATATAAGAAGAAATTTATCTTGGATCTCAATATCAAGAATAGTTGCACTTTCCTTTCATTTTGAGTTTTCTTTATGGTCATTGAGAATTTTGTACTTGATCACGTCTCCCTTTTCATAGGACCTGCTAGAAAGTTTGGGGTTAAAGCTATTGCTTATTTCAGGGCAAGTGTGTAGGAATTCCCGGCTTGGATTTTGTGTGTTAGTCCTGCTCCTGGCTCTACCTTTCTTACTCTTGTTTGTCATTTGCCTTATGCTTATTTCTTGTTTAACATTTACATTTTTGTAGGCTGCCTTTAATCATTTTTGGAATGAATTTAGCTTTAAACAAGTAGAAAGACAAGGAATGATGTTTCCTTTATTGTCACATTGATTTGTCTAATGTTTCCAGTCTTTTAGTTACATGAAGAATTCAGTAACAATGAGAACATTGTTTATAGTTTATATTTTTGTGATATGCTGAGTTTACAAGTCTGGTTATGTGTTAGGGTATACATTAGAAAACATATTCTGTGACTCAATGTTCGGCTGGAATGATCAGCATCAATTGTGAATTTAAATCATGAGCCAGTTTTTTTCCCCTGTAAAGATAAACAATGCATGCTTTGCTTCCTTCACTAAGACTGATTTCCCCAACAATTCATGGGTAACTTTTCAACCTATATTTTTGATAATGGAGAAACTAAAACTCACCTGTACTTGGGATGGGACACTGTTCACAGGGCTTATTCCAGGCCCGGCCAATGTTGTAGGAACAGCAGCACATCTTCTTGGTCATGTTGAATAACAGTTCTCCATCACAGGTCTGGTTGTCAGCATAGTAGTTTCTGTAGCACAAACTTCTTCTCATATCTAGAAGGGAGGTTAAAAAAAAAGGATTGGAGGGTTGGTGATGCCATGTGGGAAATCACAACAAATTTCTAAGTGGATACTCAACAAGCAAGTTTCATTTGAGTTGTATTGTAGCTTGACTTTGATAAGGGCACAAAAAACTTACTCTTACACAACATTCTAGCTACCTACGCTGCTACAAGAAAAAGAATTTCAGAAGTATATTCCCTGATATTTCATGCCACAGAACTAAGTCATTATGTAGCTGTAGCATTAATAAACTTCAAATGACTCTCTGCCCAGTCTCCTAGTAACAATTCTCTACTGCCATTTGGCAGTAAGTTTCTCATTTTCGACTCATGATGTTTTAATACTGTAGGTCAGTGCTGTAAATATAATTGTACAAAGATACACCCAAAAGTCAAACAAAAGAAGTACTATTAACTGTTGTTTGGGATTTTCCAACATTACATTTTAGAGAAAACTCCCAACCACCCACCCGTGGTGGTGAAAAAATGCCAAGTTATGATTTACAGGGGAAGAGGCTCCTAACAAGACAGTGAAGGGATGCCAGCACTCAGTCTGATGAGTAACACCTCCCTAAGGTGATGAACTTGTGAGCTCTCTTCCTCTTTGTCGATGAGAACTAAACATGCATTACTGAGAAAAGCCTGGACTTACCCATGCAATTATTTCCCCCATTCACTTGCATGTAGTCTGGAGGACAGATACAGGTGTAGTTGCCAACGGTGTTGTAACATGTCCCTGGACCACAGATTCCAGGAGTCTCACATTCATTCACATCTAGAATCCAAAGAGAAAGTGGTATGTGAATATGAAAACTTCACATTTTGGAATGGCCTGATACTTAATGTCAATATGAATGTTGACAATAAAGGAGAAAATCTATAGGGTATTTTCAAATAAGATAACAAAAATAGGTATTTCATTCATTCGTGTCCTCTCTCTGTGCAAATGTGTGCCTTTTGAGGAAAGAAGGTTTTAGAAAAGGAGACTCCGTCTCAAAAAAAAAAAAAAAAAAAAAAAGGGAACTCCTGGCTGGACATGGTGGCTCACGCCTGTAATCCCAGCATTTCGGGAGGCCAAGGTAGGTGGATCACTTGAGGTCAGGAGTTCCAGACCAGCCTGGCCAACGTGGTGAAACCCCATCTCTACTAAAAATACAAAAATTAGCCAGGCGTGGTGGTGCACACCTGTAGTCCCAGCTACTCTACTCGGGAGGCTGAGGCAGGAGAACTGCTTGAACCCTAGATACAGAGGTTGCAGTGAGCCAAGATCATGCCATTGCATTCCAGCCTGGGCAACAGAGCAAGACTCTGTCTCAAAACGAACAACAACAAAACAAAACAAAAACAAAAAAGAAAAGGAACTCTTGCCTTCTGACATGAGACATATCAAATATTATAATGAATCTCCTAATAAGTGAACCTATAACATCCTCAAAGGTAGGCAGAGATAGAAATATAGAGAAATGAAAATATCAAATATCCCTTAGGAAGACAAGCACACTTCTTATGTTCACAAAATCTATGATAGGGTATATAGTATCCCGAAGTCATTAACAGCTGGCTTCATGAATCTGCATTGGTAAGGCAGCATGGAGCATATTTCACATCCTCTCCCCACTTCCAAATGAAGGAGTTGATTCTAATCTTTGTTAACTCCATGGGTCTTAGAGCTGTCCCATATACCCTATGACGTTCAACTAATACTCAGTGAGGTTGCCATTTGTCTGGGTGACCTAGTAAGACATTTAAAGAGCCAGGGGAATATTTCTTATGCAGAGCACAAGGAGGTCTTTTTCCTAAACAGTTGTGTGATTCCTCCATGTAGATGAAAACCATGGCTCATGGCCGAAGTGCTCTGAAACCTAGAAGTGGTTAATATTCTCCACCTTTCCAGTAACACAGAATGAACAAGGGCCACCACTCATAGCATAAAGCCAAAAGGCCGCCTTCTAGGAGAAGCTTATTTGAATACATGAGCACCAATGACAAGTGGTGAAGGATTAAAAGAAGAGGGCCCAGAACTCCCCCAAATAGAGAAGTAGCACTGAAATGGGACCTGTGCCACTCTCGTAATAAATGGCTTTTCTGAAGAGCACGGAAAACTCTTTTGTAAGCATACATGAGACTATGGTCCAGCAGAATAAGATACTGTTTTTCTCAGGAAAAGAGGGAGATTTAGGACTTACCAGAAATGACATCATCTGCGTAACATGAGTCCAAATTGCCACATGTGTGACATATTTACCTGGCTATGCTCGTGTTTAGACCATTGTGTTACACTGCTAAATTCTGTTTTCCTGGTAACCATATTCTGGTTTTGCAGGTCAGTTCTCAATATCTGCAAGACCTTATCATCCTACAAGGACCATTTACCATCACACACTCGTGTATCTTCATTCAGGTAGTAGCCGGTTGGACAGCGGCACTGGAAACTCCCAAAGGTGTTGATACATTTTCCTCCTTGGCACAGCCCTGGTAGCTCCTGGCACTCATCAATATCTATCAAAATCAGAACAAAGGCATTCCTTTAGCATTGTAAATAAGCCCAAGGAAATTCAAGTTGTGTGCACTTTAAGACAAAGGAAACACAATTACCTTCCAATATAACGGTGATAGGATTTGGTCGGAAACCTTCCCCTCCAGGACAAAGAATTTTGTACTCGGCTATTGAAACAAAAATTCAAATTGAGTTGTTTTTGAATCTAAAGTTTTTAGAAATGGTATCCTCAAGAGGAATACTGACATATCCCACTGAAAATGTTCATTTTCAGGAATCTTTAGTTGTTACTCTGCATGTCTCAAGTAAGGTAACACCTTTGTGTACACTTCCCATTTTCCAGTGGTTTTTATTATGTGTCCCCAAGGCAAGGCCACTGCCCTCAGTCCTTGATCTCTAACCACTCCCTGGTCTTACGTGCGTGTGGACCATTTATCCCGTACCTTCATTCATCCCTTGTTTCTTTTTACAGATTTTCTTTCCCTTTTTATTTTCTCAAAAACTTCATCTTCATTTTTATGTTCTGTTCAGCCTTACTTTCTGGGAATTACAGCTTCCCTTAATAACCTTAATTGGCTTGTTTCCAAAACCCTTTCCAAATAGAGCCTTAGGAAAAGCTGTTCTCTGTTGATTCCCATCCCAATTCTCTCCTTAATGACTAGAGACCTTTCTTGTGCCTCCGTTTCTATGGGTAGCAATATTGATTCTCCTGGTTTCCAAAAACAACTTTCTACAGTGTCCTTGGGTTTCCCCCATTCATTCTCTCATCCAAGTATTTTTACCCAGAACCATTTATTTCAGTGCCGTGCACCAGCACGGTGATATGTACAGGCCATGTGAATAAGAATGTCTGTAACCTGCTGCATCATCCCAGTGAGGATCTAAGATCAGTTCTTTCATAATGTCATGGTCGGTCCAGATCTGCTAATCCCTGTCCTGGCTTCCTGAAATTATACGTACATACGTCTATATGTATATATTCCAGTTCTAACTCCGGTCCAGATCTGGTGTGGCATGGATACCTATTGTTTTGCTACTCATTATTAATCTACAAAGCTGACTCCCCCAATTAAGTATCTTAGTTTGCCCCCTTCGACACCAATGAAATGAACAGTTCTCCTCTTTTACTTGTTCTCCTCTTTCTGCAATCATTCACACTTTTTGAGTTTCTTCTTTCATGTCACAATCTTCTTGAAGGCTCAATGAAGAAACGCACAAAGCCCCACCCTCTCCCAAGCAGAACTGACCTCTGTTTCTGAAGAGAAGAGAGAAGGAGAAGGAGGAGCCAGCTGAGCACTCACCCCTGTGCTGGGTGCTCTGCATGAGTGATTTCATTTAATCCTATGAGGTATTTTATGAATGCTAAGGAACTTGCCCGAGGTTACACGGGTGACAAGTAGTGGAGTCCTAATTCACACCAGGTGTGCTCCTTGTACCAACACAGCACTGTGTCTCCTCTTTCTTCTCTTTCTGAGGCCTATTTTGAATTATAGCGCTTATGTTTAGGTCATAATTTGCCGACTGTGCTGTATTCTCCTGAAGGGCAGAATCCAGTCTAATTCATCTTTGCACATCCAGAGTACACACTCTAGGTACTCAACAAATATTTTTAGAAGAACTGAATACATGACCCTTCAGCAAAAAAAGAATCCATACCTATCCCAATATATGCTATAAGCAGTAGCCACTGACTTTTGCCAAAGAAGCTACATCTAATTCTGAATCATAACACAGGACCCACTTGGAAAAATGAAAACCCTTTTATATTTTTAGGAGACATAGTTTGTATGTCCTTACAGTCACATGCTAAAGCTTTCTTTCAAGCCACACCATAAGAAAGGAATAATTTTCCATTTTGTAGTTGCTTCTAATTGCTTCTCTTCAAACCCAGGGACACTGAGTCTGGCCTAGAGCTTTCAAAACTAGTCAACAGATGAGAGGAGGAGAGATAATCAATGTGTCCCTGGAAGGTAATAAGCAACATGGTGTAAGTAACCGAATCTGGAAAATCTTTAAAGTAATGCTATCTGCTTTTCACTTACACAGAAGTGAGATGTTACCTGCCCTACCTGATCTTTTGGTGGGAGCCAACCAGGAATATTTTCTGACTCTCTAACTGGGAACAAGGTCCCCTCTACAGGGCTGAGAGGACTTATCTTTCTTCTCTGATCTAAGAGTGGAAAAGGTTTACCTTCTGATCTAGAAAGGAGAACTGGCTGGGGTTGAAATAATAATAAATAGGAGGCCGTCCACTTACATGTGTTCACAGCAGGGCACATCTCACAAGGAGTACCCCAGGCTTTCCCCAGAGAACAGCAGCAGGAAGCTTTAGAAACACCAACTCCAATTTCATTGCTGCAGGCTGTATCTCCATTGTCTCCTCGAGGTCGAATATCCAAATAGCAATTTCCAGAGCGGGTGTCTATTTACCGTACACAAACACAAAAGCATCAGGCAGAATCTTTCTACTGGGGTTGAAAATTCAAACCCATTTCAGGAACTGTCCAAACACCATAATTTACTTTTACTGAGAAATTAAAAAGTGCCCATGAACATTATACACTACCGAGAATCTTCCCTATGGAAAAGATATCTGAACACAAAGCAGAGATAGGAAACGTTTAAATTTCTGTATCATTCATTTTGCAAACTTTGAGAATGGAAAGTTTGGTGCTGTTTTCAAAATAATACACAGTATGCTTGCTTCTCTGAAAAGTTTTTAAGGTCTTACCAACACAGCCAACTCGAGTTGGGTTCAGTTCGAAATCAGGTGGGCAGTCACAGGTATAGCTGCCTGGAGTGTTGACACAGTTTCCACTGATGCACGTGGTTGGATCCAGGCATTCATTAACATCTAAAACCGAACAGCGAGCAGTGGAGTTAGCACCTGAGCCAGTGTAGGCAGATAGCGCCATAAAAGAACAGGGCCCAATCTACAGCTCCAAACAAGAATTTTAAAGCTACTAGTTATAACTGCATCTAGAAATGCAGTCTTCCACTTCAGAAATAGAACCCCTCAGGAAGGAAATATGGTATAGTCTTTGGTTGTCCTCCCCCGGAACACATTTACCATTCAAATTTGTCATCAGGATAAAATATAACTTTGGAACTAGGAAAAATATTCCAGTCAAGGTAACTGAAGGCAAAACACTGCTGTGATCTGGGTTGAACAAAAATTCAGACGCCGTTTTTAAGAAAATATATTGAGTATATGTGGCTTGTTATTTCATCAAATTAGAGCAAGATGTCCCAGGAACCCCTCAGAAGGGCAACTCTCGCTGCTTCCCCTGACACACACGTGAGGCTTAGCGTGTTCCCTGAGGTCAGCAAGGAGTCTCTCTCCCATCATCCACGCTGAGTTGAGTATTTCCCTTTCAGTTTCTATTCCAAAAATATGTACAGAATTCCAGATATTTAGGACATGGGTTTTGGCAAATTCCACTCTGTACGATTCCTTTTGTCTGTTTTGAACACTCGTGAAATACTCAAGAATAGACGAACGGCTTCTGTGAGGAGGGACTGGAGAAGAAGGACGACACCTTTGCCTTGGTCCTCCCCTTGGATCTGGCAACCCTCCTGTGGGTTACGCTGCAGAAGATTTTTTTGTTCAAATTGCATGTGAATTTGGATGGACAGGGCCAGAGTAACATAAATGAGATTAGACAGAACGATGTTGATAGTGATCTGGGGCACACAGGAGAGGGGACAGGCCACGGAGAGGGGACTTCCTGAGGCATGCAAGAGACCCAGCCTGGTCTCATCATAGTTTTAAGGAAAACCAAGGGAGGAATGTGTGGCTGGAGAAGAATACTCCATCCAGAGCATTTGCAGGGTGGTGGTGGTGGTCATGATATGGAGAGCCCCTGAGTCATGGTTTGTTTAGGTGGTTGAAAAGACCAGATTTTTTCCTGAAATTTGAACTCATACAGAACGTAAGTTGTTTCTTCAGTATCCTCGAACAGAGGGGTGAATTAGGAAGGGGAAATGCACATGGCTTTCAAATTCTTAATGCCAAAGAGAACCGAGTGGCAGTCTGCTGGTGCCTCCAGTTTTTCAAAGCTTTTTATAATGTTCCCTGAGAGTCCCTGGCTCAACAAGAAAATGATTTATACACTAGAGATAGGTGGCTGAGCTCTGTGTACCAGGTACTCTGGTGAGCACGCGCAGGGCAGGGGGAGGAAGGAGTGGGGTGGGTATTGCAACGACAAAGTACAAGGAGAAAACCCGTGATCCTAGGGCATGGCCTCCAAAAGGAAACTCTCCGACAATGTACCCAAGTAGAAAAGGAAATGGCTGGGAAGCTACACAGCTGGAGCACCCCTAGAACATTCCTTTGTAGCCACAAACTCAATTTCAAGGCTACAAACTCTGCTCCTTCAATTGTCTTCGACTCTTCCCTCCGGATCCTCACCTCCAATCAGTTCCAGTTCCACCTCCAATCACCTCTCAGTCAGGTGTGAGAAAATGTATCTGTGATTCTTACTACTTCCCCCTAGATTTTCTTGTCCTCTGTGATGGCCCTTGTGTAGCCCCAGGGAGGCTCCACTAGCTGGGTCCCCCGGGACACCAGGGAGCCGATTTTGATGCGAGCAGAGGTCTTACCTGTGCAGTTCCCGCCGCTTCTGTCCAGTTCGTAGCCTATCTCACACTCACAGCGGAACAGGCCTGGGAGGTTGTGGCAAGTTCCAAAGACACAGATGTTTGGAAGGGAGCACTCATCAATATCTTGGGGGAGGGAGAAAAAAAGCAAAGCAGTTAATTTATATTTTTCTAAAAACACCTGCCAAATATCATTAGGCAACTAATGTAAATATTAAGAAAATGCAGACTACCTAACACAAATCTGGGCACTTCTCCTATAGACTTTTAGATGATTTGTCATACACAGGGAAGTCTCATAGGTGAGAGGTTACTTTTCCTCAGTCCCTATTACATGCCAAGCAGCAGGCTGAGTATTTTACAGATACGTATCTCATTTGTAGTTTTCCCCGTAGGTCCACATCAGTTCCGTAAAGTAAGAGCCAAGCAAGCCACCTTACACTAGATTTGTGTGGGTGTTTTTTTTAATCTATCTATCTAGTCATTGTTTTTGTTGTGAATTAAAATTTCACAAGCCACAATGTCTTTTGGGGAACTGTCACAATTAGTTGCATAATCTCCAGTGTCCCTAGTCCTATGGCTTGTGTTTGCCTTTGTTGATGAAGATTGAAACACCGCACACGCTTCTTCCAGGCCTCTGTCTCTGCCTCCTGTTAACATTCTTCGTGTGCAGTTGACACACAGTCACATTTTCAGGCTTGAGACTAGCTTTAAATAGCCATGACCACTCCGCCAGCCATGATTTATATTAAGAACAAACAAACAAACAAAACCTTCCCTTATAGCAATAAGAGAAGCACAACTTTCACTGTGACTATTCATGTTACCAGAGGTGGCACAGTACCTGTTTTCCTTGGATATTTGGAGTAACAAAAGTAAACAAGGCATTAGGCACATGATCAAGAGCATAATCTGGTTTCTTGACTCCAAGGAGTTTTATATCAAACTCCACATATTTAATATAAACTGTATAAAGAACACCCAATGGTTCCATAACAAAGAAAAGTATTTACATAAAAATACATGAGGGAATGAGTATGCACGTCATAGCTAATGACTGATTTTGAGTTCACGTCTTGTTAACAAGGAACAACTATTAACTAATACATTCATCAGGTCTTGTTTAAACTCCTACTGACAATCGTTATCATTTGTTTATTTCTACTGAAATCTTCTTCTCAATGAAGGAGAATGTGCTTAAATTTGACAAACGTGGGTAAACTGAAGAATCTTGTGTTTCCTAATGGGATCCAGCCTTAGCTAACAGGTTCCCAGGACTCTTCCTGTCTGACTAACACTTATCAGAATGACAGAGCCTAAAGCTGAGAGATACCAGGCCATATGGCAGTATCCCAAGCGTCCCCTATTGAACAGATTTGCAAACCTGTCCCATGTTCATATATGTTAGATATTTAGAGCAAATGTGAGACATACCATTCTATGTATGGACAAGATTATTTGCTCTGCTTTTATTTCTAGAAACCAAATACAGTGGAGATTAAAACCTGTGTTTCCATATTTAGTGATAATCCCATAAACAGGACATTATCAGGGAACTTGCACTTTGAGCTCTTTTCCCCCTCAGTAGGGATAAATGGGTTGTGTCCCCCTTAGTAGGGATAAATGGGTTGCATCTCCCTCGGTAGGGATAAATGGGTTGCATCTCCCTCGGCAGGGATAAATGGGTTGCACTGAGTTAACCACACCTGGTTACCCTCACTGACCAATGGGTATACCCTTGCAGACCATGCGGCCAAGGCTGGATATACAGCTTGTGGCCAGTCAGCTGAGGTTTTCTATGCACCAAGAGAAATGGTCAGCTGGAAACCTAACCCCTCTACAAACTGAACTGACCAGCTTAGACATGAAGCTAAAACACACCTCAGTTAAAAAAAAAAAAAAAAAAAAAAAAAAGAAGCATCAGGAATGTTTAAATAACCTAATCTCATCAAGCCCGACAAGGCTCCCAGCGGCTTCCCCATCAGTTACCTTCACAGGCTTTCCCGTCAGCACTGGGCACGAAGCCCATGTCGCATTCACAGCGGTATCCTCCCGGGGCATTGAGGCACTGGCCGTTGCCACAGAGATTCAGATTCTCAGAGCACTCATCAAGGTCTACAGCCAGAAAGAAACACATGTTACTCTTCCTCGGTTAGGGGCTTTCGAATTCCTTAGGTCTAACAACTTTCCAGTGTGGCAATGTTTTGGCATAACTTCAATGTGACACATTTAAAGTCATTTATTTTTCTCTTTGGAAGGCTAATCTTGAATATGCAATTTACATGGGGCTGATTCAGAATCCTGAATAATGATTTACCCTGAATGAGGTAAAATGAATAAGCCGAAGGAATCATGCAAACCAAGGCCTGTTCAAGAAGGGTCATCCGCATGGAGGGCACACCCATGATGGGAAATGACACATCATGTTTGTGTCTATTTCTCAAGTTTCAGGCTTAGCTTAGGTGGGCACCAAAAGTGCAAAAGAATGGCAACCATAGGGGAGAAGAAAAATTTCATCTGCTTAATCTCTACCTAGTTTTCTTGATAATCACAGGCATTTAAATATCAAACACATAAACCACGCATGTCTAATACATGGAATTTGAATAGGTTCTCAAAATGATGGGAGGTTTTTGATGACAAAACATCAATAAGTTAGGCAAAAATGATTTCCTCTGAGATAAAACTTTCAGTGAATTAAAAAAAAAAAAATTCCAGGTAAATCACTTAATGGGCCTTAGCCTCTATTGTGCTTAAATGACTTTTTATGAACAAAGTGCTCAGGATAAATTAATGCTTTAAATTATAGGAACAGCTACGCGACCTAATGGCCAATGGATCTTACTATTTTATTTAACTCCAGAGCTCTGATATAAAAAGTGCTGTCTGTAAATACATGCACATGTAAGTATACGTATAATTTATGTAATGACAAGTCTAATCATGTATGTTTAAATGCGTATAGCAGTTTATGTTAATTCTATGACTATTAATTAGAGCCAAAAAGAAAATTTCATTCATATATTATTGCAAAACCAGAAGTGAATGAATTCCATAGCAGGTTTGAAATTTTTACTTATACCAATATGGAATGTTGATGATGATGATGATGATGATGGCCTGTTGGAGAAAAATATATACTGTTCTTCTAATCTAGAACATCTAACCCCTTCTCCTTATATAGCTTCCTTCCTTCCTTTCTGTGTTGTTACAGAAAGAAAGTCGTTGATGAGAAATAGGCAAAAAACATAAAGGCCAGGCATATAAAAAGAAGTATGATTTGTTTAAATTAAGGACATCATTATATACAGCTATATAATGATATATATGCCAACTGTAAATATTATAAGGCCTAGCTGACTTGAGGTGGAGAATGGTATGACTTTTTTGGTATCATTTTGTGTTAGAGCACAGATCACTGTAAATGATGTGATAATGGCACCTAAACATCTATCTACCTATCTATCTATCTATCTATCTATCTATCTATCTATCTATCCATCCATCCATCCATCTATGTATCTATCGAGAAGCTTTTGAGGTCTCCCTAACTAATTGACCTGGTTCCAATTTTTTTTTTTCCCCCACAGAGCTCTAGTGTCAAATGATGAATCTTTTCTATTAAGTGGCCTAGTCTTCAAAAAAGAATTGCTAGCCTGTGAAATGTGGAATGCCTTGCTTCTCTGACTAGTGTCGACACGTTTGTTTCTAGCGTGAACACACCTGTACAAGTGAAGCCATCGCCTGTGTATCCTTCCTTGCACAGACAGCGGTAAGATCCCATGGTATTCTTGCAGTCTGCATGCTGGCTGCACATATGGGTTCCATTGGAACATTCGTCCAGATCTTATGGAAAAGGGTTATATCGTTATTAACAGAAAGTGTGGCATTTAAAACCAATGATACACAAATTAAAATAACTTTACAGAATTAATATTTTCATAGGTGTAATCTATGCAGTCCTTGATAAGCAATCTCTGTTACTTTCCTACTCACCAGTGCACTTAATGCCATCTCCAATCCACCCAGGACTGCAGCTGCATTTGAAGCTTCCTGCTGTGTTGGTACACACAGCATGTCTGCCACAGTTGTGTGCTCCAATTTCACATTCATTGATGTCTGGAAAAATGAGCAGGGATTTAGAAAAAGGCTCAGCACAAATGTCTTTTGGTTTTTAAAATAAGTAATATTCAAAAGTTGACTTGCCTTCAAACTTCCCATGGTATAGTATAGATTGGTTTTGCATCCATATATAAACTCTACATATATTAAACAGCTTTAAATTTCAAATTATAAAGATATAACAATATGATTGTACTAGCTACTATTAACTCTAATTATTTTCCATATTTTAATGTGAGTTTCCAGTCACTGCAAAGTGACCTTTTACAGCTGAAGACCATAAAAAATGAGTTGCTTAATTTTCTATGATTTTAATACTCCTTGCCATATATTTTCTATTGCTAATATTTTTAGTAAGTGAACTATGGAGTAATGATGCACATTATTTTCATATCTTGTATAGACAAAAAATACAAACCTGTTGCCATGTTAGAAAATTTTTGCATTATATTCTATATATAAAATATATTTTATTCTTAAATTTAAAAGTTATTTAATTATGCTTTATTTCTATAAAAGCTTTACTTTAGGTATTGCTAATTTAAGCATTTGCAGAAAATGTTCCTTAAGGCAGTATATAAGCCATCTTTTCCCTAGCTTTAGAGTCCTAGCACATCGGAGAGCCTAGTTTTCTTGTATATTTCATGTAAAACTCAAGTTAATCCAATGGGGATTTTGTCAGAATATAAGGAGTACCAGATTAGGGTCACATTACTAAAAGACTCCAAATTTTCCAAAATGCTCTATTCTCCAAAATTTCATTGTCAACTTTAGCCAAGATAGACTCTCTAATAGAAATATGTTACAGAAAAGAATATAAAGTATTAAGTGAAAATTTCCTGAGATGAGCCTATTCTATAATGGGTTACCCTCATAATCAACTTTGTCATTAACTAAGAACAAAAACTCATAAATATGGTACCCTATATGGAAATCAATATCTAACACCAATCTTAGGTCAAGAAGAACAACTTTGCCATACAAAACACTGCAAGAATTTCCAGTGAACACTTGAATAGTGGCGTGAAAAAGAAACTGGGTAAGTAATTCATGTTTGCCGTTTTGTTTACTTATGAAGCCCAATTAAATGATTTGAAAGTGTTTGCAAACATGCCCCCTCCCCTCCCTTCCCCTCCCCTCCTCTCCCCTCCCCTCTCCTTTCCTTTCATTTCCTTTTATGGAGTTTTGCTCTTGTCGCCCAGGCTGTAGTGCAATGGTATGATCTTGGTTCACTGCAACCTCCAGCTCCTGGGTTTAAGCAATTCTCCTGGCTCAGCCTCCCTAGTAGCTGGAATTACAGGCGCCTGCCACCACGCCGGCTATTTTTTTTATTTTTTTATTTTTAGTAGAGATGGGTTTTCACCATGTTGGTCAGGCTGGTCTTGAACTCCTAACCTCAGGTGATCCGCCCACCTTGGCCTCCCAAAGTGCAGGGATTACAAGTGTGAGCCATTGCGCCTGGCAGAGCTCATTTCTTTAGTCATATCAGGATTTTATTCTAAGCCTTGCTTTATGGAGTTCCCAAAATATTGGTGAATATTAAGTGACTTATAGAAATACTCACTAATATCTTCTACTAAGCATAATTTTCAGAGATGACCACAACCTATTAATCTAGTAATTCTGTAATCTTTTTCTTTCCAATTTTCTAATGACCAAAGGTACTCTTATTTTATGATTATTATTTTCATATGGCTTTTTACCTTCCATGTTTAATCTTGCAATTAAGAAAATGTTCATTTCTTTTTAAAGGACAGTCTCTTTTAAAAATCATCAATAATATGCTAACAGAAATTTATAATTTAAGAAAGTGTTTTCAGTTTTATGGCAATGTTTTCAAGGTGAAAAGAAACTATATTTACAAGAGGCTGTGTATCATGGGCTTTCGGGTAATAGGAGAGAGTAACTCAGATGCCAATATTCAATTCTCCATTTTGTGAATATTTGTATAAGTTATTATCTCAATGCTTTACACTCCCAGTATGTAACAATTGGAGAGACTTCAAGCGGTCATAAAGTATAAAAGCATCTCCAAATAAAAAGTTTTTGCATGTGGGTGTGTGTGCATGTATGCACCAACCATTATTCATTAATTGTTTCTATGGCAGACTTGGACTGTAATTCATCATAAAAGCAAACAGAAGGGGAAAGTGAGCCATAAGGAAAACAAGCAAACAAAAATGCTGTATTGAAACACTCTTCAATAATGTGAAGGAAACACAGTATATGTTTGCCAAAAATCTCTCTTTCTGTAAAAATGTTCTCTTTCCTGCACAAGTTCACTGCAAACAGAAAATTAAGAATAGCATAAGCCAAGAAAAGCAAAGAAATTCAAATTTAAAGGTGACACCACAACCTTCTCAACCTCACCAAACCTTTGTCACAAAGACTCAAAGGTCCTCTTGCATGGCTGTCTTGAAGGGTAAGGGTGAGCAGATCCTGCGGTGTGAGCAGATCCTGCTCACAGGCTCTGCGTATGTCCCATCCAAGTCTGATATCCAAGTACGGGCTTGTGCTCGGGGCTGCTGTGGCCTCCTCTTACAGTCACACAGGGAGAGGCTGTATCACCCACACAAACACCTGCCTTCCCCGCCATCTGGGCATCCGTCTCCTGGATTCTAACCTGGCAGAGCTGTGCACTGCAGAAACTCCTTGATTAGGCATTGAGGAAGAGGGCGTTACCATGAATGGAGAGGCCAAACGTGAAGGCTACTTGGATTTCTTAATTTGGATCCAAATTTGAGCCAACACTATTAACTGAACACCCATGGAATTTTCAAAGGCTGACAACCAGTGAAGGAAAATTAGCAGTGATAAGAAACTGGAAGGAAATGAACACAAATTCTCACTGACTGTTGGTGGCTGAAATATATGATTCTCTCCTATGGACCAAGACCCACCAGAGACATTTCTTTTATGAAAGGAACCGGCTAGTTTCCAATAGAGAATTACCCAGAAATCCTGCTATTTTAACTGAAAACAAGTCTGATTTAATTCCACTTAATGGTATGCTTACTTTATTCATGAACTAAGTAAGCACGTGATGGGAGGCAGGGTCTTAAAATTAGCTTGTGAAAGCCAGGACCACCCATCAAAGATGACACCTAGCAGGGCCTTAATTATGTAGAACAGGCAGCAGACGCCTTACATTGGGTCACAGAAAAATTGTAATCCAGCCCACTTAAGCCAAGGATAGAAAAGCTGTGTTCTACGTTTCAAGCAAATGTGTTCTCTCTCCATTAAATGGAACTTTCCCCCTTGGCAATACCCACGGTCTGAACAAAGCTTAAGGAGTAAAAAGAAACCCTTAGCATCTGTGTGGGCTGGGAATGTAAGTCAGTGGGTGGATTCTGAACATTGCTAAAGTGATTGGGGGAAAAAACATGTTTATTTGTTAAAATGGAAACACTCAGTAATGACAGGGAGCTGAAATATTCAGACAAAACTGTAATGGAGCCCAGAGGACTTCGGCTTAGTTCTCATGAAACAAAATTGCTCCTTATGAAATAGCATACATGTTTTCATAATTCTTTTCATTAAACAATAATCTAAACAAATACATAGATAAATAAGTAGACATATTCCTTTTGTCTGCTTGTTTATCCAATTAGGCAAGACACATATCTCTACTTACATTAGTTGCCTGGAGCATTATAAACAAAGCCATCACCAAGGTAACCTGATGGTGTTCTAAGTTGTGAATGACACTAATTTTAAACTAAAAGCAGCTAAAAGAGCCTTAGTGACATGGGATTCAAAAAACATTTTGCCCCAGATTTTTAAAAACATGTTTTCAAGTGTACCAAACTTACTGTTTGGTTAAGCCATTTCCAATCAAATGTGATGTCCTTCCACAGGTCAGGGCTGTTACTCACCCAAGGAGAACATTTGAGTAACTGCAGAGCACCCTGGTGATTTGTTCAAGAGCATGAATGAGATTTACTAAGAACACAATTCAGGGTACTACTTTCCTTCAGATGAGACTATCACATGCCACGTTACTCTGGTATCAAAGAGGCATACAACTCAAGTCTTCCCACGTGCTAGCTGGATTTTATCAAACTGAAAAATCATTTTAGTCTGTAATTTTTAAAACTGGAGGAAGAGCTCAAGTGTTTCTTTGACTTCAAATCTATGTTCATGTGATTGACTCAAAGGCTGCTGTTCTTTTTTTTTTTTTTTTTTTTTTTTTGAGACGGAGTCTCGCTCTGTCGCCCAGGCTGGAGTGCAGTGGCCGGATCTCAGCTCACTGCAAGCTCCGCCTCCCGGGTTTATGCCATTCTCCTGCCTCAGCCTCCCGAGTAGCTGGGACTACAGATGCCCGCCACCTCGCCCGGCTAGTTTTTTGTATTTTTAGTAGAGACAGGGTTTCACCGTGTTAGCCAGGATGGTCTCCATCTCCTGACCTCGTGATCCGCCCATCTCGGCCTCCCAAAGTGCTGGGATTACAGGCTTGAGCCACCGCGCCTGGCCAGGCTGCTGCTCTTAATGTAAAGCTGGTGTCACTTCATGCGACTGTAGTGCACAGCTCTGTCATCATGGTCTTAGTATCTGTGCAAATTCAACTACGAAACACAAGCCTTTCTATATAAAGAGGAAGATTTTCCTTCTTTAAACTGATTTCAAGCATGAATCGGTAAACAGTAGCATAAAATTTTTGCTAGACTGTTACATTCTCAAATGAAACAAAATAATGGACAATAGATAAAGACTAGAAGCAATGGCTTTCATTAAAATGGCCTCTAGACACTGTGTCTACATTTCATTTAATTTGACAATAGCTTTTATTTATTGACCAGCACTGAGCCAACAGCATTGTATACATTATATCTAATGTACCTAAAACTATATTAAATAACATGAAAATTTAAGCTTTCTTCAGGGTAAGGCCTAAAATAATCAGCCACTACACATGACCCAGTTAGTTAGAATCTGGAGCACTGAATTCTAGAGACCTCTTTCTTATAGGGAATGAAGGCTGTTCCATGAGATTAACTTCTCCTTTCTTTTTTATTTTATTTTATTTTATTATTTATTTATTTTTATTATTACACTTTAAGTTCTAGGGTACATGTGCACAATATGCAGGTTTGTTACATATGTATACATGTGCCATGTTGGTGTGCTACCATTTGACCCAGCCATCCCATTACTGGGTATATACCCAAAGGATTATAAATCATGCTGCTATAAAGACACATGCACACATATGTTTATTGAAGCGCTATTCACAATAGCAAAGACTTGGAACCAACCCAAATGTCCATCAGTGAGACTGGATTAAGAAAATGTGGCACACATACAACTTCTCCTTTCTTAAGCATCACTGCCTCTGGGTTGAATTTCAATATGCTCAGCTTAGCCAAACAATGGTATTATCCTCTTATTAGTTAAAACATAATACAGAACTATCTTACATTTCTTTTCACTACTGCCAGACCATCATCCCTGACCAAGTCCTATATTTATAATGGAAGCTAAAAATAAAGCTTGAACCATAGACACACAAAGCTAAGCACCATTTGTACCGAGAAGCCACATGGGGAGTCGAGAGTTTAAACACTGTGCCATTTATCAGAATGGACCCCTAGCCAGGCTTAATGTAAGGAGTAGCATAGTGAAAATGAAAACATTCCAGCTTCATGCTTCTTCTCATAATTTGGCTAGCATCTGTTATTTCTGAACCAACAATAATATTATTGCCCTTATCCTACATATCAATAAATGTGAAATAGCATTATTGGCCAGTTTGAAACAATAATAAATATATTTTGGTGTTTTCTTGAAATATGTTGACATAATTAAGAGGAGGAGCTGCACATTTGCCACACGGCCAATCTGCAAATATTTTAATGTTTGTTTTAAGTCATAAGAGCTTGCCAAACTGGTTTTTGGAATTAAAGACTGTTATTTATAAAGAAATTATTCAGTTACCTAATTCAAGCTCACCATGGTTTCCACTATGTTTTAAATTATGTTATATGCCATAATCTGTTAAATTAATATAAGTAACTAGAGTAAAACTTTATCATATCATTCCATGGACTTAATGTCATTGCCTCATATTTGAAAATACCAACTAAACACTTATAAACTGAACACAATGTCATTACCACAGAGTAACTTCTTCCATTTGGCATTTAATGGGATAGTCTCCTACAAATATTGTGAAAACATTTTCTCATGTGCTATTGGTAATAGACAAACAACACTGCAAATGGTTCCATTATCACTTTGTAAGATTTGCTAAGCCCCACGAACGAAGATTCATTGGGACTAACACAACTTAATACATCAAAAGTGCTCCTGGTGAGAATTGATGAAATACATGAATTGTAGGATGTGTTCCTTTAAAGAGCAATTCCAGTTATAAACCGTAATGTAAATGAAGTGTTGGCAAAGGAGGTTATTGGAAAAGGCTTGCTTCGGTAAAGGACCATGAATATTTGGTAATTAGCATGTTCAGTAATTTCATATGAAATGTGATTTTTAACTTCATAAAAAATGTGTTATTTACAGTGTTAATTTATTCAATACACCTTTTTTCCCCCAACAGGTCAAGAAAAAACCTTCAACTTGGATCCAAAATAAACGATGACAAGTTTCAAAGAAGTGGTAGCTAAATTAATGAAAAATGTTATGCAAAATGCTTTTTAATGTAGTTAAAATGTATGAGTTTTAAAACATGTATCAATCTATAATTACGACACCAATCTCTTAACTACTTAATATTTTATTGTTCTACTTGAACAAACACACCTGTACAGCCAGTTTTTCCTTTTTTGCCAGAATAGCCCATATCACAGTGGCAGATAAATGAGCCTTTCGTGTTTTCACAGGTTCCACTTAGGCAGATATTTGGATTCAGGTCACACTCATTGACATCTGTAAAACATAGATATTATTAATACATGTAGCTATTTGATATCATTGCGTACTTTCCCCCCGAGATAAAATAACTATGACAAATAAATTAGAAAAGGTAAAATGCTCTCACTCAGAAAAACACTGTTAAATTTTAGAGGCCAATTTACATTTGCGCTTCATTCTTTACATTGTAAGCTCATCATTCACACTGGCTTTCATCTGGCCCATAAGCAGCCGGCCAGGTAATCAAACAAACGGATGGACTCTGTGCTGAGTTTAGAGCTCGTTTATGTGACAGTCTAGAAAACTTTTTAGAACAGCATACTTTGTTGCAGGATGAAAAGTTTAATTCAGTCTGCATGATGCTAATAATTTAGTTTTCATATTTCGAAAGAAAGGATAGATGAACTGGTTGCCTTAGTGTAAGCAGTTAAGGATTTCACTTCTTTTCCAAATTAAAAATTATTTATTTTTTATGACATTCATTTTAATTTCTAGGACTTCCAAAGTTTTCAGCAAAGGCTTTCAGAAGATAAATGTGATAAAAATTTAAATATAATCAATACTAGAATCTTGCTTCTGGCCAAGATAGAATAACAGGGATTAAAATTGCATTCTCAAATGAAACAACCAAAAAGTGGACAACAGATACTTTTAAAAATGGTTTTCTAGACATCGGACATTAGGCCACAAAGGACAGTGATCCCTGAGAGAAAGAAAACAAACGAGGTGAATTCTACAATTGCCCCAGATTACTGAAGAGGGGAGTTTTAACTCCATGGCATAAGGAGGGGGTACCAGATGGAACCAGGCAGTGTCCCTGAGTTGAGGAGATGAATCTGGGTATCTGGAAGGCTGAGGTAGTTAGGGTTCACAGGGCAGAGTAAAGGACAGGAGAGAGAGCTACACAGAAGAAAGCAATGCCAGAGACCTGCCAAGAGTCTTCCTCAAGCATTCAGATGAGTAGTGACCAGAGCACATTCATGTAAAGAAACAAATTACTCAAGGCTGGGGAAAGCACTACCCAAGAAAATGAGAGGGAAGAATCCTCAAAGTTCACAGGGGGTCTGGAATTGTGCCTGTTCCCACTAGTCAGGCTGGAAAACCTCATAATTCACAGGGAATCGGGTAGAATATCCAGAAGGGTCGTACTTCACTAACAGAGCAAAATTACCCCCTAGACCAACATAGCTTAAAAGCTTAAAAGCAAGACTTTGAAAGGGATCTATGTGTTTCCAAGTAATTTATACCTCAGAACAAAGTTCAAAAATATTTCTAGGAATACAAAAATATCTAGCACTCAGCAAGACAAAATTTACAATATCTGGCATCCAATCAAAAATTACCAGTCACTCAAGGAAGCAGGAAAATATGACCTAAAATAAGGAAGAAATTCAATTTATTCAAATGACCCAGAACTAATGCAGATGATAGAATTAGGAGACAAATACACTAAAAGTTATTATAACTGCATTCTGTGTGTTCAAACAGCTAGAGGAATTATTGAACTTATTATGCAGAGACCCAGAAGATATGAAAAAATACCCAAGTCGAACTTTTAGAGGTGAAAACTACAACATCTGAGATGAAAAATACACTGTACGTGAGGAAAGTCAGATTAGATATCATAGAAAAAAAGTTTATCAAACTTGAAGGCAGAACAATAGAAACTACACAAAACAAATAGATCAGTTCTAAAGTTTACTGCATTCTTGTCAGTGGTCAATTTTGTTTGCCTTTAGTCAAGCATTTAAAAAGCCTACACTCTAGTCACAACAGAATGAGGGTTAAGTGGACAAAAGTAACGGAGAGGCATAAAAGAAATGTGCATCTGGAGCTGACAAATGGTCAGTCAGTCCATACAACATAGCTGACAAGAGTACCATTTAATAGTCACAAGAAAGCTCTCTTTGGAATGCTGGTTAAAATATGAGTATTGTGCTCCTAAATAGCCTTACTTTTCCTATGGAATCTTTCTATCAATAACCCAAACGAACTTTATGTAATTTAACAGTGCTTATAACTAACAAGACAACATGAAACATTCTGTTTTCTTTGCTTACCGACACAAGTCTTCATGTCTTCAGATGCCATGAATCCATCATAACACAAGCACCTGTACTCTCCAGGGATATTTGTGCACTGACCACCATCACAGATATTGGGATTATCTTCACACTCATCGATGTCTGCAAAGAATGAAACCCAACAACCACAGGTTGTTGATATTGGTTCCATTATTCATGGAGAAAACATTAACTGACCCAAGCCAAATAAACTTAGCCTACTAGCATAAGACTATTAACACTCAAATCCAAATGAAGCTTTGCATAAAATAGTCCATTGGGTTATCCTTGGTAAAAAAAGGAAAAAATAATTTTCAATATTTATAATATACTGTTCAAGGGCAAGGTCCACACCTGCTTAAAAGGCTTTTATTTAAAATCTTTATCTCATTTAATTTACCATTCAAAAATCATTATAAATCTTATTTTCCTTATTGTCAAATTATAAATGCCTGAAGTCTATCAAGTGTTTTAGCAATATTTTAAGGTAAGAAACACTTGAAATAACCATACCTACTTAGATGCTCTTAGTAATAATATTTACTTTCAACAATTTTTTTTTTTTGAGATGGAGTCTCACTCTGTCACCAGGCTGGAGTGCAATGGCATGATCTTGGCTCACTGCAACCTCCGCCTCCCGGGTTCAAGTGATTCTCCTGCCTCAGCCTCCCGAGTGGCTGGGATTACAGGCATGTGCCACCACATCCAACTAGTTTTGCATTTTTAGTAGAAATGGGGTTTCACCATGTTGGTCAGGCTGGTCTTGAACTCCCAACCTCAGGTGATCTGCCTGCGTCAGCCTCCCAAAGTACTGGGATTACAGATGTGAGCCACCGTGCCTGGCCTTATTTTCAACAATTTTTATAGCCAAATTTATATCTAGACTTTTAAGGGACATTTTTCTAGGTCAGTAAAATAATTTTGGCTCCTAAATCCAAATTCTCTTCTTAAGCCAAGTGAAAATCAAAGCCTATGTTATTACCCACTTTGTTTCTCACCTCTACCTGGCTCACAGCTCTCGCAGCCAGGGTGATACAAAAGGAAGTATAAATTAGACCACTGGTTCTCAAACTTTAGCATGCATCCAAATCATTTGGAGAGCTTGTGAAAACACAAATTACTGAGATCTACCCCAGTAGTTTGTGATGCCGTAGATCTGGAATGGGGCCTGAGATTTTACATTTTTTAACAAGTTCTCAGGTGATGCTGTTGCTGATGGTTCAAGGAATAAACCTGGAGTTGCACTGAATTAGGCCAAAACATCAAAAGTCTGGTCAATGAAGGAAAATGTATTTTATATTCCACTTATTATGTGCCAGGTACTATGGTAAGCTCTGTAAATACTATTTTATGCAGGCAATTTGAACTCCATTTTACAGATGAGGATTCTAATACTAGGTATCTTGATCAAGGTTACAGTTAAAATATATGACAAACAAGGGTTTGAACTCAAGCCTGCTTGACTCCAAAGCCTAGGCCCTAAACTACTTTACTTAGGAACCTACTGACAGATTCAACATGAGGCTAGAACCTACTCACCGGTGCATGATCTCTGGTCAGGCATTAGTGCAAATCCCGGCTGACAGCTACATTCATAGCTGCCTTCAGAGTTTGTGCAGAAGGTTTCACAACCACCATTCATTATGCTGCATTCATCAATGTCTAAGAGAAATGAAAATAAAATCACCTTCTGGTATGGTTTGGATGTCTGTCCCCTCCAATACTCACGTTGAAATTTAATTGCCATTGTAACACTATTGAAGAGGCAGGACCTTTAAAAGAGGCAATCATCCTATGAGGGCTCTACCCTCATGGTGGGATTGGTGCTGTAATAAAAGAGCAAGTTCAGCCCCCTCTTGCTCTCTTTCACCTTCATGCTCTCTGCCATGGGATAATGTAGGAAGAAGGACCATGCAGAATCCTGGCATCTTGATATTGGATTTCCCACCCTCCAGAACTGTGAACTAATAATTTCTGTTCATTATAAATTACCCAGTTTCAGGTATTCTGTTCTAGTATCACAAAAATGGGTTAACACACCTCCCTCTGTGTTTATGGGCATGGCACATTTTTAAAGTTTCCAGGCATAGGTCAAAAAAAGGGGGAAAAGCACTTTTTAGGGCAACTGGCAGTCACTGTTTGATTCCTTCAACAAACATTAATGACATACCTACTATGTGCTAGAGATGAGAATCTAATAATGAATGGGACAGACACAATCCACGCCTTAGAGATGAGAATCTAATAATGAATGGGACAGACACAATCCATGCCTTCAAAATGATTACACTGCGGCCAGGAGACAGATGAACAATTAATTGCACCATGCATGATGTGCCATTTGCAACGCAGGAGAAGTATTGGGTGCTAGGAGAACACATCTCAGTTATGATAATAGGCACGTGGATGAAATTCTCTTAGCCACAGATTCACTTATAAACTTGAAATTCAGTTTGATTGGCTGAGGTTCCAATCTTTTTCAATAACCTGAGTTGAAGTTCTGAGTTGTCCTGGGCCATGTTTCAGAAAAATTTGGGCTGATTTATGGTTTTGGGTGGAAACCATGTGAGACTTGGCAGTTCCACATGGTGTACACCCCAAACCAGGCAAAAACTGGCAGTTTCTACAAAGTTTCACTTTGACTCGGGGCACAATAAAGCCACAGGACTGTCTGTGCCACTCTTCACAGCACGACTAAACCTACAGAGGGCTGACCACAAAGCAAAATTCTTGTCCCACAAAAACCCATCTTTAAGGAGTGCCAGGCATAGCCTCAACTGCAGTGTAAGATATGAACATTCCATGATCTTCTTTCCAATAGCTATTTTTTGAAATCTTTTAGCCGATCTAAACCGCCTAAGGGCAGAGATTTCACCTCAGCTTTTTTGTCTTTTCCACAGCACTCACCGTGTTTAGTTTATTTCAGGTGGTCAGTTACCATTTGTTAATGTGCATTGGTATGCGTGTGCGTAGACAAAGCACATGCTACTACTGTTCCCCATCCAAACGGCATGGGTCAAATTATGCTTATTAGAGCTAAAACATCCCATGTCCTTCATTTAACTGGCTCTTTAAACAGACAATGGAGATGAGATCCAAAGATCGTGAGCCACTATAAAAAGAATATTGCAGGGAAACAAGAAAGATAAGTAAAAGTAGTGATGAAAACAAAACTCAGAGTACACTGAGTGTTTTAGGAAGAGATGAAATAAAATAAAATAAAATATAGAACTTACCAACACAAAATAGCCTATCGGGAGTTGAATGGTAGCCAGGGTTGCAGGTACACTGATACTTCCCTATGAGGTTCACGCAGCGGCCATTGGGGCACAGGTGCGCACTCAGCTCACACTCATTGATGTCTATTGGGAAAATAAGAAGAACAAACACCCAAACATAAGCTTCCGACTCCGGCAGCGATGTCGTTCAAACAACTGACCTCAAGTCAATGGTGTGAAAGTCTCCCTCCTTACCGATACATGCGGAGATGTTGGGGGACAGCTGATGGCCAGGCGGGCATTCACAGCGGTAACTTCCCTCTGTGTTATGGCAAACGCCACCTCGGCACAGGAGAGGATCTCTCTGACACTCATCGATATCTGCGAAATGGAAATGACCACGTGAAAGGTGGAGGCCTCATCTCCTCTACCAGACCAGAGCACCCCCTCCCCCGCCCGTTGCTGGGTGTCCATCTTGACCTCCTTGTCTCAAGGTGGGACAACTCTCTGGTGCTATTCATACACCAGAGCTTCCTGCAGGATCAGACTAAAGCCAAAATGCAGCCAAACTCTTGGTTTATTTTCTCCTCCTGCACTACCCTGCTTTCCTCACTTCCTGACAAGCACCTTCTGAGAGAACTTGCTCACAGAAAGAAATAACACGTTTGCAAGAATCTCCATTTCAAACTTTGTTTCTAGGAAACCAGACCTAAAGCAACGAGCTTATCAATTGCCTATTCTAGAAGTGTTGGACAGACATCCTGTAAAGGGACCTCTACTACAGCTTCTGTTTCAATTGTCCTCTCTTCCCCCTGGGTATCCATTCTAGGTGTTAAAAGGTGTTAAACTCACTTCTCAAGGACCCACAACTGGTCTCCACCATCACCCACAAACCCACAGCATGAATTCCCTCATTCTTTCTACCTCAGTCTCCCTCTGTTGCAGACTGATTCCTGACTCACTGGTCTGGAGCCCAGTGCATTGGGGCAGCAGGAAGAACCTGGGACATAGGCTACGAGCCATCAAAGCTTCATGGAATCCTTCTCTTTCTGTGTTGATCAAATGATTCCAAACTTACCCATGCAGTTCTTCATCATCATGAATCCACTTTCATAGCCTTCGTCACACTTGCATTCGAAGTCACCAGGGGTGTTCACACACTGGCCTCTGCCACAGAGGTCAGGAGATATGCGGCATTCGTCAATGTCTGCACGAAAACAGCAAGTGGCAGCACGTGAGTCTCAGGACAGCCTTACCTCTTGCGGCAATATGTTAAAGATAAAGAGTTTTAAAGGACGTCCCCCCTCCTGACCCTTGAGGCTCATTCACTGACCTGTGCAGTTCCTTTCTTCGGAATCCAGAGCAAAGCCGCTGTCACACCTGCACTTAAAGCTGCCGATGGTGTTTCTGCACTTGCCATGGGTGCAGAGGCTGGGAATCATCTTGCACTCATTGATATCTTCAAGAATAAGAACACGTGGGGCAAAATAAGTTGATGAGCAACCAGTCAGGAGGTCTCAGTGCCCACCATTTAAATCCTGAAGGTTGGAAGTTCTTGATTTAAGGTCTTGGCAATACACATTTCAAAGAATGTGTGATGATCCATGAGATACATGACTTTGTAAACATTTCTAGCCTTTTAAATTTCTACATTTTATAAAGCCTTGTTAAAGCAGCAAATAATGTGTCTATTCAGACTTCTAGGGCCCAGCACACTGCCTGATACATAGTGAATATTTAACTACTACTTGCTGAATGAATAGATAATATGTTCTAAACCACTAGTATCTATATTTAAAGCACATAGAACATTATTAGAATATATTATCCTACAGCTATCAATTGACTGTGTAGCAGAATGACATATTCACTTAATACTGTTTGGTGCTTTTTTGGATATGCCAAAAAAAATTTCAAAGATATAATTTATAATTTAAATTATTTGCCAATAATTTGAACAATTTAGAAATATTTTCTCAATGTTATCTTAAGTCTTCTTTCTTTCTTTCTTTTCTCTTTCTCTCTCTTTCTCTCTTTCTTTCTTTCTTTTTTTCAGACAGGATCTGCTCTGTCATCCATGCTGGAGTGTAGTGGTGTACTTGGTTCACTGCAACCTCTACCTCCTGGATTCAAGCAATTCTTGTGCCTCAGCCACCTGAGTAGCAAGGATTACAGGTGTGCACCACCATGCCTAGCTTTTTTTTTTTTTTTTTTTTTTTTTTTTTGTAGACGTGGGGTTTCACCATGTTGCCCAGACTGGTCTTGAACTCCTGGACTCAAGTAATCTGCCCACCTTGGCCTCCCAAAGTGCTGGGATTATAGGCATGAACCACCGTGTCCAGCTCAAGATCTCATTAACATAATTTAAAGAGTTTCTTGTAGACTAGAAGACTCTGCATACATGTAACATGTGACCTGAGTTTCCTAACACAGGGGCCTTTTTCCAAAACAAGACCAAACACTTAAGAAATATGCAAGTTCATTTCTACATGTGAGACAGAACTGGGAGATTAAATCTCCAGAACACCAGGTCCTTCTTCAGCAATGAATTACCACAGCCTTTGGAAGCAAATTAAAAGTTCCTTTGAATTTACATAACCGACATTTAAGAGGGCCATGTAGAAACTACCTCTCCATACAGAACAATTTTAACCCCCAGGACTTCCTGGACCAAACAGTTAAAAAAAAAAGTTCATACTTTTCTAAACAAAGATAATTATATAATTCAGAAAGCAAAAAGTGCATGCTGGGATGATCAAGTAGAGTGCTGAGATCATGAAAATGCATCCTGTTGGTCTAAAGAGGAAGGCAATTGGCCATGGAAAACATAACACTGTACCTTTGAAGAAAGGCTTTCCATTTGTAATTTCTTTTGTGGCAAATCCGGGTCCTCTGGGACACAGCTCCTCGTACTCAGGAGTATTTCTCATGGGACACTCCTCGCATTCCTCAGTACCCCAGGCTGCCCCAACGGAGCAGCAGCAGGCATCCATGCGGTGGCGGCCAGCAATAGGCAGGGTGCACTCCTCGTCCTCATACCTCAGGAAGCAGGTTTCCAGGCGGATATCTGTCAGAGGGAACCAAGGGAGGTTAAATAGAGCTACACGGCTTCCACTGCCCCAAATTGCCAACACTCTGTTAGGCAAAGTACTGCACACGTAATAATTTGCTGTATACTTATTGACTGGAATTAATTTTATTCCTCAAAAAAAAACCAAACCAAAACAAAACAAAACAAAAAAACCCCAGGCTCTGGGGTAGGTATCCTCGCCTAATAAAGACTCTCTTTGTCAGCCCATGTTTGTACTTCCTATTTCTGAAAAGTTCCCTTTCAACGTTAGGTGTTTTCTGATAATTCTACATAAGGAATGGTATTCTGAGAGATCCCACAAGGCTCTTTCAGGAGATGTTTTCTCCTGTATAGAAATTCCTATCACCGATGCATGCACGCCATGATGCCTTGGCATATCCTCCACAGCTAAAGGCCAGCTGTACTCTTTATTGTTGGAGAATGTTTGCCCTAGTGCAATCACCTTTTCCTCAGACCCACTTCATTTTTGGAAAGGTGGAATGGTGAACTCTGCAAAGAGGACCGTCTTACTTGAGATTGAAGAGAAAAATGCAAAGAAAAGCCATTGACTTTTCTTCTCAAATATTTCTTTCACCTCAACACGTGCTTATGGGCACATTCTTCAAGATACATGTGGGATTCCTCTAGCCCCAAACCCAAATTCATGGGTTATGAAGAAGAATAGAAAGCCTAGCCAAGCAGAGGTCAGAAGAGCTGGATTTCGGTCCTGTTCTGTAACCCAGTGGATTGTCCTCAATAAATTATCCTAAACCTGAATTTCCACATCTGTTATAGGATGTTGCACTCATCTCTCTTAAGGTTCTGTGAAGCCCAAATGAGATTATACATCTGAAAGTAATGAAGTGTAACTGAAACGTGAGATGTATTCTCCTTCTCTTTCTCCTTCACGATGGGGCCATTAACAATTTACCTAACTCCCTGGGTTTCCTCTAACGTTAGAAAGTTTTTGAAGTGTTCTGGGCAGCTTTATATTCAGGCTGCCCATATTAAGATAAATTATTTTAAAATGAATCCAAAATTAAACACTGAAGCATCTTTCTAATGAAGAACCTAGAAGAAGATTCTCATTAAATACCGATTCCTCCTAAACAAAGAAACTAAGACTCAGAATACCATTAACTGACATCCTTAATTACAAAAATACTTTTGGCTTTGAAATCCCGCTTCCATTCCATATTATTTATTTATACTATAAACTATAAAGTTCAATATTTAAAGGTTTGTTCATTCTAATTGGTAAGTGATCAAAATCCTTCACTGTATACCACCTTTTAAACTACCTACAGTAGTCTTCACTGAGCGTGCGCTTCAGAGTAATGTGGTTTCAGATGTGAAATACAGGTAAGCATCATTTCCAGAGTCATGGACTCAGGGACCAGTGATCCAAGGGATATACTCTAGGCAGAGGCAGAGGCCATAGTAGTAACATCAGAATAAGTCTGCCAGACCTTAGATGCATGACTGTGGGATCTCAAACTTGCTGCTATCACGAGCCCGTAGGGACTTAGGACATACAGTTCTAAGGATTAAGGATTCTCAGGGTTGGGGTGAGACAATTTGGCTTGAGGAACCCACTTGGGCTCTAACAGTGTGCATAGAGTATCCCACTATGACTAGCAGTGATACCTGCCCTGGGCTTTCTCAGGTTCATTTTTCAGGGGAGTGGCATCTTCACTCCTGATATCCACAGGTATTTCTGCAAGGACCTGTCCTTTTGGCCAATGTCAGGATATGCTTAGAAGACATGGGCTACAGTTTCTAAATACGTGCAAATATTGTTCTTTTCTCCACCACTCAGCTTGTATTTGATAGTTCATGGCATATGGGGCCGATTTAAGAGTTCTGGAAAAGTAACTGTGATGCCAGTGATTTAAGGAATAGCTGCATATCAACAAAAACTACAGTTGCTCCTCACTATTTGAAAGACTGTCAAGGGAGCGGCCATGGACCCTAGCGGACATGCTGAATTTCGGAGTGTGTGTCTGTACCTGAAGCTAAGTGCTCAGCTATATCTTGTTAACTGCATTTTTAATAATCTTTAGTACATTATTATTAGAAAAATAATGAGCTCAGTATTTACCAAGACAGATCCTTCCTGTGGCATCCAAAGTCATTCCACTGGGACACTGACACTTGAATGACCCCCTAGTGTTAACACACAGGCCATTTTTGCACACTCCTGGGAACACTTCACATTCATCTATATCTAAAAAGAAAAAAAAGCATAAAGTTAATATATCTTTATAATATCATTCTACCTTATTCTACTCATGGAGTCATAATTATTCCCCATTTTGAACCTAGTAAGTTGATAAAACTAGTTTGCCTACAAATAGTTCGTGTAGAATTTCTAGGGTCCCTGAATAGCAACCAGAATGAGCCCACCTATTACTAAAGATGTAAGAGTTTCTCCACTGGTTTCAGGGAGTAACTTTTGAGTTGCAGAGACAGGCAGCTGGTGTGAGTTCTTGGAGATAGCTCTGGTAGCTGTGGACATTTCGGGTAAGGTTCCCGGCAATATAATTTGCTTTATGAGACCAGATGTCCGGAAGTGAGTAGAGAAGCAAAAACCTGATTTTTCAAACTAGCAAAGAAGAAACAGCTTGAAGGTCAGCATAGAAAAATATCCCACCAAGGAATATGTGGGCCAGTGAAGGGTGTCTTTTAAGAAGTGCTGATAAATCACCAGACAATGTACAATCAATTCTAACTCAGCCATGGTCTCAGGCTGTTCTGTCCATGCTTTGGTCTCAGCTTGGGCTGAGGAGAATGAAAAGATACTCATGTTCATTCATTCATCATTCATCCAATCTCTCTCAAATGTATCAGTCCTTCCCAGCTCGCTTAATGGAGAGCAATATGTTCTCTGTACTTAATTTGGAAAAGTATTCACCACCAAGTTAATCAAAAGAAAGGCACTTACTTGTCAATGCCAAAAAAAAAAAAAAAGGCGGGGGGAACATTAGCTAAGAAACTCATATACACTGTGTCTCTATGTAGAAGAAATAACTTTCCACACCAGGAATGTTGAAAAAATATTCTGAATCTTTCCTTGTAAGAGAGATCAATGGGGAGAGGGTGGAATCTACCTTTTTGGGTTTTTTGTTTTGTTTTGGCCACTTGTACAACAAAATATGCTGCTGAGGTCAGATAAGTTATTAACAGCGGGTCTGGACCAGAGAAAGGCCAAAGGATTCAGTCATCATTTGGAAAGCAAGACCTTGGGTGGGGGTTGTAGTGTGCCTCTTTGTTTTAACAGGGAAAAAACTTCATTTCATCCCACATATGGGACTAATTGCTGTTTTTAAAATTTTTCAGCTGCTGTGTCATGTCAGGTTGTGTTAGTCACCATGACCTATGTCTATCTGAAACTCCACGAGAAAGAATCACAGCAAACTGAAGAAACTCCGTGCAGACTTTCAACAAAGAGAAAACAGAATGTGTCCTTCTAAATCATCCATGACTGTGAAACAAACAAACAAAAAATGCCAGGACAAACCAAAGAAACACACATTTTACAGACTCATCAAAAACTTCCTGTTTTTCTCTTCCTGACAGCATTGTGAAAGTGCAGTCTCTCTAAACTGTGATCAACCTAAAACATTTTAAGCTATCCACCCTGTCCTTCGGACATAGCGGTCTGACACTAGCAATAGTATATATACACTTGTGAAATTAACAGCTGTTCTGTTTTGTAGTTCTCATTTTTTTCTTTCTCTGCTGCATATTTCTCCCTGTTAAGTTACATGACAGCTTTATCCAGTCCAAGTTAATACAAACATTCATTATTCACACAAAAATGTATGGTTTATAAGTAATCAGAAATACCTTCACACTGTGTTCCTTTAATTCTTGAGTACCCTTTACCACATATGGGATCTGTAATAAAAAGTGAAAAACAAAACAGAAAATTAATTTGAGATAACAATATCCAGACTTTGCAGTTCTGACATAGTATAAGAAACATGAAAGATGACCTGGAACATGAAGTAGATTGTGTTGCTATAAGTATGAGATAACAAAATGTTTCTGAGATTGCATAGGTGAGGAAGAACAACAATGAAATGTCTCCTCAAATAAAGCTCAATTCCACTAAGATATTCTAAAAGACACAGAAGTACCCTATAGATCATGTTAAAGTGATAGCCAAGAGGGAAACTGAAGGTAGATTTCTCTCTTGCTGTTCACCTGAAAATAGGTATCACACTATAGAATTACTTTAACATGAATATGGAAAACTCGGTCTATAATTTGGAGATCTCATGCCCTCCAGCATTCACATAAATTTATACATTTATATATCTAAACAGTAAATCAGCAAAACCATGAGCAAGGTTCTCAAACCTCAAATTCCCAACAGATTTAGACGTTCACCAGAAATCCTCCTGAAGTTTAGTCATGAATACTGGTTTCTTTACATCAATTAGCTTTTTGAAAGAGAATCTGTACCTATAAAAAGCTCAGAACCCCTAACCACAAGGTTCCAAAGAGAGCCGGTAGGCACTGGTGCTCCAGGGAAGCAACACTAACTAACCACATTACAATGTGGAGATAGAAAATAATAAATTAACAAAATCACATAAAAATTGACACTTCTTATTTCCCATCCAGCAATATGGTTGGGGTCATCAGGATTAAATCTTTCAAAATTCTCATGTGAGCCTAAACGAAGTACTAGGCTTCCCCTTTTTAGGCAAAGACCAGTGGAGTGGTGCAGGAACCACAGCATGGGTTTCTCTTACCAACTTGGCATAGGGTGCACGGGCTTCCCCACGCAGCACCGAGGGAGGAGCAGCACTGGGACTTTAAGGTGGCTCCATTGATGTTGATCTCACACCGCCCATCGATGACAGTCTGCCAGCAAGTTCCCTTGATGGTTTCTGCAGATGAGGGAATAATATTTAATGAATCAATATAAAAATTCAAACATACACCTTGGAATCATAGGAAAAAATAGCATTTGAAACAAAGAATAATGAAGTTTTTAATGTTGTTCATCCATCCTTAAACTCTTTTGCAGGAAAAGCTGATATTGAGTATAACAACATTGATAAACATAGAAAAATCATTCTCAGAAAGATACATACCTATGCAGATGGTTTTTGTTGGATCCAAAGTACTTTCAGAAGAACATTCACAAATAAAAGAACCTGGGCTGTTCTTGCAGACTCCATTAATGCAAGGACTTGATTCGCATTCATCAATGTCTGAAACAAAAACAGGTCTACATTACTGCTAAAATTTAGTCTTGGGCCTAAAAGAGTACTTCAACTTTGGCCTCAACTGCTACTACATATCCTTCATCCCACATAGTAAAGCTGGCCTAATAGTTTTTCCTACACTAGATGGAATGCCAAAATAACTCTATAGTATAGACTAGTACGTCTCTATAGTATAGAATATGGGACGAGGCTGAACCTTTCTTTTTATTCAGAATATCTGCAGTACATGTGTACGTGATTTCTGAATTAACAGCTCAAACAGCAGACACATAACATTTTCTTTATCTATTAAATGATGGCAGTTAAAATGCCAATTGCAAGTAAATACCATAAGTGGCTTACAAAGTACATACTAGTGCCATTTAGAACCACAGAATTTCAACTAAATTGGCATAACTGTCTAAAATACAGGAGACTCTAATTTAGTCTTACGGTTTTCTGATGGCATTCCAAAAGATAGCAAAGCGCACAGTATGAGAACAAAGATCTGGTTTACCTTCACACGTTTTTAGGTCAGGTTTGTAGATAAATCCTTTGGGGCAGGTACAGACAAAACTTCCAGGAGTATTTCTACATTGTCCATTGTCACAAAGGAGACTGTTCAGTACACATTCGTTAATATCTGGAAAGTCAATGAAAATGAACACTTAAAAGGGTCCAGACTTTGCCTGTATCTTCTTTGCTCTTTTACATTAGATCTTTAAAGTACTAATGATATGATCGATTCAAGTAAAAAGGCAAAATTCTTGTATCATTAGCTTTTACCTAAACGATCTCATTTTAGGAAAACAGAGGCTTGACCTGGTTTTATTTTATTTTATTTTATGTTTTGAGACAGAGTCTCGCTCTGTCACCCAGGCTGGAGTGCACTGGCGCGATCTCGGCTCACTGCAAGCTCCACCTCCCGGGTTCACGCCATTCTCCTGCCTCAGCCTCCCGAGTAGCTGGGACTACAGGCGCCCGCCACCAGGCCCAGCTAATTTTTTTGTATTTTTAGTAGAGATGAGGTTTCACCGTGTTCGCCAGGATGGTCTCCATCTCCTGAGCTCGTGATCCGCCTGCCTTGGCCTCCCAAAGTGCTGGGATTATAGGCGTGGGCCACTGCGCCCGGCTGACCTGGTTTTAAACTAAATATCTAAACTGAATATCTACAAAGCCTAAAGTCATTACACTATTTAATTCACTTATTTCTTTAGCAGGAAGAAAATATGGATTTGCTGGAAATCATTATCTTTATATAGTTACATTATATACTTAAATTTATATAATTTAATTCATTTTGTCAAATTAAAAGGATTAACCTTATTGATTTAAAGAACTAAATAAATACTTAAAAAGTATGGTCCATCTTTGACATATGTTAGTTCCAGAATAGGTGTTTCTTCCTTATAATAATTCAAACTGTCTCCAGGTACAATTATAAAGTATAAAGTAATCTGTAGCATTTATGATTGTCATGAAGAATTTAGATTCATGATTCAGGGAACTCAGGAAAACTGCCTGCTTTCAGCTGAATAATATGCCTGTCTGAAGCAAAACCCAACTTTAAGGGTTTAACTTAACAGAGAGTGGGTATTCCTGAAAATAAGCTGTGTTTTCTCTGATTAAGTCTAATAAATGGTTGGGAGAAGAGCTGCTTCTCTCTCAGTAAAAACAAGGTTGACTTTGTAGTCACGTGAGAATGGTTCAGAATCTCTGTATCTCATATCTAAGGAGCTTCTCTTTGAAGGAGTGAAATCTGATACATCTTTATTTTAAGGAGCAAATCATTTCAAGGAATGAATCTGATACATCATTATTCATAAATTGTCAAGATTCAGTCATGTAAATTTTTGTTACTAAAGACATGCATATGCTGTGCTGACATTCGAAGTATAAAGTGTCCTTCTGCCTAGTCCTCTGAGCTACTCAAAGGCAGTTTTCTCCCAGCAATGAAAGAAGGAATGCATTATGCAGGAAATGTTTCAGAAAACAGGTAAAACTTCTTACCAACACAGTTCTTCCCAGTCGAATCCACTTCATATCCTGAATTGCATATACATTTATAGGTCCCACGAAGGTTTTCACAGATTCCATTTGGGCAAATATCAGGATCTAGTGCACATTCATTTATATCTGCACCACAGACAAGTTCAAAATCAATTAACATTATAAAATAAACATTGAATGAATTGTTAAAAATATAACACTACAATACATGTAATGACCTTAGGACCTACTGGAGGAAAAAAATCGATTTCACTGGAAAGAGAACACTCGATCTCTTTTTCTCACTGTAAGATATTCTGAGTCAAATCTTTCTCTCACAAGTTCCTGAGAGGAACTTGGCATCTCAGCTGAAACTACAAGATAACCAATCCCTGATCAAGCCGAAGGAGACCTCCTGGACTTCTCCTAGTCCAAGCACCAAGATGGAAAAATGGATCAACAGCAGGTCCCAAGTCCCTACAACTGGTCTCCCCACCACCAGCCCCTCTTTCTTCCATCTACCCTCTACACTGCAACCACTCTTACCATCCTAAAAACAAGCTGATTATATCATTCTCATGGTTCAAACTTTCATAGGTTCAACAATATCCTCAAGATTAAACTAAAATACAAATTTTTTGTTTACTTATCCCAAACTTCACACTTTTCTGTGAACATATAATGCCCTCTTCGCTCTGTGTCAGGAACGCCTGCAGCAGGCCTATTTACAGGTCAAAAGCCAGCTCCAACACCACATGCTCTGAAAAAGCCTCTGCCGCTCTGCCCACCTGAGGTGGGGCCCTCCCTCTTCTGCACCCTCACAACTGAGGAGTCAAGGCAGGTGCAGAATGACAATCAGTGAATGGATAGTCCCAAATCCTGGTGCCTGACTCTTCTATAAATTAGGGTTGACATTTTTTTTCTTCCAAGTCCCTATCACAACTTACTTATTTCCCATTAACTCCTTATTCATTATAAGTTTCCTTACCTCTCGTCTTTCCTCCTCTGAATATCCCCTCCACATTTTCATTCACACACAACGATGAAACTAATCATGCTGATTGAACTGACAATCAATTCAGCCAGTCCACATTCTTTCAGATCTCCCTGAATCAAACCGCGTAGCTTTATATTAATAAAATAATCCCTTCCTCTTTCTTGTCACCTATTTTCATACTTGTTCCAATTCTCCCTTTTAACTTTAATTCCTTGCATGGCACCAATATTTTTCTAGCTAAATATTTCATTCTCTTCCAACTCAGTTAACTGCTGTCACTGCTCCCTATTGCCGTCTTATAATACTGAGCACTTAACAGTTAAGAATCCTTCAGAATGCAGATGGAGAATGGTTCCACCAGCCCATCATCCTGAGTTGTACTTGACAGTGGAAGATCCACAGGAGAGTCAGGCTGCCCCTTCTCAAGCATGAGCAACAAAAGTCATTATATGTCATCTGCGAGCACCCATCAACCACAAAGGGAGAGCACCTGACCCCTTCAGTGGCCAAGCCCCACAGCCACACCCAGAAATCCTAGAGCCCACAGTGCCCTGGCTGCTCTGCCACTGAAGGCTTCTGAGCATCCCAGATACACGGCACAGCGATGGCCAGAGAGGGAGTCAGGTCAGACCCGTGTAAAGGGATCAATGTGAAACCCACAGGAAAGCCTGATGCTGCCTCCGCACATACTGAAGGTAGTAAATTTTGAAAGGAATCCTTACCACTGCCTGCTGACGTCATTCCCGGCCCGCTGCTGCAGAGCGCCTGATATTCCGCTGCAATAAATTAACAGATAGTAAATGATTCCCTTGTTTGCAGAATAGGTCGATCCTGCCCTTGGTTTTGCACACACCATTTCCTCCAAAGTGAGTAGAACCAAAATTAAGTGGTAACGGAAAAGGAGGTATCTCCCCAGGGAGTCACTTTACACCAGGCTCCCATTTTAAAGGCTACACATCATCGAGGAAAACAACTTTTAAGGATACAGGCAAGTTATAGCAATTCCTTGTGCAAAGCCCTTTCGGAAAAGGTGTTTTTCCTATAACTTGATTTTGTTCACCAGGGAACACTTTACACTTACGGTGAAATGTGCCTGTTAAAATGTGGTTTCTTAACTGTTAATAAAACTTTCTCCCACCATCTTGGGGATAATTTTGTTTCTCACTGCTAGCTGTTTTTTCAGTACAATTGGTTCTTAACATTTCCTCATTTCTCTCTGCAAATTCTCTAGCCTCCTCTCACAAGTGCAACAACAGAATACCTACTCTTGCATTTAAGTGTATTTTTAAAGTTAATATTTATCAGGATACTGGATTCATTCTCTATGATATATCCATAGAGAAAGTATTGTTTAATGTTAAAACTGTGAGATTTTAATTGAAGAAACTGAAGTACACAGAATATGTCCCCAAATTTGAGATAGAATCAAAATTCTACTTCTTAAAATTAATACTATGTTTTACATACAATTCCAACAATACTTAACGTAAGAGTGAATGATGAAAATGTAGAACTAACTGGAATCACACTATCCACGGAAAGGAAACTAGTGTCCCCTTAGTTGCCAATGGTTTCTGGCAAACACAGTCTCATGGTCAAATGTAAATCATCTGTGCTTAAGTGGAAGGAGAACAGGATATCAGGGCCGGGGCTTATTGTAGAGGCTGACTGCACCTCACTGCTGAAGCAAATAGTTCCTACCTTCTGCATGCCAGAGAATTGCATCCTGATGACAGTGGACGTAAATGAGTTATACAACCAAAAATGATCATGTCTTCTAACAAATGTGAATTTGAGAAAGCAGTGAGGATTTAATTTTCAAATCGTCTTAGAAGGGGCCAAAAAACCAACAGATGGGAAGGTGTGTTTGAAAGTCAGGTCTGGGAACAAAAAGAAATTCATCCTTTTTATTCTGTTATATCAGCAAAAAACTAAAATATGTATGAAATACTGTAATAAAACAAGAAAACCAAAATCATGCCAGTTTCCTAAAAAGGACTTTTAGAGATAATGACAATTTTGCTGAAGTTTGGCCTAAATGGAAGCAAATTATTGTCACCATTGTTTTCCATTTAGGCAGGATCCGGTTCTAGACCATTTTTTGTAGTGAGTTCAAATAAGCATGGGTTTTAATACCAATGACAATGCTAACTGCTGGCAGTTTTGGAAGCAGCCCTTTTCCTCTGTTAGTTTCTTCTCCCATAAATGTGGAACGATAATTCCCATTTCACCTTGTGGCTGCACAGAATTAATATTACATGTTTAATGATTTAACATGTACTGTGCACAGCTCAGGCCCTGAATAAAAAATAAGTAAATAAAAGTATTATAAACCCATATTAAGGGATAGGTATTGATGAGCTAACTCAGCGTAGTGCCATGGAGACAGTGGCATGAGGGATCCACGAGAAAATTCCCCAGAATTACCCTCCTGTGGGTTTAACTGACCAATCACACTCCCATGGGTTTAACTGACCCATTTCTGTGAAACATTGTCAGAAGGCTGAGGACACAAGAGGGCTTGCTGAACAATGTGAATGAGCTCCAGCAACCAGTGAGAAACAGCTTCATATGCAGCTTGCCTGACTTGCAGACCACAAAGATGAACTTCGGATTTTGTATATTTGGAGTCTCTCCCTCAACTGACAGAAGACATTCCTTTTGAGTATTTTCAGTACTTTAAACAGCCTACCCCCCATTCTTGAAATGAGGGATTTTTGTACATTGGGATGGTTCATGACCAAAGAGGTGGAGAAACCAAATGCATGAAACTACTTCCACGTGTGGACCTTTTCTGGGTAAATTCATTCAAATATAAGACAGAAGTTAGTGGAACCGGGCCTTACATTTAACTCTCGTTAAGCTTTACTCTTGCTATGGTTTGAATGTGTCCTCCAAAGGTCATGTGCTGGAAACTTAATCCCCAATGCAATAGGAATACTGCGAGGTGAGGCCTAATAAGAAGTGATTAGATCGTGAGGACTCTACCCTCATGAATGGATTAACGTTATTATCATGGGAGTGAGTGAGTTATCATGAGAGTGACGTTGTTATAAAAGCACATTCAGTCCTCTCTAGCTTTCTCTCACTCCTCCATGCTCTGTTGCCCTTCCACTTTCAGCTGTGAAGTGACTTGGCAAGAAGGCCCCCGACAGACGCTGGCGCCTTGACATTGGACTTCCCAGGCTCCAGAACTGTGAGAAATTAATGCATTTTCTTTATACATTATTCAATTTGTGGTACTGTGTTACTGCAACAAAAACTGGACTAAGACAACTGCTTCAAGAAATCTGGTCTTTTGGTCATCTTTTTATAAACCCACATAATTTCCCTATGGATCTTAAGAATTCTTTGGAAGTGCACTTGGTCCAGGGGAAAATGTAAAGGCAAATAACTATATGCACCAAGGCTCCTGGATTCTAAGTCTTGGCTCTTCCAATCATTCAACATGTGAACAAGTCACCTGTACTCTTGTGTGCCAGCTTTCATGATACTTGTCTGTATTGCAAATTCAAAGTAGGTAAGAAAAGTATTTTCAAAAGTTAAAGTAACATGCAAAAGGATGATATTAATAATAGACAACTATAAAGTTATAAGAAAGTGTCTTTGATAGAATTATATTTGTATATAATAAAATTATTATAAACACATTGAACTGATTGGTGATCATACATAAAACAATTTCTATATTATTCACTGGGTGAAGTCATTAGCCAGAACAAAGTTTGCTTTCTTTAAACTGGCATCCCTCATTTCTTTTTTCTTTCTTTATTGAGACAGAGTCTCGCTCTGTTGCCCAGGCTGGAGAACAGTGGTGCTATCTCAGCTCACTGAAACCTCCACCTCCTGGATTCAAGTGATTCTCCTGCCTCAGCCTGAGTATCTGGGATTATAGGCACACACCACCACACGTGGCTTTTTGCTTGTTTGTTTGTTTGTATTTTTAGTGGAGATGGGATTTCACCATGTCAGCCAGGCTGGTCTTGAACTCCTGACCTCAAGTGATCCACCTGCTTTGGTCTCCCAAAGTGCTGGGATTACAGGTGTGAGGCACCACTCCTGGCCCCCCATTTCTTTTAAAGGCTTCCATTTAACTTTCTCTAACTTTTCATCATATATTTTAATTTCTAACTGTTACTTTCAAATACTATTATTTTTAAAATAACAAATCTTTTAAAATTACGATTTACTCTTTAATTTGTTTCCTTTAGGGCAGAAATAAACTGACTAAATCCTATATGTAAAACCAACCAATCAGAGCTACATATTGTCAATATTAGGTCTAACTTTATTTCAGGACATTAGAGGTCCACTGCCAAGTGACCTTAAAATTGCGTTTAAATACTGGTGGAACATTGTTTTAATTTCAGTAAAGTATTCTTGTTTTATAAATAGAAATAATTTACAACTGGACGGGACCTTTTGGATTATCTAAGGCAACTCATTTTGTAGATGAGATGTCTAAGGATAGCTTTTCTGCATTATTCTATTTTATAATTATGTTTATTAATATAAGCCACCTCAAATCCTTTCGAAAAGTAGGTGAGGAAAATTTGGAAATAAGCAAAATACAGAAATAACTAAATCACCTAATTAAGTAATTTGGCTGCCTGTTGATGGAGGAACAGAATTCTGACTCGCTATCCAGTTCTCTTTTAATTAGGCCATGTCACTTCCACTGGAGAAAAATACTTTTCTTCTCTCAGGTTAAATCAAATAATTAAAGAAAACGACACCGGGCCGGGCACGGTGACTCACGCCTGTAATCCCAGCACTTTGGGAGGCCAAGGCGGGTGGATCATGAGGTCAGGAGTTCAAGACCAGCCGGGCCAATATGGTGAAATCTCGTCTCTACTAAAAATACAAAAATTAGCCGAGCGTGGTGACGCACACCTGTAATCCCAGCTACTCAGGAAGTTGAGGCAGAAGAATCGCTTGAACCCGGGAGGCGGAGGTGGCAGTGAGCTGAGATCATGCCACTGCACTCCAGCCTGGGCAACAGAGCAAGATTCCATCTCAAACAAAAAAAAAAAGAAAAAAAGAAAGGACGAAAAAGAAAACCATACCAAAATCAATACATGGGATGTAAACAAAATTTACAAATGGTCTTTTGGAAAGCTATTGGAAATAGCCAAGTAATATGACAGTTATTTACCTTTATGCTGTGTAAAAGTCTGCTTTTATAATAGTTTCTGCAAAATGCAAACATCATGAAACAACTTTAGAAAACAAGGCAAGGTGCATGTATTGCAAAGAGCTTGAGTATTATTGAGGTAAGGGAGTTTATACGGGAGGCACAAATGCAATACCTATTCCAAATGATTATGAGGCTTAGATAACTACCTGTGACTAGACACTGGCTAGCCTCTGGCAAGACCCCAAGAAGGCACATGGCATACCCGGAGAGCAAAATGTCATCTTTCCCTGTGAATTCCACAAATGCAAAGACCTCAATGGTGGCAGAAGGCCGGCAGTACGAGGGCATCCCCATGATACCACATACCTGAATTCTGTGCAGGACACGGCTGGCAAGGTTCCCCAAATGCATACTCAGTGCTGGCACAACAGCATTCAGATTTCGTGACAGCACCAAACAAAGGTTTGATACACTGGCCTCTCTTGTATCCACCATAGCATGTACTCCGCATGTGCGTGTCTAAACAGGAAGATGCATCTATCATCACACTGTCACTTCAAACAGAGCAGAACCCCCCAAGTCAAAGTTGAAGAGGGCTTTGTTTATCCACCATCCCTGGTGTAACTCACAGGGAATGCCTCTGATATGAGGGCTCCATTTGAAGAAAAAATAAACAAAAACAGAAAAACACAACACATTCAGCTTCTAAGCATTGGAAACCAATGGCCAGATTGTTTCAGTTTTCTAGGGACTATCATGGTTTACCAAAATGTGAGGCACTTTAATGCTGGAATTGTATCTCATTTATTTTGTCTTTTTCAGGCCTGTGCAGAGCAGGCACTTAATAAACGTTGAATTAATAATGGATGAATGTTGAATCTCACATCCTGCTAAATAAGACCTTTATTAGAAATGTGGCCTATCCCAAAATAAACATGCAATTACTGAATGTCTGAATTAGGTATACTTTCCAAAAAGGAGAAAGTTTAATCTGTAAAAGGTTTGTTATATAAACCTGTAGATGTTGGTCAACTAAGCTGTGTTTTCTTTACCACCAGGAAGCGTGTTTCCAGCTATGCCCAATCCTTTTCCAATTCAAATGGCTTACTGAGTACCTTTCTTAAAAATAATCTGGATAAAACTGGTATCAATTTTTCAACAAGTCTCATACTTTTTAGAAAGTCTCATAAAACTATTATCATACAGGTTTCTGGATGATCCATATTCTCCTTTGCATTCTATACTGCCCATGGACATCAATTCTCTATTAAAATGTTCATCATGAGATAATAGCATATGCACATCAATTTCAATGACCAATATCAACAAAGGAGGGCTGGAGAAAACTGAAGACAGCTATGGGATTAGGGAAGAACAGGGGGAAGGATAGGTGGGTATTCTCTTGCTTTTCACTTAGCTCATCTTTCTAATCCTCGAATTAATGTTCAATTTACACAAGAAGAGAACTGACCCTGTTGATCTGTTGCTCTGCAAATATTCTTTATATCTTATCTGCTACAGTAGAGAGCGTTTGTTACTAGTGGGCTTTATTGAGTGACAGAGGTTGAATCTCTCTCCTAAGTCTAGCCATGATGTTTTCTTACCAACACACACACGTCCATCCAGACCCACAGCCAGTCCAGGGAAGCATTCACATCTGTAGGAGCCGTCAGTGTTGACGCAACGCCCATTCATGCAGATCCCAGGGGTTTCACACTCGTTAATGTCTGTGGCAGAGAAAGGCACTTATTAAAAATGAAGTGACGTTTATCTAAAATTATAACATATTGACAATTATGTTTTAACACTTGAAAATGGGGAAGATAGGAAATAACATGCAGCATCTGCAACAAAAGCTCAAATGGCATTCTCATTTTCCTCTGAAAGAACAGTAACAAAATCAAGAGAAATCAACTGTTGGAACGTATTTTCCATAAAAAGCAACTTTAATATATTCTCCCAAGAGATTTTTGTATCCAAAATAATCACAAAGGCAAAAACAGAATCGGAGGAAGGAGAACAATGGCTGCTAGAAGACAAAGGGTTTTGTGTAATGCATAATCAGGGTAGCTCTTCCAGGGCTCTCAGAAATCTAGGTAATAATAAACTACAGGAGGACTTTCCTTTTGGTATTCATCACAAGGACTGGCATCCCTTCTAGTATCACCCATGTCTTAGTTCTCTGGGACAATTCGCCTAAAATTAAAGGATAAACAACTAAAACCTTGATGGAACACCAAAGAAAAAGAACAGAAAATAAATATAGATTACTTCGATGACCATTCTGGGCCAATAACAGCACTGTATGTAATTGGAACCCACCAAAGAAAAATCTTTCTTAAACTTTACAAATACTTTATGGTATTTTATGTGTATACTTAAGGAGGTCTGGTAAAATACTTTATTGGACACATATTAATAATAGCGGAGTGTTTTTTTCCCTTTAATATGGGGAAGTACAAAAGGCACCAAAATTGTGGTTTGGAAAACATACAACACTTAGAAGCAAATGATTTTAGGTCAGGCATGGTGGCTCACACCTGTAATCCCAGCACTTTGGGAGGCCGAGGTTGGGAGATCACTTGAGGCCAGGAGTTCAAGATCAGCCTGGCCAACATGGTGAAACTCCATCTCTATTAAAAATACAAAAATGAGCTGGGCATGATGGCATGTGCCTGTAATCCCAGCTACTTGGGAGGCTGAGGTGCAAGAATTGCTTGAACCCAGGAGGCAGAGGTTGCAGTGAGCTGAGATCACGCCACTGCACTCCATCCAGCCTGGGAGACAGAGTGAGACTGTGTCTTAGAAAAAAAAGAAAAAGAAAAAAAGCAAATGATTTTATAACAACTCCTTTTACAATATACAACTAGTGTATGTGACTATTAACTTTCTCCTGACCTTAAAAAGGCAAATTGAGAGTAAAACACCTTCGTGTTTTACTTAGCTTGTGTTGTTTGGCACAAAATATATTCGGGTGGTCCAAGGTTCTGTGTACAGATTGTATTTGAAACAGCAGTTATATTTAAATACAGGAACTCAAATTGGTTAGTTATTCTGGTCACCTTTTTGTTCAAACTGTGACACACAATAAAACGTGGAGACTACAACCTGAAAGGTAACACAAAGAGCTTTTAATAAGAATGGAGATGTAAAGTAGATCCAAAGGAAGGTAACTTTGGTCAAATTTAGTGGCCTCAACTTTCAGAGAGTGAACAGAGAAGCCATGTTGTTGATCAGATGAGTTAACTGCGGAGATTGAATTAGCATTGTTGATTCAGCTTTGAACAGTCACATCTTTGTGGGCTCAGGACTAAGTGCTCAGGGCTAAGAGAAAATCTTATCCCATGGCATAAAGAGAAAGATTATAAAAAGGAAGAAATTCAGTGCACATGGGATTAATTTCTGTCTTTTTTCATCCTTCAGTCTTATTACAGTGTGTGTACCCTATGCTCTATAAGCTAGAAAAAAGAAGACATTGATAATAATACAGAGCTATGGAGCTCTCTCTCTCTCTCTCAGATCCTTAAGCCAGAATGCTAAAGTCAGAACAAACCATCCATATCATCAGTACTTTCAAATTAATAGAACAATCAATTTATTGATAGGATACTATTTCACTGGTTGCCAATGGTGGCCAAACCTGGTTTCATCTGTGAGGTCACAGCATTATCTGTTGGCCATACTTAATGCAGAGATGCTGTGGTCTGGGTCAGCAGGAGCCTAGAGGCACTAAAAGTGAATCTTAGTGTGCTCTGTGTATCAACAAGAAGATTATGTATTCTCCTAGGTCTGCTCACAAAGGGGCTTTCATATTTCTTTCTATTATTTTTTTTGGAAGCCCAATTCCAAATATTCCAGCAATCATTCTCTTCCCTTTTCTTTTTTACTTGTACAGCGCTAAATTTGCACAATTTGACACTTTGTTTTATGCTATTTTACACTGTAGAATATTTCTATGTGTTAATCCTGTCTTCTCATATAAGTTCCTCCCACCACAGGGCTCAAAAGTACAGAAACCACCTTCCTACTTCAAATTTGAAACACCCAACTGTTTTCTCTTGCTGGGAAGACAGATTTGCACAATATTAAGAGCCATTGATGTGAAGGTCATAGAGAATGTAGGTAAACAACCAAGGGCTCGAAGTTCTTTTCAGCCTGGAGAAAATGCACATCTTGCCAAGGACTTAATACAAGGCTTTCTTCCATAACACGTTTACCAAAGCTGTCCACTAGGGGCACACAGAGAAGAGGCACCATAGGACTTTATCCTGCTTTTCTCTACCTTGAATAGCTTGACCCTCTACACTTTTGCATCTGAAACTATGCCCAGAAGCTCTAAGTGCAGCATTTTAGCAGATTTTCTGGACCTGTTTTGAGTATGAGGTTCTTTAAGAAGTCTGGTTCCAACTCAGATCCTGGACCAAGTGCAATAATCACTGATCCCTGCATAAGACAGGAGACACGAAGCACAAAATTGTCTCCAGCAACTTTTCTTAGGACCCCAATTCTCAACAGCAAAAATAAAAATCCTCATTTTTGCTTCAATACCTGGAGCAATGAGATTATTTCAAAATGGTTTACCAAACTAAAAAATGGTTGTTGGTTGTTTATTTATTCTGCTTAATCCTGTTTCCCTTCTTGCTTACCTAACTTGATAACGCCTAAATAAATTATCCTTAAAAAAAATTCTGTGTCTTAAGATGCCTGGAGGAAATTATGAGGAAGAGATCATTGCAAATAACATTCTACACCTATTCTGTCCAGGTAAAGATGTAAGAGGTGGCAAATAACAGCCATCAAGAAGCCTAACTACCATTATTCCCTAACTGGAAAGAAGAGGTAGAACTCAGCTTCTTTAGAACAATGCCCACATCTGTTGGAAGACCAACAGGCAGTTTGGATTATTTATTTGCTACATAGCTTTTGACTCCTTTGAGAATACCGTTTCTGAAATAACAACACTCTTACGGGCATAAACTGTAGCTCTTTGGATGGTTGGATTTAAGAGGGAGATTCAGTCAGGTTTCCCAAACCAAAATTCAAGATACTGTAAGTGGGGAGAATCAGTAAAGAAAGGCAGTACCTCTAAACAACATAAAGAGGAGAAAAGGCAGGTGAAGAACATGATCTAAGGTTTCACAGCACAAACCTTTGCAATAACGCCCATCTGATGCCAGCTGGAATCCAGGTTTGCAAATACATTTAAAACTGCCATCTTCATTGATACACATTCCATTAAGGCACATGTTCCTTATGCTGCATTCATCCATATCTGAAAAATATGAAACGTACATTTTCTTAAGACCAGAAGAGTAAGCTTACGAAGGAAACCAATCTGGATGAAAATAATTCTGTTTCTTCATATTTCTTTCTTTTTGTTATTACAGTCTAAGGCTAATTTTCATCCAAATAATATCACCTAAGGAAGGAGAAGATGGGACATAAGAAATACATATCTCAAGTTCTTGAGTTTTGGCAGGTGCATGTAAACTTTAGGGCCAGATTTATAGGTATATCTATTTATAAAATATATAAAATTTGACTCCATAGAAGTTATCAGGGTCCTTTTTAGGAATAATAGTTTACAAACTGAAAAATGTGCTAATAGCCTAGTGGGTATATTTATTTCACAGAATCATATTACTTCTAATGCTCTGAAAATGAAAATAAGTCAAAACTAAGATCAGAGGAATTTGAAATGTATTTAGGCTACATCCTAATTCTTTTAAAGATGAAAACCAGAAGATAACTTGTAGTTTGAAGCAATTTTAAATAGAGGCAGGTAAAAAGTGGACTTTTAAAATACATGGCTCAACTATGGATTATAGATGTGCCAGTGAACCTTTAAGACACCTTAAACATTGGGGATCGTTCTTTAAATTCATCAGTATGTTATTTAATATTAAAGCTGTCTTGGGAGGCACTTGCTCTTCTAGACACAGTGTTTTCACTTATAGGCTTTAGAAAGACCAAGTAATTTATTATATATACATATTTTAGATATATATAATATATATATTTTAGACATATATAATGTATATTTATTTTAGATGTATATTTATATCTTAGATATGTATTATTTCTATTTAAATATGTATTTTATGAATATTATCTATATATTACATATTTAGAAAAACATATATACATAATATATATATTACATATATAGAAAATATATATAATATGTATTTTACATTATATATATTTTAGATATATATTTCACATACTGATTAGTAGCATTTTATTACTAGGCAGACACTTTAAGCAAAAAGATTATAAATGGCTAGATAATACACGGACTTAGGTATGTCCTATTTTTTAAAAATGTACAAATTCTGATTGTATAAAATTAGGAAGTATGACATTGTGCCACAAAAGTTTCATCATCACCAGGGATCTTTAAAGGGCAAGCTCTCCTAGCAAATTAAAATGTTATTTGATTCACATAAATGTAAATTAAGAAATGAATATTGTGGAAAATTAGGCTTCCCTCCCAGATAAAATAAATAAAACATATCTGATACTTTGACATTTCACTCATTATTTGGTCTTGTTAAAGACCTCTGATACTGAAATTGCAATGGAAGGACAGGACTAACATTAGTACACTATTATTACCTTCACAGTTCTTCCCATCTCGTGTAACATGAAAGCCTGCATTACACACGCAATGAAAACTGCCATCTGTGTTGATGCAGCGTCCGTTATTGCAGATCCGGCCATTCTGTAAACACTCATCAATGTCTAAAATCAAAGTTTAAAAAGAAGAAATAGCTTTATTTAGGGGAGTTAAAATTATTTTATTTCTGCCGGGCGCGGTGGCTCAAGCCTGTAATCCCAGCACTTTGGGAGGCCGAGACGGGCGGATCACGAGGTCAGGAGTTCGAGACCATCCTGGCTAACACGGTGAAACCCCGTCTCTACTAAAAAATACAAAAAACTAGCCGGGCAAGGTGGCGGGCGCCTGTAGTCCCGGCTACTCGGGAGGCTGAGGCAGGAGAATGGCGTAAAAACCCGGGAGGCAGAGCTTGCAGTGAGCTGAGATCCGGCCACTGCACTCCAGCCTGGGCGACACAGTGAGACTCCGTCTCAAAAAAAAAAATAAATAAAATAAAATAAATTATTTTATTTCTCCCGCCCTCCATTTGCAAACTCATGATCTTAGCTTTTGGTTTTAATTACTTAATAATATTCTCCAACATAAACTGGTTATCAAATAATGTGATATTTAGGGTTATCAGAGTTGAAAAGACATGATAAAAAACCTGTATAATTGCATTAGAGCTAACTCTAATTTCTAATAAGACTCCTTAAATCTGAAGTCTGTAAACAAAATAGATTCTTCTTCACCATTTTCCAAGCACATTTATTTAACCAGTATAAATCATTATTTATACTGAAATTTGGCTGGCATCTTTAAATACATAATTTTAAAAGACATATTTTATAGCTATCTCAGAACAATACAAAAAACGCTACTTTTTAAAATAATCACCTTAATTCTGCCTGAAAACCATCAATCATATCTCTAAAACGTTCGTCTTCTTTATGGTAATTCTGGTTTACGTGCAGGGTTATTGCTGATAGATTCTTAGTCTTTTAAAAAACAACTTTACGAGTATTCTATCTACCAAATAAAATATTGATTCTGTGAGGGTAGTTTTCCTTTTTTCCTACTGTGGTTAGTATTATGCCAAAGTACACAATAAAGCTTGATACGGAAGTGTTAAAATAACAATAACTCAAACAACCTGTATCTGATTTCTCACTTAAAGATGAATAATCAACCCAAAGTGGATAGCATGGTACCCTGGATTATCTGTTTCTCTCAGTTTCTAGAAGCTACAAACCTGGATAAACATCAAAGAGGATGAACACAAACCTCTTTGTCTACACAGGCACAAAATCACTTCCAGGGCTTATTCCCAGAAGATAGGGACTGGGAAACTATGTGGAGTTGGGTGGGAACATTCCTATCTATGCAGAGTTGAGGCCACATTTGTCTGAGTATAAGCGCCCTAAATATCCCCTGCACAATGAGCACGTGCGTTTATGGCACCTCAGTTACTCTGACTGTCTACCCTGCGTCTGCATGATGTCTTGTGGTTGGCCCTCAGATGCACTTTCTTTCTGGGCAGATCCTGCAGTGGTTTCCACACAAGTCATTGGACGAGCTGAGGCAGTCTGGGCTTTTCTTCTGTCTGATCTTTGTGCCAACAACCTACGATCTTTTTCTCTCTCATTTATTTCTTAATCCTTGCTAAAAATCAGACTTGCTCCACACTCCAAAAAAATGGTAAAAACCACATATTCTTGAGCAGACTTTTTTTTTTTTTTTTTTAAGGATCCTATAATTTTTTGAGGCCCAAGTTGAAAATAAACAGGATAAAGAGTTCACCTTTTTCTCTCCTCATGGATTTCAGAATGCCACGGGGTTCCCCATTGCCTTATAAGACAAATTTAAAGCTGGCCATTCAAAGTTCTCCTCTACTGTGTCTCTGCCGGTCCTTCTGTCCCCTTCTATTTGGCCCCTCACATACTTCCCAGCTATGTGCACAGCCTTTTGGACCATTCTGTGGCAACTTTCATCCACAAAATCATGTGAACACATTCTCAACTTCTTATTTTCAGGATAACCTTAGCGCTAGCTCTTAAAGAAGTCAGTGCTTGAAGTATTCAGGTCATCCTCAGTCTCCAATACTAAGTCTCAGATTGATAACAACCACATACATGCGTTTATACTGGCTGGCCCTTGCCCCAGCTGAGTGCTCTCAATAACCACTTCTCTTGGCTTATTTAACAGTGCAGTCTCTGGACATTGATTTCATTTTATTTTCTATTATTGCAAAATGCTTAATACGCTATTTGTACATGTTAATTATTTTAAACAATAGTCATAATATTAAGAAGGTTCTCAATTCAGTTAAGTGTTCAACCTATCCATATTTATAATTAATAAATAGAAATGTTAGCAAGTTCAAAGGCCTTGTTCCAGTTTTTCTGCTTAAAATGGTCATTTATATGTAGTGCACTAAAATACACTGATGGCAAGAAATCTCTACGTGAGAACCAAATTCAAAAATTTTGAAACCAGTTCACTGATAAAAATTAAAACTTCTATAGGTCTTCAACTCATGAAGAGCTTTTGCTAAGAGAAGCAAATAAAATTAACTCTTGTCAATGGCTACCAATTTTCTAAAGTGATATAAACCTCACTATCTTTTATTTAACTTCTAAAAAACTTTTAAGTTCAGGGATACATGTGCAGGTTTGTTAAATAGGTAAACGTCTTTCACGGGGGTTTGTTGTACAGATTATTTCATTACCCAGGTATTAAGCCTACTACCTATTGGTTATTTTCCCTGATCCTCTCCCTCCTCCAACCCTCCACCCTCCAATAGGTTCCAGTGTGTGTTGGTGCCTTCTGGGTGTCCATGTGTCATCATTTAGCTCCTACTTAAAAGTGAGAACATGTGGTATTTAGTTTTCTGTTCCTATGTTAGTTTACTAAGTATAATGACCTCCAGCTTCATCCATGTCCCTGCAAAGGACATGATCTCATTCTTTTTTATGGCTGCATAATATTCCATGGTGTAAATGTACCACATTTTCTTTATCCAGTCTATCACTGATGGCCCCTTTTATTTAACTTTAATAGAGTATTTGCCTATTTTTTTCTGTCTTTACTGATTAATGATACAGTTCATTTTGTGCTCAATTTAGAGATAGAGATGGAGATAGACGTTTGGGCTCCCTGACAGGGATCGTTATTTATTTGTTTTAGAAACTTAGTACATTAAAGTCATTTAATAAAAGGCATATTGGATGGCTTAATAAATTAGTTAATAAACCTGATGGGAAATTTTTTATGAGGGACATTTATAGCAGTGCTTCTCAAACTTCAATGTACATACAGATCGCTGGGGGATCTTGTTAAAATACAAAGTCTGCAACAGTATGTCTGTGGTGGAACCTGAGATCCTGCCTTTCCAAGCAACTCTAGGTGATGCTGCTGCTGACCACACTAAAAAGCAGCAAGGGCTTAGAGCGACATCCTTAGCTTTTAGAACTTTCCATGAAGAAATTAATCGCCCATAATTTCAACTGAAATTTTCTTCAGTTGATGTGTCACAAAGGACAATCCCACTCTCTACTTCTCAGATGAAAACTTAAGAGGCAATAATAGTGACGAGACATCAGTACTGAAAATAAGATTTTTCCTGCAGGCATAGATGCATCTTATAAAATAACTTCAATGCTTGCCAGATTTTATGACACTGTCTTTCAGAATGACAATAGGTGGAACTAAGTTCAAAAAAGCCATGGAACTCTATTAGTCTCTTCCGGCATGGGTTATTTAAACTCCATGGAACTCGTCTGAAGTCAACCCCCAGTTAGCATATATGTCCCACATTCCACGCCAGGACCATACCTCGGCATTCTGTCCGTGTGAGTGTGCTCTGATATCCAGCTCGGCACTGACAAGTGTACGAACCCTGGTTGTTGATACACTCGCCACCAGCACAGGGGTTTTTCTCACATTCATCAACATCTGCAAAGCACAATGTATTTTAGTGCAAAATTAGATAGCAATACCTCATCATTCTAAGATGTTCTTGGTTCCTTTTACACATATAAAACATTTTCCTTTTGAGAAATAAATAACATAATAAAAGGATCTTTTTTCTTTCCACTACAATATGTCATTAGCCATTCAAAGACTGGTTGAGCAGTTAAAGTGTATTATTTTCATGTGTCATTTTGCGGAGAAAAATTCCAAACAAGTAGCAACTCAACAATCTGATCTAATAAACATTTTCTCTTCCTTAAGTCTGATCGAAGAGAACCAAACAGACTAACATTTCAGAAGTGGCTTGTGGATAGGATTCCAAGTATCTCTTGAAGCTCTATTTTTTCTAATGAAAAGAAGGTCTAACCATATCCAAGCATTCCCTGCTGAGTTCCACTAAAATGTCAGAACAAAACATGAAGCAACTGTTGTTTAAAGGGCAGTTCTCAATCACCATAGAGTCGACCCCATCCCCAGATGTGTTCAATACACAAGCTCACACTAGTTTTACAGTCACTTAGAATTATCAGTACATTTAGAGATAAACTGGTTTATATGACCCTACTTGTAAACAGGAGGAAGCTAAAATTTAGCGAAGATAACCCAGTTGTCCACATGCTTCTTAGTGGCAGATACAGATCTGACCTCACATTCCCCAACCCTGAGTTAAATGTTTCCACTTCTACTCAGATCTGGATGACCTCTAGAAGGGGTGTTCACATCACCAGGAAATTAAATAGTTCGGGGAAGTAAGAACTCATCATTTCTGACCAATCATAAATTTACAATTATAAAATTAGAATTCATAACAGAACTAAGAGGTGAGCTTATTTTAAAAACAAGTTGATAGGAACTGAGTATTCTTATCCAATCCAACAAATTGATTACTCTTGTATTACATTTTCTCCCTTCACCAGCTTAAATGCCTCATCAGCAATTTAAAATTTCTTTCTTCCATTTAAAGTAATTAGTCTAAGAGAGTTGGTAAGCTACACATTTAGACTAGTATAATGTGCAAAATTCCATAATTTGGGGATATTTTTAATGTTTTCTTTTAATGGTTAGGCTTTTGGTAGGTTGTCTTAAATTGGAGTTACCAGAAACGAATTGAGTACCTTTTACAATGAAAGTTAAAAGTAACTTTAATAGGCAGAATAATGACCTCCCAAATATGCTCATGCCCTAATTCCCAGAACCTATGGATATGTTATATAGCTAGCAAAGGGGAATTAAAGTTGTAGATAGAATTAAGGTTGGTAATCAGTGATCTTGAGATGGAGAGGGTCTCCTGGATTATACAGGTGGCCAAATGCAGTCACAAATATCCTTAAATGTGGAAGAGGGAATTGCAAGAGAGAGTCAGAGAGAGAGAGAGAGAAAGAGATTTGAAGACACAACACTGCTGGCTTTGAAGATGGAGGATGGGGCCATGAGCTAAGGACACAGGCAGCTGGTAGTAGCTGCAAAAGGCAAGGAGATGGATTCCTCCCAAGAGCCTCCAAAAGGCACACAGCCCTCCAAACACCTGGATGTTAGCCCAGTGAGACTTGTGTTGGGCTACTAACCTACAGAGCTGAAAGATAATATAAACTTGTATTGTATTAAGCCACCAAGTTTGGGGTAATTTGTTACAGCAGCAATCGAAAACCAGTAGAGTCAAGGAACAGAATTGCAACAGACCCATGGTGCCAACCTAGGATGGATCACGTACCAATACACTCCCCACGGAGGTCCAGCTGGAACCCTTTGTTGCACTCACACCGGTAACTCCCAGGAGTTGGAATGCAGCGTCCATTTTGACAGAGATAGCGGACCAACTGGCAGTAATCAGTGACGTTGACTGGCAGCACCCCTAGAAGAACATTAAGCCCCAATAAAATTATTTTAACTATGGTACCTTTCATCAGTACTTAATCTGACAATAATGAACAAGATGTTGAATCAGAAAGGAAAGAGGACACTCTTTGGGTAAAGGTCGTCTAGTGACAACAGAGCATATTTCCACCCTGCCAACAGAGATCACATTGCACTACGTGTGCATAGGGGAGCTAGCAACCCAGCTGCAGGCTGCTTTTCCCTGCCCTCTTCACCACCTCACTCTCAAACCTCTAGTTTGCAGAAATAACAAAGGCATAGAGAGATTGGTATTGAACTACTTATGAAACTGCCTTGCAAGCTCTATAACCTAAAGTATAATTTTATATCCTCTCTATTAACCCTTTCCGTGAATCAGATTTAACTATTGCCCATAACTCTCCCATAGTTGCCTGAAAACATCAATAACAAAAGGACATTAATCTCTGGAGAATAGGAAGCCTCCCGTTTTTCTCTATGCAATAGGAAAATTGAGATATATAGATGATATAGATACAAATAACATATGTAAACCAAAAATTAATATAACAATTTATAAACTTATTTAATGACTAAAACAGCATAAATAAACAATAAAAAATGTTAACTTGAACAATGCGAGAAAAATAACTAGATGATTTTTGAATTCTTACTTGGTGGTTCCCGAGATGGATATGGATATTCCACTGGTGGTCGAGGGACCGGAATTTGAGGTCCAGGAGGAAAGCCAGGAGGAACAGGGAGAACTGGAGGAATGGGGCCAAGGGGTGGGGGAGGATATTCTGGTCTCCCAGGAATTACCATAGGAACAGAGCACAGCTTGTTGAAATCCTCTAGAAAAACACAACAAAACAAAACACAACAGCTGAGCTGTAGCTTATGATCATAGGCCCACAGAAGTCATCCTTATTTTTTTAAAGATATTTTTGAATAAAATTGATCCTCAAAACTCACAGGTCAATTGGAGAAAAGAAAAAGGAGCAACTGACTGGATTTCCATTTTTAATACCTGCAGCAGCAACCACTCTGGAACAATATTCAAAACCAAAGCCATATTCCTCCCAAAACCTCGGAGTCTTTATTTGTATCAACATTCACCTCGTGGAAAACATAAAGTATTACTTTCTCCATCCAGTCCCACCTGTGGATCCCACAGGGCTCCACAGAATACATTAAAAAGTTTGGATTTTATTTTATGCACAGTGTAAAACCACTGGATATCTTCAACAGGGGCGGGACATGATCAGATGACCATTTTCAGAAGATCACGCTTACAATTACAACGTATGAAGAACATTACTGCAGGGAGGCAAGGCTGTCACAGAAGACCAAGGGGGAGATGATGATGTCTGGACGGGGGAGGCAGTGATTGAATCGGACAGAAGTGGACAAATCTGAAGCACATTTTAGAGATAAATGTATAGTGCTCAGTGAAGTGATAAGTGTCAGAGCTCATGAGACAAGAAGTCAAGAATGACTCCTAGTTTTCTGGTTGAGCAATTGGGTGAATGTTGGTGCCCTTCCCTGGATGGGAAAAACCATGGTGGTAGCAGGTTTGGTGGGTAGAAGCCAAGTTCCATTTTGAACATATGAGTTTTGGGATATCAGACATCCAAGTGGAGCTATCACTTCGCAGTTGTAAAAGACAGTGTGAAGCTTAGAGGAATCAAGGCTAGATGTGAGTTTCAGAGTCATCAGTACAGACAGGTGATATTCAAAGCCATGGGGATGGATGAGCTCATGTAAAGGTGGTGTGGAAGGGGAAGAGAAGGGACTACAAGGACAGAACCCTGAAGAATACTGATTCATAAAAGAAAGCATTATCAATGGAGAAGTGGTCCATAAGGGAAGGAGAAATACCAAGGGGTGGTGGGTCTGGTATTAATGCTGCATAGTGACCCTCTGAATGAGGACATCCTGACTTCATCATCTGCTTCCCTATGATTCTGCATTTTCAGGATGATTACTATTTTTCACAGCGTCAGGTCTTTATCAAATAAACCATCTTTAGGTTTTGACACATTTGTTCTGGGCTTCCAAAAAGCTGTTTTTAAGCAGTATCCAGGTTTCCAAGGATATATTTATTTTATTCATTTTCATGTTGCCTACAAATAGCCATGTTTTATCACAGTTGCCTTCTGTAAGTAACCTATGTGACTTTTACATTTCATTTCTTTCCTCTCTTGCTAGGATGTTGGTAATTTTATTTTCACAGTTGTACAGCGATTTTCTCATGGATACCTTCTATGCTAGTTTTAGCCATTAATAGAAATTAAACTAATATTTTTCTTTTCCTTACAGACTACAATTTAACTTATTTTCAGATAGTAACATGTCTTACTTAAATGCATTCATATTTCAACCCCATGGGACATTCTGCCAATTTATATGAGGTTAAATATGCCTAGCTACTATGAACGGTACTTTCTGGTCCGTTTCTAAAGTTTCTTCATTCATATTTGACATTTCCAGCTCAGGTCAAGTTTATATTTTCAGAGAATTCTCTTACAGCATTTTAATTATGATTTAACTGGAATTTCAAATCACAGAGATACTGACATACTCGAATGTATTTGTAAAGGAATTCTATGTTGTTCACGCTTCCCTGACTCAGGATGTCACAATCCTGCTTGTCAACCAACAATGACTCTTCCTATAGATTGATCATCTGTATGTGCCATATCCATCATTCCCTGGGAACCTGCTCTTACCAAATTCCCATCACTAAGACTGTGTAGTCTTTGAAGTCAGGGATCATCTCTAACTCATGACTAGTTCCCACTCTCAGCCTTGCCCTGCAAATTGCACATAACAGGAATTCATTAACTATGTGCTGGATTTAATTGAATGACAATTATATTACAGAACTCACTTTGCTTCTAAGCATTTGTAGGTACCAATTCAGCCTTTCTTTTTAAGACTTTTTGAATTTATATAAAAGAAATAGCTTATCAGCCTTTGTGCTAATTAGGTGGGTATTTTATTTTAAGAATGCCATTAAATTCATCTTAACCTCTCTAGGAAAGTGCATCAGACTGAATCCTATATTTCTTCCTATTTTTTACAGATTAGTAATCTTCTCATTGCCCCTTTATATTCAGGATCAGCAACATGGCGCTAATTTTGTTCAGCTGATGTCCATCTTTCCTATCTCCACTGAACCCAAGATGATGCTGATTTATTTTTTAAAGAGTAAAAAGCTGGCCAATCTAAAATCCTTCCTGCGTCACTCTCTGTAAGAGCCCAGATCTCTAGCACTGGTACTGGAACATTTAGACAAACAAAAACCTACCTGCAAATTATTTTGCTCTATAAATCTGTTTTGCCCAAGGCCTCTAAGGGCTGTGCATCTCTCAGTGGTATACCTGGGAGAACAGCTCCCTGTAAAGCCACACACAGGAACCTGGTCTTCTTCTCCAACTGTCCCAAAGTAGGGCTTCCTGCAGGCACCTAAACCTGCTCTAGTCCCCTTCTCTATTCAATGCCTTCACACAGGAAGGAATCCACATCAAGGCTGCTGATTTCCTAAGTTAACGTATGCATTTTAAAAGCCATTGTCCTGGTACCTAGGCCCTGTCTTAGTAGGAAGTCATGTGCTTCTAAACAGTGATCCACTAAATGGTTCCCTACTGGACTAAAGAAGGTAAAGTTCATCTATGTATTTGTTTATTTATGTATTATTATTTTTAATTGACAAGTAAAAATTGTATATGTTCATTGTGCACAACGTGATGTTTTGAAATATGCTCAACTGGTGGGAAAGATGTTGCCTAATAAGTTGCTCTATTTGAATGCCTCCTATAGCAAGATTTTGCTGAATATTGTGGAAGTGTAAAAAGCATGAGAAATATGAGGCTACAATAATGAATGAGATTTCCTAATGAGATTGATCAACCAGTAAAAGAGCAATGTGTGAACACACATATAGGACTCATGCCATAGTCATACTACCAGCCAGAACCACAGGAGCACGAGGAAGAAGGGAGCACTTCCAGCTGCAGCTGCCTGGGGACATTCATGGATTAGGTCATGTTTGAGTAGATCTTTAACAAGACTAGAGGACATATAACAGGCAAGGATGGCAGGAGTAGGGAGAAAGAGACTGAACTGGCTAGAAGTTTTAGGAAAAAAGTCAACTTGAATTTAGAAATGCTCAGATTGGGTGCAATGAAAACTCAATCATATAATTTAAACTACTATAAAGAACAAGAATTAAAAGGTGAACTGGGATCAGATTTGGGGACTCTAAATGCTGCGCTAAGTAGCAAATGTTCTTTGCAAGAAATGGAGTGAATTGGCCACTAAATATTGCCTGAGTTCGTCCTGGAGAAATATTTTTGGACTTCTTTCTGGACTAACGAAAGTGTGCTGTATTTATATATTTGTTTAGTTATGTATTTTTAAACTAACGAATACAAATTGTATGCATTCATTGTATACAACATGGTGTTTTGAAATATGCTCAATTAGTCAAAAGGTGTCTCCCTTTTCCCCCTAGACACAATTTTTTAAACTGAACTTCACTGACTCATACTTTGGGAAAGATACATGGCAACGGTGGATTTCAGAGACTAGTTAGGAGGCTGCTGGAACAGTCCAGACTAGAGAAAATATGCTTCTAATGGAAACAAAAAAATGGACAGATAAAAGAGATACTGTGAAGGAAAAAAAAAAATAAGCAGGACTTTGCAGGAAGGAAAGAGTCCAATGTTAGGAAAAAGGAAATGTGTCTCCTGAACAACTTACCTGAAAAATTCTGAGAGCTGAGTTTTACCCTACTGAGCTTTTGAGTACTACATGAGAGCCAGTAAGTACTAAAATGAGAATAAGTACGTCCCCAAAAGGTTTCTGTTAAGTAGTAATAAGCCAGCTAAGTCAAAAGCAGTACCTGAAAACAGTACTCTTCATACAGACCTCTGTTTTTTCCCTCTGCATTATGTGGGGAGATTTCCCTGGATGTCATCTCTTATATTTTCTGGAGTCTATTCATTTACCCAGGTTTCCATTATGTCTGCATCATGCACATTGTCATTGGGCTTGTGAGGATATTCTGCAGATAACAGGGCTCTTACCGGTTGCTCTGATGGGACACATCTCAGGGGCGACAGTGACCCCTGGAGACCAGCATCGGCCGGCATCACAGCAGCACTGCATTTTGGTTATGGACTGTGGCAGCTGGTTAGAGCAGCGTCCGTTTGTCAGAGCTGTGTAACAGTATCCTGGGCGAACATCTGAGGACAAAGAAACACATACACACACACATCACTGAGATGAGACTTGTAACAACACTCCCCGGCCACAGCAGCTCCACACTTCACACTTGGGCTACGGCAGGATTAATTCACACCTCTGCCCCCTGGAAGGGAAGCTGCGAGCGCTGCACGGGAACAACGCTCAGTCAGAAATCCCTGGTCTCACACCTTTTGCCCCTGTGTGCTGGTGCACATGGCTGAAGTCCCACATTCCATACCCAAGGTGGGAACGAATGATTAAGACCATGTGTACCACAGGAAAAGAGAGACTAAGAAAATCACCAGCAGTGACAGTTAATTATATATACATCTTTATATGTCTCTATGCTGAAGAGAGACTGGGTTTTCCTTGGTTTCAAACTACTTAATTTGAGTCATTTTAGGAAAATAGTTATGTAAATCTATTTTAAAACAATATTCAGTCTATATTTCTAAAAGATCTTTCTTATTTTTCAGTCTGTAACTGTGAGAGTCAGACATAAGTTTTTTGTTTGTTTGTTTGTTTGTTTGTTTGTTTTTTAAAGAATGAGCCACTTTGCATTTAGATCTGATGCTTATTAGTCAAGATTTCCTTTTGTCTTGGGGCCCTAACAGATTTTATAAGGTACTAATTATTTATAACTTCAAAATGGCACATGATTCCAAGTTCTTAGTCCTATAGAATACAATAGCTCTAGAAGGATTTTGTTGTTGTTTTTGGCAGAAAGTATCTTCTCAAAGCAACATGGTAAGACACATTTCTATATCACTTTTATTGGGTTACATCATGTCTAACTGTCATGATGTCCGACACACTGCAGTGCAACTCTGGGTTACCGAAAGAGTTTGTGACACAGGAAAAACCTAACGGCTCGCTACGCCTTTGAGATATTACCATGAAACAGTGAAGGCAGGTAGCAAAGTGCAAAACACTTTTATCTGCCTGACATGTGCCGAGGGTGTACCTCTCTTCAAGTAAACTGTATCTCTATAGAGATCATATAAAATTAAAATTTGAATAGTAAATAATATTGTCAATATGCTTGTTATTTAAAGCAGGGGTCTCCAACCCTCAGGGGCCCCAATCCCCAGTCCTGTTCTGTGTCGTGTGAAGAACTGGGCTGCACAGCAGGGGGTGAGCGGCAGGTGAATGAATGAAGCTTCATCTGTATGTACAGCTACTCCCCATTGCTGGTATTACCGCCTGAGCTCCACCTCTGTCAGACCAGTGGCAGCACTAGATTCTCATAGGAGGGTGAACCCTGTTGTGAACTGCGCATGTGAGGGTTCTAGGTTGCGTGTTCCCAATGAGAATCTAATGCCTGATGATCTGTCACTGTCTCCCATCACCCTCAGATGGGACCATCTAATTGTAGGAAAACAAAGCTCAGGGCTCCCTTTGATTCTACATTATGGTGAGTTGTATATTTATTTCATTATATATTACAATTTAATAAGAATAGAAATAAAGTGCACAATAAATGTAATGTGCTTGAATAACCCTGAAACCATCCTCTCCTCCAAGTCCATGGAAAAATTGTCTTCCACGAAACCAGTCCCTTGTGCCAAAAAGGTTGGGGACCACTGATTTAAAGGAATATAAAGGTTAAATCCTTTTGTAAAGCAAAGATCTTTCACAGCCAAAAATCCATCCCTGGGTTTCCTGTAAGTCTGAATGTTAAATTTCAAGTTTTCTCAAAGAGGGTCATACCTGCAATTGTTATCATCCACATCATTCTTAAGAACACAAAGCCCTCATGTCTTGAGGTTTCAATAAATTAATAAAATGAAATAAAATAAAAACAAGGCTAATTTAGAAACATTTAAATTATTAACATCAAGTGAAGAAGGCTAAAGCAAACCTAGACAAACCATAAAAGAAAATTATGGGTCAGTTTTAAAGGATACAAGATTATTTCCGAAAAGTACTTAAAACCACTAGCCAGTATAAATGTGCTTTCCAGAATTTTTTTGTGGTTCCAGTTCCTGTACCTCTGGTCAGACTAATAGTTTCACCAAAGAGGCAGAACAAGTTTTATTCCAGCCCGGTCCAGGATAAACGGCTGGAGAAGGAGTATAGACAAGTATGCTCTCTGTGAAGCCTCAGGTGGCACCTCCCCTGTCAAGAGGGCAGAGAAATTGAACTTCCTACATTCTAATTTGCAATGCCTTAAAACCACTAATACTTTATATACTTGGGAATTAGTAAATATTTGGGGCATGGAAACCAAAGACTGTTGAGAATGGGAAGAGATATTCAAAACTGGCTTATATCCCAGCTTCAAATGAATTCGGTGGTCAAAACCCAGTGTAAACACTTGACCAAATTATGGAATTTGTACATATAATTTTCAGCATGGGCTATCTTTCAGAGCAAAACTAGGGCCTACAGTTGCCAATGACAAAAGCTTAATGGGCAAATGTCTATTATTTTGCAAATTAACTACGATACCATGTTATTGCCCATCTGGCTGACTTATATGTTAAATCAATGGGTCACAAACTCTTGAGCAAAATGGTGAATGCTGGGGGTAAAAAAAATTACAAATCAAGTTTGGGTTACTGGCAGTTCCTGATTTACAGATGGCACCTGCACATATAAAAATAATTTTTCTAATTTCTTTTTTTTGCTGAAGAAGTACCTTTGTTAAAAACACACATTTATATAACTTATAATTTTAATGAAAACCTACGGGCTAATAAGTAAAGGAAGTAAAAAACTGAAAATCAGAAACCATTTGGATGGAGTAGCTGACCCCAGGACACCTCGGCCTGAAGTTTTTCACTTCGTTAGGCAGCAGTGCCACATCAAGTTGCGGGGAACTACTGTGGTGAGATGACGCTTTGTACAGAGGGTAAGGGGTGGCTGTAGACTAACCTGAACACCTTCAGGAGCCAAGCTAAGGGGAGAAGAATGTCAGGATCTGGAGGACATAAAGGGACACATAAGGAACCACAAACACCTTCCATTTTAAATCTGCCCTGGCCAAGACACCTGGCAAGGAGGAGGAAATCTCACTCTTTTCTCCCCTTTTGAATCACTTGGTCCCTTATTCTGAGGACCCAGAAATCACATTATATCAAAGCAAATATATTATGGATTAAATAGGTGTTTGCAGGTCGTCCTAGCCTGTCAACAGGCCTCTCCTAACCTGTCATCAACATGGTTGTGTACAACCAGGAGCTAGGAGTGGTGAGGCTCAAACTAGGGAAAGGACATCTTTATGACTCCTAGGAGTCGAAGAGAGAGAACACAACAATATAAAAAGACAACCCTCCAGGCAGTATTACAAATGCCACAGGAAGATCACAGAACGACAAATAAAATAATACTAAGAGAGCTTAGAACACAAAGGGAGCTTGGGGCTGGGAGGTCTGAGAGTCTCAGAATGTGGGGGCAGAAGGTACCCGCTGGAATTTTACGGTTAGAAGAAATGTGCACGGAAGATACTGCATACCACTATCTACATAGTGGGTTTTCTATTGGTGAGACCTACTAATTCCAAACAACTGTCTTATGAACAAGCCTTGGATTTGTTGATACTGTTAGGGGCTATTTGTATTTTCTCATCACTAGGGATAAATTTGGGGGTCTCTGTTGCTTATGATGGAGGGAAATAGGAGCACTGGGGATGGCAGAAAGGTCACTTGGATCATTTTGTATGACAAGTTGCTAATTATGGGCACAATAGAGTTCCAAAGAAGAAACGGGGCTTGCCTAGGGATCTGGCAGGAAAGAGCGAACTGCATCCAGAGCTGAGGGGTAGAAGGCAATGAGGGAAGTCTGGGCTGTGCACTCAGGTCACAATGGAATCCCAGATTCCTCTCTCACTACCCACTTAAACTATTGGGCCATTATTTATCTAGCCTCTCTCAATCTCAGCTGCTTCCCATCTACCGCTGTGAAATGAACATTAAGTCAGATAATTTACATAAAACACCTCATACCCCGTGATCCAGGGATCTTAGTTCCCTTCCCTTCCTCCTTTGTAAAAAGTTAGTATGGATATATTTGATAAAAAGAAAATAACTTTTAAAACGTGAACCATCTGATATGTAAATATATCTTAGTCTTCATGTAGTCCTTAAATATCAGACTGTGCACTTTGGAACTTGAATTTTAATCTAGAACACTGAACTTTGAAAGAAGTCTTAACAATTGTTAAATCCAGCAGCTGTCAACTCTATTTTTTTTTTTTCCAGACAAAGTCTCATTCTATCGCCCAGGCTGGAGTGCAGTGGCGTGATCTCAGCTCACTGCAACCTCTACCTCCCGGCTTCAAGAGATTCTCCTGCCTCAGCCTCCCGAGTAGCTGGGATTACAGGCGCCCGCCACCACGCCCGGCAAATTTTTGTATTTTTAGTAGAGACAGGGTTTTACCATGTTGGCCAGCCTGGTCTTGAACTCCTGACCTCAGGCAATCTGCCCGCCTTGGCCTCCCAAAGTGCTGGGATCACAGGTGTGAGCCACTGCGCCCAGCCAAATCTAATTTTTAAACAATAGAACCCCTTATTTAATTGATACCTGACATGGAAGCCTAACACTCACAGCAGATAAAGTGAAATTGCTATGCCTAGAATGTGTGTGGGAGTGTCGGGGGGACAAGAGCCCTTTCCACTCAGCCCTCTCCCTTTTCTCTGTGCTCTCCCCAATCCCTGCAGCGCTGGAGAGCTTTGAAACACTTGAAGGATCCACTGGACAGACTGAAAACCACTGATTTCTAAGTCCTAATGGAAAACTACTGAGGGTTTGAGCTAGAGTGTTATTTAACCAAAGCACTATTTTAGGAAGATAAATCTGACAAAATGGATTGTAGAGAAGCCAAGAAGTAGGGAGACCAATTAAGAGATTATTAAAAAATTTCAGGCCAAATTAACATAGATTCCAGGGAATGACTGAAGGTGGGGGTAAAAAGAGAGAGACACCTGGGATGGCTTCAAGGTTAAATGCTGCATGACTGCAACATTAATTAACAGACTGAAGATATCTGTAAGGTCTCCCGGATCATCCCTCTTTTATGGGAGGCAAAACGTCTCCAAAAAAGACCACAAGGTGCCTCTGTTTTTTAAGAGGGCAGTGAACTGTTAAACACTTTTCTAAAAATGTACATTTTACCTCAACTGATAAATTATATGTGCCCCTTAACAAGCTTGTCTAGAAAGTTGTTTGTTATGGAAGTGACATATACAAACCATGCATGCTGTTTGTCATTAAACCTACCTATGCATCTGGTACCATCTGGAGAGGTGTAAAAACCAGGAGGACATTTGCAAAAGTAACTGCTGACTGTGTTTGTACATTCGCCCCCATCACAGATCCCAGGAATGGTGCTGCATTCATCAATATCTGGAATATAAAAAAAAAACAGTCTCAGCATCTGTAGAACACAATATAAAACCATTCATCAGTACAAGGATTCAGACGTAAATACTTGACAAATCATGTCCCTGGAAACAGCCATCTTTAAAAAGTACAAGCTGCATGGAGAACAGTCAATTCAAAGGTAGATGCTGCTTCTTTCAACACAGACTTACCCAAAAGATTTACCAAATTCAGCAGACTAGGGCAAAATGAAATCACCCCCCTTTAAAATCTAAAACTGTGTACTGTTGTTTCACCAAGTAACTATAGCATGCTAATGTTACAAATGTCATTTATTTTAAAATTTTGTTTTCCTTTCGTTTCTATGTTTTGCATTAAGTTAAACTCCCCGACTAATTATTTTATATTCCGCATCACTTATTGCATTGCTTTTCAATCTATTTTCCACAACACAGATACTGAAATCCTACAGAGGAGATCTTGTGGTCTGAGTGTAGACCCCAACTTGGCCAATTTGGTGTTCTCAGTGGCACCCAAACTACCATTATGATGGTCTTCTGTGGTTGGTGAATGAACTGTGATGGAGTGGGTGCTCTAACCAATGTCCCCTTCAAAGAGGGACTTGCTGCCTAGGAGGCTGGGAATACTGTCAACAGATGGTCTTTGGCTCTCAGCCTCTTCCGAGATAGCCTGAGTCGCAGAAAGCCCCCTTGCCCAAGGTAACACCCTTCCCAGGCACCCCACACCCAATAAGCAATTGTGGAGGAGGATCAAAGTCTGGTGCATCCTGTGTCAATGGGAGACAACACTGACGGCCACTCCAATTCCCCAATTCCTTCTGGGGCTGGTGGAGGCTGTTGATGGGCTACACCCCAGCTTGCCTTCTCTGCACGCTCTTGCCTCTTCCCCTTCTCTTCTGCAGGTGTTGATCCCAAGGATATCCTCTAATAAACATCCTGAATGCTATGGAGGCCAAAGCTGGGGTTAGCCCTCAGACCACTGGTCTCCATCAAGGAAGCAGTAAAATTCCCTTAGGACAAATTTGACCATTTCCTTCAAGGAGAGATTTTCAATGGCCTGACCCACACACTGACAAATGTCAACAGGTACGGCACCAGCAGAAGAAGAGAAAAAAAATGAGAGCTTCCTTCTTAGGCTAGAAGTAAACTCAGGGCACAGGGAATCTGCCTGGCCTCCTCTCTGAGACCAGTAGAGCTTTCTGCACTGACCTTGGGAGAGGTGACATTTGACCCAGGCCTCCTGGCAGTATTACAATGGCCAGGCTGACACTGTTAAAACTGGGAAAGGCTTATGACCCCCAATAAGAACATTTATTCTGTAGGCTAAGTACTCTCTTCATTTATAAAACAAAATAGAGTTCTAAGTGAACCAGATTCAAGTATCTTCTGACTCAGGTTCACCCTGTTAGTAAAAAAGGCAGCAATGACAGTGTTTACATGCAGTTTAACCTTTTTAAAACCAAAATCACCATTCTTCCAAGCTAGGCTAGAGGCTAAACCAAACAATATTTCTCTGCTTATATTAGAGTCAATGCTAACATAAACAGCACTGTCATTGCAAAATTATGTAACGGTAAAGGTGCATATTCTATTCTGACAGACACAAATTTCACTAGAGTCTGTGAAAGGGCCAGGTAGAGAAACTGCCAAGGGCAGACAGAGCCTAGGGTTACCCACGTAATATCTCAAGGCAGCCACACTTCTGCTTAACACAAACAAAAGGCAAGTATGTCAAAGACCCTACAGGATTCAAAGCTTCATTTAAGGATAGAGGAAGGTATAATTACAATTAAGAAGAATGTACCTTTTTCAAAGTGTCCCTAAAAGTTAATATCTGAGTCCTACAACACCTGCCAAAGATCACATGAGGAGACAATGTGGTATTATATTTTTTCTCAGCCCATTAATATAAATGACAGCTACCATTTGTATTAAGGCCACATCAATATCCAAAAAGTTTCAGTGACAGCCTATGTCAGAAAATTTTATTTAAAAAATAGAATTAACATTGGCAGAATGGGGGAATCATCTTTTCCATGCTGGCTGAGTGAGATTTGGGCCCTTTATTGAAGATAACAATAACATCGACAATAATGATGAGAGTTTGCAGGTGCTGAGTGCTAGGCAGAGTCAAAATGCTTGATGAGTGTCCAATCATCTAATTCTTACAATACAGGTAGGATTGTGGGCCTGATTCTATACCTCTGCTGCCCAGGTACACCTCTTGCATTACGCTGAGGCCTTCAGAAAACTGACACGAATCAAACCTGAAACAACAGCAAAGAGGCTTATCATTTATAAAGGGAGGCTAAACCCAGTCTCCAACTGGCAGGGGTTTTTAGGGTGGGTGTGGGGAATTTCCACCTAGGTACATGTCTTTGAAAGCCAGCAGGTCAGGAAATATGTCACACTGCACACCTCCCTGAGTTCACACAGATTAAGATAAAATGGGACTAGGCCAAATCATTACATTTGAAGGAGCTTAAATGACTTCAAATTCCCCCTAATATGTCCCCTTCTCAGTGACACACCCTTTTGCCTTCAGGTGGCTAGTGCCTTCCCCCTTTCCTAAACCATCTTGCTTCTCAGTGGCATGGCTTCGTAACAAATAAAAGCAAGAGTTCTATCTATTACCAGGCTGTGGTGGAAATTCCTGATGGCAAAGGCCAGAATAAGGTGTTTGAATTGGATTCGCTCACACTCTGAAAATCGTTCATATGAATTTATTATTTCTCCAAGTTCTTCCCACTGTGTTCGTCTCCTTTTAATTGAACTTCAGGCATCCCAAGTTAAGAGGGAACTTGAGAACGGTGACTTTCTCAGAGTTTCTACAAATCAGGCTGTGTCAAATGCCAGCCATGAAAGTAAACCAGGTCGGGAGGCCTGGTGGGGAGTGGGGCTTGGCTGGGAAGAGCTATTTCCGTGCTCTGGACACTTCTCCCTGCTTCCTTGAGGCAGCAAAGGAGGCAGAGCTGCTGGGGAGTAGCTGTCCCATGGTAGCTGTCCACGACTCCACTGGCTTCTTGCTGTGACCTTAAGAAGAGACACAAATGGCAGATCTCTTCCTTCCTATTTGCCACCTGTCCTTTGTTTTTGCTCCTTCTCATCCTTCAGTCTCATCTGTTCTCCCAGAGCATTTTTCCCGTGCCTAGGCCCCTTTATCCTATGGCTCCTCTGGCAGAATGGGAGGAAAGAGTGTGGAGGGCAGATGGATGGAGCTTGGTGTCTGTTCTGGGATGGGCATCACCATCTATTACTCGGCTATCGAGAAGCTCCATCCAAGATTGTGGACGTGACAAGAGAAACCTGATCCTGACAGTTAATCTGATCCTGACTGCCTAGATACTAACACAATGAGAGAAAAAAATTAAAACCTATGGCAGCTGTTTAAAAGTAACATGTGACACATTAATGATCATGAATGCCACTGAGCCTGTGAGCTTAACTTTGATTGTACAAACTCAACCCAGTGTAAAATGTATCACTAAAAACTAAACAAGCTGACTCTTCCAGTCACGTTGACTATTTTATAGTCACACCATGTACGCCAGCTTTTATTCATGCTGCATCCGCTGTCTGATCACAACTTAAAAATGGAGTCTGAATTCTGGAACTGGAAAGAACCCCCAGATAGCATCTTGTTCAACCCCCTCATTTGAAAGTTGAAGTAACTCAGAGATGGTAATTGACTTATCTAAGATCACACAAAGGATTAGAGACTTGACCAGAGGGCATCAAGGATGGGGGCCAGGCCTGCCTTATTTCCAGGGCTCTTTCACCTTCACCACAGAGATGGTTTTTTCAACTAATTGTATAGAGAGAGCCAGTTACGTTGAACAGTAAAAGTCTAGGGCCTGCAACCAGCTGAAGAGAACGGAGCTCCATCTGTGGTACTGGGTTAAGCTACCCCGGGAATTCTCCTTAGCTTCTGAGAGGATAAGAGCCTCTAACAGTAAGTAGCCATGAGATAAATATGCCATTATTTTGGAAAGGGGAAGTCCTGAGGTTTTTGGCTCACATATTATGGAGTGCATGGATTTAAAAGCTACATTTTTTAAAAGGTCCAGTGCATCATGCAGTGCTATTATAATTGCTAAAGGCTGGGCTGACGATAATCTAAATCCCAAAATATTAGTGGTTAATTAGGAATCCAACAGACTTCTTCCAGAAATAAAACTTAATCCCTTAATTACACTCTTTATTTCTTAATTTCCTCTCATAGTAACCTATGCAAATACGGACTTGGTTTCCAAAGAAAAAGGTTCATGTGTTCTTTCAGCATGCATACTCTACAGTCATCGGAAAGATCAACAAAGGAAGGCGGGCATGAACTCTGTTTCCTTTTTTCTCAAATCACAGCTATAAATCTCAATCTTTTCCTTCTTAAATGTATGAAAAGTTAATAATTGTTATTTAAATCCCTGTAGCTTGTTAATTTACATTTCAAAATGTTCTCCAATTATATGTATTTATAAAACACTTTTCCATAACTTTTTTGTTTTTTTTTTTTAGTTTTTGGAAAGAGGGACATTTTAGGAAGGAAGTGAGAATTCTGCAAAAGGAAGATCTCATGGCAAGCAACTCGAATAATGGCATTCTCAGATCTGAGAGAGTGAGGGTTAGCATCTTGTGAATTTGCTAAAGTCAATTTGACGGAATTGGTTTTTTTTCTTGAAAAAGTTCTATAAAAAGTACTCAATTCCACCCCCCTCCAAGTCAAAAGGAAGATAACTTTAAAAAGCCACTCAAAGCAATGGCAAAGGTACCAGGACATTTTCACAAGGGCACAGAACCCCATGGTTATACTGATCATCTTTCCAGGGTACATATTCAGTGATTACAGACCAGACTTCCTGGGTTCCCTCTATTGACCATCGAGACACCAGCTGATGTCCAGAGTTATGCCATTTCCACAGTGAGACACTGTAACTGGAAAGGAGCAAGGACATCGAAGAAGTGAACCCAGCTTGCCAAGAGCTCTCAGGGCACTTCCTGATTACTTTCCTACCGGAGTAAGACAAGTCAACCCTGCTCACACCAGTCTCCAGGCCAGAGAATGTATAGTACTAATAGGACATTCTCTTCTAGTATCAATTTTGCATTGATATTAGAAAAAGAAGGAAAAAACCATTACCTAAATTTAATGTAACAGTAGATGGCAAAGGAAAAAAAAAAATCTAGTTAAACTAGTCTGTTTTTATCTTGCCACTGACTTTCACATGTAGCTGGAAAATTTTTGTGTGTGTGGAAAAGGATTAAGTAATACTCAGACTGAATTTTTGGTCCACTGGATACACCACCATAATAGGTTTCTTAGCATCAATAAAAAGATTCGAATGATTTTTCTTTCAGTCTGAGCATTAAATTAGAATCTTCTGTCTAGTCCACATCCATAGACCATTACTGTTAATTGACTTGTCTGAGTGAAAAGCACGAGACAAAATCAATTCTAGTTCAGGCTGGAAGCCATCATAACTTTAGAAAACAAAACACAGACTGGACAAGTCATAAGGACTATATTCCCCTCAATCTTAAAACTGATTATATATTCTGAAGCTGAATATATTAAACTGAGAAAGCCTAAAAGGTAAAACACAACCTATCATTGATGTGGGTTTTGCATGTGATCAACTTTAATGGCTTGTTAATGTCGTGTGTGTGTGTGTGTGTGAGTGTGTGTATGTGCATATGTATGTGTGTGTATATATATATGTGTATGTGTGTGTGTATATATATATGTATATATATGGCCTGAAAATCTATTCCAGAATAATAACTTTCATCTAGAAAAGAAGACAATGTAATACGGCTCAGCAAGCACCAGAGTGTGAATTAAAGAAGTAAATTTGAGCAGTCTTGTCTGAATGGCCTCGGACAGAGCACTTAATACACCCAAGACACCATTCCTTAATATATAATGTAGAGTGTGGAACCAGCTGAGTTCTTTGCCCCTTTCAGTGTCAACGTTCTCGGCTTCAAATTTAGATCTACAGTACAACTTCTAAAATACATTGGCCTATCGAGAGTCAACTTTATTGTTCTTTGAAACTTAAAATGTTTTTTTAAGAAGCCTTTAGAAAGAACCATTTTTTCACAACTACCCCGAAAAACTATGTATAACATGTTCAAGAATGCAATAACAATTATAAATTCAATAATGATTTATAACCTAAAAACAACTCCAACTCATAAAGATAGTTCTATCAGAGCTAGATTCTTCAGTTTCAGGGCAAGTAGATATTAAAAGTCTTACATGTAATTTATGAATTGCACCTTAAATTTAAATCTGTCTTTTGCTTGTCTGATATACAGTGGCAACCAACAAGGTTAATTATCCAGCCCAGACAAATAACTTAGAACGTACTCACTGCTGGAGTCTAGGGGCATAAATACAACAGCATCTGTTTTCAATAAAAATGCATCCATCTAAATGAAACCTCAAGGTGGGGTGAATTGAGAATGAAAGAAAAAGTTTTCTCTTCTGATCCTGATGAGAGATGTAGCCCTGAGAATGCTGTTACACTACTGTCAGACATTACTATATGTAAGTTACATGTACTCATCAAACAAACGAGAGTCCAATGCTGCCTACATATTTTCTAGATGCTCCCCTCTCACAAAGAAATTATGACTGTAACTGGAAGTCAGGCCTCATTTCAGCAAATAGCAGTAGCAGTAGTGGTGAATATAAACACATCCTCTCTATATATCTTTGCAGAAGTTCAATCTATAAACTAAATGCAAATATAAAAATTATCTCAAATTACTCTTCTGTTTGACTAACATTAAAAGCTTTTCATTTGATAGGCAATTATCATCCCCCAGAAAAGAAAATCATGAGCATGTACTAGGAGCATAAATATAAGGGTTGATTGATCAATCCTGCCTCCCCACACACAAAATCAAACATACCTTTGAACTCGAAAAACTTCGGAAGATATATTATTCTGAATGATATCTAATTACCAAATTTAAATTCATGTCTCTAGAACTATGCAAAAACATGTGTCTTGAACATTTTAAACCAAATGTTGGTTCAAAAATATTTCATGTTTTTAATACTTAATTTGATTCAGATGGACCTCTTGTTTTGGGTCTATAAAAGTAGAAAAAGCTGCAGGGTTTTTCTTGTCCAATAGCACAAAAGCATATTATTACTGTTAAAAATACTACATTTACACATTCACGGGGATAACAAAGACAGAAAGATTTAGGAATAATTTGCAAACAAGCTTGTTTCTAATGTTGAGTTTTGCCTGCCCCCACTACACCCCTCACAACCACTGCAAAGCATAAGATTTCTTACCTTCACATTTTTGTGACACTTCATTAAATTTGTGTCCAGCAGGGCATTTACACTCAAAAGACCCAACAGTATTAATGCAATTTCCTCCCTGACAGAGCCCGGGGATGGCCTGGCATTCGTCCACATCTGTCAGATTGCAGAAGACAGAGAGAAAAAAAAACTCATATAAAATTCATTGCAGAATACAATGTGATAATTTGTCCACAATTATGTTACCATATTTATATCGGTGGTTATTTGTCCCTCACAATATTTGGAATATGACTAGGGAAACTATTTCTCACAATTGCATTATGTAAAACACATCGTTGGATTAATAATGTTCCATAAGAAGTCACAAGTATTTTTTGTTTCCCCACCTTCCATGTTTCCTAATGTAGAGGAGAGTGTACTAACTTTTGTGGGTTTTATCACATATGCAGCAAAAAAGAAAGATATGTTTAAGAGGCCATTATTCACGGCCTCGTTTTTATCTCCAGATTGGTAGTAATAATCAGAGTTATTCAAAAAATCTTGCAAATCAAAATGCAATACATTTCTACAATGAAACGATCTTTAAGAGTTGTACTGAATGATTTAGTTAAAACGGAATTTATTGAAGGTCACTCAGACTACACGAGACAGCTAATGTTTTTGCACAAATGAAGTGGAAATGTTCACTTCACATTCTGGAGAAGTGCCTTGCACAGTAAAAATTAAACAACTCAGAAAATTAGGCCAACAAGTGAGAGGGATCGCTAGATGAGCGTGCAGTTTCAGCTGCTGACTTACCTTGCTGGCAGAGTGGCTGCCAGAAGGCACCTTTGTAAAGGTCAGTGAGATCATGTCTCTCCCCAGCTCCACGTGCAAGTCCATACTACGTCCTAGGAAGTTCTACATGATTCCTCTGCTCTTTTACCCATTTTCCACCCTCCTATCTCTCCCACCACACTGGATTCCTCAAATATGCCACCTGCCACAGAGCTCTGTAATGGCTGCCCCTCTGCCTGGAATATTCTTCCTCCAGAGAGCTGCATGGCCCACGATGTCTCATTCTCCAGGTCTCTGCCCCAATGCAACTTTAGCCACGAGCCCTTCCCTTGACAGTCCAACAGCAACACCTGGCTCCTGGCTCTAATCATCCTTCCTTCCCTGTTTATTTTTTTTCCACAGGACTAACCACCCACTGACCTAATACGTGTCTGTTTTGTTTAATGAATTGATTATCTTCAATATAAGCTTCCAGAAAGCAGGGACTTTGTCCATTTTCTTCACTGCTGTATAACCAGCACCTAAGGACTAACTTGGGTTCTTACGTGTAAGCCCAAATATTAACCTTCCAGGAGCAAAATTAATCATCTCATGCTCACTACATTCTGTTATAAAGGTTATAAAAGTACCTGTACATTCTCTCCATCTCTTTGTTCATAACAGAGAAAAGTCTGATTTAATAAAGAATCCCCAAGTAAACAGTCTAATGTATTCTTTTTGAAACCTGGAAGCCTAATGTGTTCTTTAGCTTCACTCTTCATTGAATAAAGCAAAAAAGGGATTGCTGTTTATAAGATCTCAACCTGTGTTCTTGAGAAAAGTTGGCATGCAGTAAAAGGGATATTAAAGAAACAACAATTTAGTTTATTATAAAAGTATCACGTACTGTTTTAAATGAAATGTCTTAACCCACAAATAAATGATTATATGTGGAAAATCATTAGATTATGTTTTCCAGCCAATTTCAGTTTTGTCTTGGACCAGAATTTTCCATTCTCTTGATATGTTGAATGTATTTTTAGAAATATTTTTGAAAATCAAGATTTTTACATATGGGCAGAACTAGCTGTCTTGTTGATCACGATTTTTGGCCAACAGAAAATATAGACAAGGCAATTCTCCACTGGCTATATACAGCCCCTCACGTCTGACCCAACGACTGGAAACACCAGCAAGGAGCGAGAGCCACAACCTGGTGGCAGAATCTCTTAGAAATAACAACAGCAACAACCACCACCACCACCGAAGATGAAGAATTTCACTCTCAAACTGGCAATATAACTGCCATTGTGATTCAATGGGTTTTCAAAACTTTTCTTATAAAAAAACCTTTTTTTTTTTTCTTGGACGTTGAAAAGCAGAGTTAGGAAGAAACAGGAAGCAAATGCTGGAAAGATCCAGATTTATGAAACAAATAGTAAAGCTAAAGAGAAGGCAGTTCATTCTCCCCACCCGCCTCACCAATTCCGTTAGCACCCTAACCTCTGACAATGGCTCACTGATGGGCAGCTGAGGCACTTAAAAGTCTAGCTCTCTGGTCACTGTCAATGAGTTCACGGGTATTAACTAACTTTGTAATCCCAAGACCAACAAATTCTTCAAAACTCACTGGGACTTTCTAAAAATGAGAAAAATAAGAAGGCACCAATAAAAACCTAACCTTTTAATTTTATAAAATACTACAATCCATCCCTTGATAATTCTAGAATTTCAAGGTGACTTATTTCTTCTCCTGATGTTTCAGAGGGATACATTTAAGGGCATCCAAAGGAGCTGTATGTTGTACACGGGAGCTGGAGGCCAGGAATGACAATATCAGAAGTGGAATTTATTGAAGTGGAATGTAATGGAGACCCACAAAACTGTGTGACTAAGCTCAAGTTCTGTTTTATTGCATATTACCCTTAGAATTAACATATAAAACAAAGCCAAAGCATTATCTATTTGTCTCAGAAAAGCATATCCTGAATTTTCTGAAAATATTGCAACTTGCTATAAAAAGTCCTGAGGCAGTCTAAAGGAAACAGATAGAGCCTGAGAGTTTTCAATCCCATCAGTTTAGCGTGGAGCTGCCTCTGTTCACTTCCTCCTGTTTCCTGCCAGACATCCAGACAATAAAAGAATTTGTACAGCTGGAAGAACAGGAGTAAAAGCCAAAAACAGAGTAAGGGCTTCTACAGGAGGCAGGAGAAGCAGCTAGCAGGCGACATCTGGGGATATTTAAAACTGTGAAACAAATCCTAATTTATTTCGGACTTGTAAAAAAATGCACAATGTAGCATGCAAAATGTCGAGAGAAACAGTTTTCCTCAGGTCAATTAAGCACAACCCATGAGAGAGAGGAACTCTAACAGTTTCAAATGAGGGAAAAAAATTAAGGAAAACATAAACTACCTTGTTCACAAACCTTGCTTTGTGTTTCTAGACAGCATTGCCATAATGCACAGCATTGCTGTAAACAGAATCACACCACCCCTGGAGTCAGAGGTACATGCAAACACCTCTGGGGTCAGAAAGGGGGAATGGTTGGCAAGAAAACATCCAGTAAGACTTCAGCTGCTCTTTCGAGAGCCACGTTCCTAATGCCTTAGTTGGATATCATGCAGTCAGCGAAATTGTGAAGTTATGTAGCTGACACTACTTTTCCATTCTCTTCAACTTCATTGGAGAAGGGCTCTCCAGAGCAAATAAGATTAATCCATTAATAATTCCATCAGCCCAGGGTTTACCTTGACAAGCTCCCGTGCGGATATTTGGAATGAAGCCACGGCGGCAGGGGTGAGGCTGGGCAGGACACATCTCACAGGGGTGGCCCCAGGCTCGGCCGACTGTGGCACAGCAGAGCGTTTTTGTGCAGACAATCCCGCTGAGTTGTCCCTGGCACATCTGGTTGCTGATCACAGTAAAACATGGGCCTGTCCTGTAATCTGAAAATAAAGAATAAAAATCTGATGAATATCCAGAAAAGCAGGAACCATCATGCAGAGGAACAGCTGCGCTCCATCTTGCTTGACTCCGAATTGAGAAATGAATTTCAGGGACAGAATGATGCATCACTGCCTCTCTGTAAGGCCTTGGATAGACCATTCTACTTCTGAACCCGATTTCCTAACCTACAAAATAGGGATGAAAACATCAGTTCTTACCCACTTTGAAAACGGCATTGTGAGCATCAGATGAGCTAATGGAAAACTCTTTACAACTGTGAATTGCTGTACAAATGTAACATGGTAATATTATTATCCACTCATTACTTAAGAAAACATATTGGTGCCTGCACTGAATCAGCTCCGATGCCTGATACAGATGCTTCAGTGACTAAAAGAGGCCAAATCCCTGCCCTCACAGAGCTTCCAGTCTATTGTTATTTAGGGCTGAGAAAGCAAAGAATTTTGAAGCTTGTAGTGAGGCAAGTCATGGCACCTTCTTCCTGGAAGTTCCTTCAACAAAAGAAACGGTTATCTGTTTCTTTTGAGTTGGGGTCATCTTGTTTCAAATACAAAACAAGCAAACTAACAGATGAGGATTTAAAATTTTGCTCATGCAAAACACATTAGGTATTTAACATAAAGGGTGAGGACACTCATCTGAAATAATTGTAACCTCTAGGCAAAAGGACCATCTTAAAGCAAAACAGGGATAAGCTAAGACCATAAGAGAATTTGCAGTCAGAGCAGTCTACCACCAGTTATAAGATCTGCCTCTTTTCTTTCTTTCTTTCTTTCTTTCTTTTTTCCTACAGAGAGACAGCCAACAACAAACAAGAAAGATAAAGACGTAGTGAGCACAGAGGACCAAAGCCAGGTTGTCCTCACAGGTTGTCCCCTTGTGAGAGAAATCAGGGCCATAACACCCATTTCTGTGGTTCTACAATGACCTTGACAGACAAGGGAGGCTGGGCTGGGGTGGGACTCATGGGCTTCTATCCACTACCCAGCATCTGCATGCTTCCAGGTCATTTTCAGAAGTGTTTAAGTGGAGTGATTCCTGTGAGTCTAAAAATGGACTCAATGACCCCAGTAAGTTCCTTTCACCTGTGAATGCAACCGTTTTATGAAAATCACTGGCTGTGCTAATGAAACTACTGGGATGCTTTCATTATTTTCTTCTTTCTTTAAGTAACTCATAGGACACAGCAGATATGCTATTTACTAAGGAAAAAAGGACAACTTTTCATTACAATACCAACAAGAGTGAACATTCTGGATCGTAACAATGTTTTGGCAATAGCTGAATTGCATCTGCTGGCATCCCTCTATCCTGTGTATTCTCTCTTGCTTTCTTTTTCTTGCATCTCCACTCCAACCCCTCCCTTGGAATTTCAACTCCATCTGCTCCCCATCACTACGTGCTCTTCCTCCCTCTCCTCTGCTATCTGCAGTGAACCACCTCTGTTCAATGGTGTTGCAGAAACAGCACTGCTCTGACGCCCATGCTGTAAGATCAACCTTCTGAAGAATTCCAAAAACAAAATTCCATGCCAGTCATATAGATAAAGAAGACTACCATATCCAAGCTATGGCAGCACTGGAGAACAGACAGGATGGTCCAAACGCCGAGTCCCCAGCTCCCCAGCTCCCTCCCTCCATACCAGTGTTATGTCCCACTCACAGGATGCAAGATAATTTTAGATTTTAGTAGGCATATATTAATTTTAATGTGTATTATGAAACAGCATAAATATATCAGACTCACGATTTCACAGTTATGTCTGCTGTGAGGATGATGAATTGAAAAACCTTTTAATTCAATTTTAAAAAAATATTAAATACTAGTACAGGTGATATGCAAACAGGCCAAAAATTGTGTGGGTGACATCTACATGCAACCAGACTCACCATTCCAAAAGACAAGCCTGAGACCTTTGTGTTCCTCTTCTCTGCATGACCTGGCCCCACGCACCTTTCCAGCCCTTTCTCCTGACACTTTGTTTATCATTTGTCTTTTTTTTTACTTTGTTTATGCATTTATCACTCTACTGTTTTTTTAGTTTTATGTAGTCAAGCTCTAGGTATACTTTAATATTTTACATTGTATGCCGTATTTATTCAAAACCTGCTATCTTCTTCCAGAGATACTGAATTCAAACAAAAATATAAACAAATATTAAATACTGAGCTGTTGAATAAATCTCAGTCCTCATTTCATTCTTTCGATGAAAAAAAGTCACTCAGCACTGCAGTAATTTGTAACAAAATCTCTTTAACATGCAGTGGACATTTTAAAACTGTGTGGACAAAGTGATATACCAAAGTCATCTTTATTTTTTTGGTTCAATTCTCCCAAATAATACCTATAGGGATTTAATAAATACATCTTTGCTATTTGGTCTTTCTTTTCTATTTCAATATTTTATTATGTATTTTAATTCAAAATTAAGCATTTACTTATACAATTGAGAAAAGGCAGTAGCATATAAATAAAGGTAATTACACCCAAAGAAACCCTTGATAACATATTGATTATATTATCGTACATAAGATTTTGTGTGTATGCATGTGTGTGTTTTATTTTTTTAATCATAAAATAAGAATTATACTAAAAATATACTTTTGAATCTTGCTGGATTTTCTTCACTTAACATTGCCAAAGCTTTTCCCCGTGTAATAAACACTATTCCACAATATGATTTTAATTGCTGCATAATTTTCCATCAAGTTATAACAGAATGTATTTAGTCATTTTCTTACTGTCTATCATTTAAATTGCCTCTAACTCTTCATTATTACACATAGCATTCAGTGTACATTACAATGAATCCTTTTCAGGATAAAAACAGCCATCAAGATTTTTATGACTATATATATCCTACATCTGAGACTAGAAAGATCACAGCAGTATAATCTTTTATCAAAAAAAAAAAAACTTTCTATGTTAGGTAACAAGAAAGAGAATTTAGGCTTGTTTCTTTCTGTTAATTTACTGAGACAAGTGCAAATGCTTTAATCAAACAGATTCATGTTAGCTTGCCATATTCAATCCTTCTTAAAAAGCATAATGCAACATGAATTTTAATTTATAATGCTCTCTTCAACACTGCTGGGATTTGTTTTTCCACCTCCTCTTGCCAACATACTCTATGGAATTATCTTATATATGAGGATTGCCAAGGTTCAGGATAGATACAAATATGGTGTTTTGTGAGTGACACCAGCAAAATCCAGGCACTCTACAAAATGCTAACACAAATCTGATTCAGTTCTGTCTGACACTGATTCATAACTTCAGATGTGAATTCCTCATTAGAAGATCTTCATTTAAAAAAAAAAAACAAAAAACCTTAAGACTTTTCCAGGGTCAATAACTTATTATTCTTATTTCAATACGAAATACATAGAATCGAGATGGTAGCTGTTAATTCTGACAACACATATTAGGTATTCCAACAGTTCACAGGGATCCAATTTATTAAGTATACTATATATTTGGTGAATAAGTATGTAGAATAGAATCTATGGACTTAGCACATTTCTGTGCTAGATACTTATCACTATTGACAAAGTTATTTTGGAAACAAATTAGAACTGGCTTATTTGACAGTACAGATTAGCAAGTGGATATGAATGTATTTGTAGATCCATATTTTAAACAAAAATTGCTGATTGCAGAGGGAGAGGCATAATCTGGATGAAATAAAATTGGATCTAAAAATGTCTTGGAAGGTAAATGCTGTATTAACATGGTTTTCAAATGTCATTCCGATTTGGCGGCATGTGCTTTTCGTCCTGTACTTCATTTAGATTGCCAAGGTTATGCCGTTTTTAGTCCAATACTCCAACCGCAGAAAGAAATCTGCCCACACTCCCAATTCCTTACTAATAATCCAATTATTTACAATTATTCCCATAGCACTTACATGATATTAAGCTAAATTTACATACTCTTTTTTTTTTTTTTTTCAGATAGTCTCAGCATTAGACAGGGAGTGTGCTTAACTCAAAGCTTGTGTAATGTCTGACTCATTCCTGGCTTCAGAGTAAATCATTATTCCTAATGCAACTAAAATATAGTATTAGAAATGCCTTCTATTTGCAAATTGCTCTACAATCACTTCCTTATAAGACCTTCATGAACTAGGGCAACAGGCCAAGTCATTCCAAAATTAAAGTGCGATTCTAATTGTTTTTAACTGGCTTACTCCAGTGTGGCTGCTTCATGGGAAATTCTGCATCTCCATGTTCCCATTCTGAGTGGTTAGCTCAAGGATTGCTCTCCAGTCCCATTAGATTTGGCCTCAAGGCCTGGGCTCTGACCAACATGTGTCTGCAGCCTCTGATCCTCAGCTCATGCCCAGCTCTGCAGCTCAGAATACTGTGGTCTACAGCATTATTTCACTTTCATTTGTAATCAGACTTCACCCTGAAGCAAATGCATCATTTACAGGGAAAGAATATTCTGTGGTACAATGAATTCTTGTCCCTCCTGCCCCGTCACTAAACCACAAACTGCAGGGAAGGCACAAGGATATAATTTTGGGCACTAGGCTCCAATTATTTTAAATCCTTCTTTTCATAAAAATGACAAACAAAAGAATGAGATATCAATTTATCCATGACATAGAGGGTCACAGCACACTTATTTCTCCCAGGTAGGTTGGCCTGGGAAACATTAGGCTCCTAATGTGTGGAATTTCAGTACAACTTTCTGAGGAAGGAGTTCAGAGAACTTTCAGTCTAAGGAAAATTAAAGTTAAGAAGTTCCATTATCATAATCAGCCTGCTAAATGCTGTTACTACTTCTTACTCCAATCATTCTTAACCTTAGGACATAACAGAATCACTTGGGGGAGCTTTTGCAAAATGCTGATGCCTGGGTCCTACCCTGTCCTCCTCTCCCAGTTTTCCCCATGGAACCCTATTTAGTAGATGTGGCACAGGGCCCAGGCATATACGTCTTACAAAAGCTCCCCAAGATGATGTTTGCCCTC